ATAATAATTACAAATTTACATCATTATTATAATAGGTTCATATTATAATATATTAATTAGTAATCACGTCTTCTATTCAATAAAATCATTTGTGATTTGAAAGTTGATAGAGTCCCAAAAGAGCTTTTTAATCTTCGATGTTTAATTCCACTCCGCACTGGTTCAACCCCATTGATGAACAATGACATCTCTGGATCATTTTTTCTCATACAAGATACTGTGTTTATGATTTTTGAAATGATAGTTTGTGTCTCTAATTTAGTCTTGAACTGTCTTTTTATGATCTCAATAGTATATGATTGCTGTGCTGCAAAATGGGCTATTTCATCATAGAATCTAAAGACCCTCAAATCATGAATATATTCGTAGTAATTTGAATGATTGTTCATTGAATTATTTTTTCGAAAACTCTCAACATCATCTACCGAAAGCATATCGTTTCTCTCATTAAACCTATAAGAGTCAAACATTGCAGAAACATTTGCAAGCTCTTTGAAATAAACTGATCCTGGAAATTTCATGTTTGATGATTTCCAAGCATCCCTATCAAACCTTTCCCAACTAGTTAAGACTCCATCATTTGTCCATCTACATCCATCAAAGTAATCATGTACATCCACCGAATATAGCTCTGGACTTTCAAATTCTATAAGATTTAAACTTGGGTTTTGAGACCCTTCTTCCAATTGGACTCTAAAAGGACTATCACCACTGTTGAATAAATCATGATATCCAGTCAAAATAGAGATATCCATCGACATTCTTTTAATTTGTTTCTTCAACAATGACCCAGGCCTTTTCATGACTGTATTCAAAAGAAACATAACTCTCTCTGGTGATGTTATCATCTTAGGTAAAATACATGTTGCCTCTTCTACATATTCCTTACAAGTTTTCACTTCTAGAAATTCATACTCAAACTTCTTCGACTCTTTATTTCTCAAATAAATCTGATATCCATCATACCATTTATGAGGAAAGTCTGGACCATATTTTAAAAAACATGCATCGTTATCTTTCATCTTTTGCGTTGAGCTTAGAACTAAAAGGATTTGAATATCACTATAATCTTTATAAATTTTATGGGAAAACTCATTATAGAAAGCTTTGTTTAACCTTGTTAACGTACAACGACCTGCTGTTTGGAAATCTGTTATCCTATCCCATATCTCATAAGGAAATATATCGCCAAAATTTGAAGGTGCCTGATCTTGTGAAATTGTTGTACTTCCTATGGTTGTCGATGGATTTTTGCTTTTCAAGGTATACAAAGAAACATTCATCTTTTTGAACCTTATGACAAATAGCCACTCAAAAATAACTGAAATCCAGAATCTTATGTGATAAAAGAAAACTTTAATTCTCCAAAATAGAATCAGTATTGGTCTTACTTTAGTAATCATGAATCTTGTACTGAAAGTCATTCCATCTTTAGGATCAAAACTATCAATATATATCCACCTATGAAGGTTTGGAGCGATTTCTCTGATAATATCATTAACTAGAAATAATAAAGCTGCAAATATGTGGTGTGATATCCAAACCATTTTGATGTTTCAATTGACTTGGTTCTACTGTCACAGTTAAGCGTAAATATTTATGATATATTGTTTGTCTTTGATGTGTATAGCAAAGCAATAAATGATATACACGATAGACTATATTGAGGATATCTTTTACTTTAAACACTTTTTTTTTGAGATCAAATAATTTTCTTGAGATGACGATATTTAACTCAACTTTCTGCTCAACTTTTTTTTGCTCGACTCTATTGTATCTGTCATTGGATTCGGGCCTATAAGAATGTGAGTTTATATACCTCTCTGCCTAATCTTTAAACAGAGCTCCAACAATTCTCTTCCTACGCGGTCCTTCCTTCTGCCTAGAGACACGCAACACGCTTTTTCCCAAGCTCCAATCTCCCTACGCGTCGCCCTAATTCAGTCACCGTCGCGCTCGCGCTAAATTTTTTTTCTTTCCCAGTGGCCCTTTTCGGTAAACAAAGTTTTCGCGACTGTTTAATTAAACCTTTCAGATTTGTTTACAGAAAAGCTTTTTTAATTTAGACTTGATTACTGGTCTTTAATTGAGCTACTCAGTTCATTGAAGAAGTTTAGATACCCATTAGAAGACCCATAGAACCAGAGAAGGGAATACTTCAGAACCAATCACATCACCAGGCACCCTTTTTGAAACCTTCAAAGACTCATTTCCACAAATTCGTTTGTTTACATTTTAAATTTCATAACCATATTACATATATCAATTACCATTTCACTCCAAATAAACACACCCGCTGAGCTTCAAAACAGCTCAAACCTACTATAGCATATTCAAAATCACAAGATGGAACACACAAGACAAGCCTTGAAAGATATAGGGACCAATTCCCCCAGCGTCAAGAGACAAAAATTGAATAACAATTCTTCACATCAAAATCAAAATCAACATCAACATAAACATGAGCGCCAGGCAATAACAGAAAGTTTGAAAGAATGGAGGAAAAGTTGGCTTGCTGCTATGCGTGAAGCAGTGATATATTTTGATAGTAATGATCTAGCTAGTACAGATTATTCATCTATAAAGAAACGTGAAAAGGAAAAAGCTATGAAATTATTTACTCAAGTGGGCGCTACTATACAAAAATTTTATGATAATAAAGTTACAATTGTTGTTTCAAGAAGAGATAAATCAGATCTACCGCAAAATATGCTACAAGATACAAGATTGAAAATTTGGAATTACGAAAAAGTATTTAGATTTTTGAAAAATCTTGGAGAAATACCTTCACCTGTTCAACCTAAAACTCAAAATAAACATTTATCATCCTTATTACATGATGAAAAACTTTATGGTCCTAATGATCGTGATCCAAGTGCTAAAAGGGATGATTTCAATTATTTCAAGAATCAATATTTCTTTGTTTATGATTTACGTCAAGTCACAAGACCAATTGCAGTTAGAGAATGGAAAAATAAAGATCCAAAAAAACCATACCCACATTTATATGCATCAAGTTATGGTAGATCACCATTTATTCCAGATCCTGCTGATAGTACTTTACCCAAAAAGATACAACGCAGAAAAATAAGAGATGAACAAAATAGAAGATACAGAGATAAACTTCGTGTGATTTATAATGAAGCTGAAGGTAGAGTTTTCGGGGATCCATTTAGTGATTTTTCAGAAGGTGAAAGTGATTCTACTTTATATGATCGTGAAAATGTTGATACAATGCCACCACCTGCTAAATTAGAACAACAAGGTGTACCAGATTTAACAAGACAAGCATCATTAATATCAAATAAATTTATGGAAGTTACTAAAAGAGATAATTATGAAATTCAAGCATCTGGATATAATGGCTCAACAAACGTTTCACAACAATCAACAGAAGTTCAAACGAAAAATGGTCTTGCACCAACAGGGTCATCAGTTGCATCAAAACAAGTTAATTCATTAACAAAGAAATTAATTTTCAAAAAACAACAAAAAGCAAATATTGAACAAGCACAAAGATCTAAACAAAAAGTTCCAGGATATTGTGAGAATTGCAGAGTTCATTTTGACGATTTTGACGAACATATCAAATGTAACAAACACAGATCATTTGCCATTGAAGATTCCAATTTCTCTGATATTGATAATTTGATTGGTAAACTTAACGATAACATTGCATTTAAAACATAGGTAAAAGGGTTAAAAAAACACACACAAAAAAACAAAAAAAGAGAATAATTTATACATATATATAAATAACAACTTAGCATTATCATCATCATTATTTTTTCTCTTAATTTCGTTTGGTTTCTTCTTTTTAATTTAATTTTAATTTAATATAAATAAAATTATATCGGGCTTATATAATCTATTCGTATGTGTTTATGTAATCATATAAATGTGGGTTAACCGATTGGATTTTTTTCTATTATACTCTTGATTGAAATCTTGAGTATGGTGAAATATTAGACAAGAACAAACGAATTAGATCAGTAAACTAAGCTATTGAAAAATGTTTAACCTACTGAAGGCCCCACTAAGGAGCTCTTCAAGATGCATATCCCAACTCAGAGCTACTTCAAAGTCAAGTATACTAATAAACCAGAGATTTTTAAGTACATCAATAATACTTCAAGCTAAAAGAGATCGTAGAAGTTATAGAAGACCATTGAAAAGAAGAAGAATTAATATTCCAGATTTTGCTACAGTGTCACAATTAGTTAATTTGATGGGTGTCAGCTATGATCATTTAGCAAGAAGATTAGAAGAAATGGGATTTGAAGATATGAATCATAATTTTATCTTAGATGCAGAAACTATCGGATTAATTGCAGATGAATATGGATTTGATGTTAAATTTGGTGAAGATGAACAAGGTGAAGATCTTGTACCTGTGATTCCTGAAGAAAACTCAAAATTTTTAAAACAAAGACCTCCAATCGTGGCAATTATGGGTCATGTTGATCATGGTAAAACAACAATTTTAGATTATTTAAGGAAAAGCTCAATTGTAAGTCAAGAACATGGTGGTATTACTCAACATATTGGTGCTTTTTCTGTTAAAGCCCCTATCTCTAAGAAAGTCATTACATTTTTAGATACACCAGGACATGCCGCTTTTTTAAAAATGAGAGAAAGAGGTGCCACTGTTACTGATATTGTTGTTTTAGTTGTTGCAGCCGATGATTCTGTTATGCCACAAACTAAAGAAGCTATAAAACATATTAAGAAATCAGGAGTTTCAGTTATTGTTGCAATTAATAAATGTGATAAAGAAAATGCAAATCCTGAAAAAGTTATTGCAGATTTAGCTGCAAATGATATTGATGTTGAAGATTATGGTGGTGATACACAAACTGTTAAAGTTTCTGGGTTAACAGGGTTAAATATGGACACTTTAGAAGAAAGTATTGTTACATTAAGTGAGATTTTGGACCTAAAAGCACAACCAACAAATATTCCTGTTGAAGGTTGGGTTATTGAATCTGAAGTTAAAAAGGGAATGGGTCCAATTGCAACAGTTTTAATTCGTCAAGGTACACTAAAACCAGGTAATGTACTTGTTGCAGGTAATACTTATTGTAAAGTTAGATCAATCAAGGATGAAGGTGGTAAAGTTATTAAATTAGCTGGTCCATCAACACCAGTAGAATTATGGGGTTGGAAAGAAGTTCCAGAAGCTGGTGATGAAGTATTACAAGCAAAAGATGAATCACAGGCTAAGAAAGTTATTGAAACTAGAATAAATCGTTTATCTAAACAGAAAACTGCTCAAAGTGTTGATGTTATTAATAAGTTAAGATTAGAACATAAGAAGGAAGCTGAAAGACAAGATCAATTGGATGAATTACGTAAATATGGTCTTGAAGAGGAAACTGAAGATTCAGAAACAGATACAGTGGACAAGATAAAAGAAATTAAATTTATTGTTAAAGCTGATGTTAGTGGTTCAACTGAAGCTATTGTGGAAAGTATTGAAAATTTAGGTAATGATGAAGTTAAATGTTCAGTTTTATTATCTGGTGTTGGTTTCCCAACTGATACTGAAATCGATAGAGCAAGTATTGCAAATGCCATAATATTATGTTTCAATATGAAGATTCCAAAAGATGTTGATAATAAAGCCATCAAGAAAAATGTTGAAGTTAGACATCATAATGTTATTTATCATTTGATTGAAGATGTTACCAAAATTTTATCAAAAGAATTAAAACCAATTATTGAATTAAATGTATTATCAGAAACTGATATTAAAGAAATTTTTGAAATTAAAGGTAAAAAGAAAAAAATCACAAGAATTGCAGGGTGTAAAGTTAGATCAGGTAAATTAGAAAGATCAGGTTTAATTAAAGTTATGAGAGATGAAGAGGAAATTTTTAGAGGTAGAATATCAACTTTAAAACATGCAAAAGATGATGTTAAAGAAATTGCAAAAGGTAGAGAATGTGGTGTTGAATTTGAAAATTGGGATAAATTTCAAGCTGGTGATGTTATCCAAGTTTATGAAGAGAAAGTTATTCCAAGATTTTTATGATGTGCAAATAGAAACAAAATTGTATATAATGACTTGTAAATAAATAAAGTGAACTACATTAGAGTACTAAATTCAAATCAAATAAATCATCTATATTAAGTTACTATTATATTATTATCTTGAAACTTCTTCTTCCCATTGAACACCAACATATTCTTCGACATAACCAACATGATTTTCATCTAATTCAGGTATATAATCTTCCACATCAGTATAAACGAAAATTGTACCCCAATTTATACCTTGACTAATATCAGTAATGTTTTTTTCAAAATCCATAATAACTTTAGGCATGATTTGTAATTCAAATTGTCTTGAGCTTGAAGGGTTATAACCAGGATTTGGTATTAAATTTTTGGTAACTTTAACTGCAGTATCATCTTTTGATGTGAATAATAATGGTTTACCACCTAATTCATAACGCAAGACTTGTAATGGGTTATAAGAAACGATATCAGTGAAATGTTGGAAAACACTATCTTGTAAAGAATTTGATAATTGTTGAGCTTCAGGACTTAAATCTTTTGATGTATTTCCTGATGATGAAATTTCAGCTTCGGTATCTAATGCAGATTCATCAATTTTGAAATTTTCTGGTAAATTTGGTTGTTGTTTCTTTTTGAATGATTCTTGATCAACATATATGAAATAACCTGGATATTCTGGTAGGGTTTTTATAGTGGATTTTTTGGTTGATTTAGGTGTTGGTGGTGCTGCTTTTGCTGCAGTTGATGCGAATGATGGTTTTGTAGGTTCTTCTTTCTTTGGGGTTGGTTTAGAATCAAATGGATTTGAATCAGTTGAAGATGTAAATGGATTTGAATCAGTGGAACTTGCAAATGGGTTTGAACTTGCAAAAGGATTTGAAGAATCTTTAGTATCAAATAAATTAATATTTCTTGCATTATCTAATTTCAATTTAGCATCTAATATAAATAGATTTTGTAATTCTTCTTGTTGTTCTTTTTCTAATTGTGCTAATTTTTTAGGATCTTTTTGAATACCTCTAATAGCTCTTATGGAACCTTTTTTTCTAGAACATGTTGATTTTTGACAACCTAATACATAGATAACACGATCATAAAGTGTACCTTCCAATGGTGAAAAAGCTTGTAAGATTAAAGATAATGGACCAGTACAGTTTTGACATGATATTAAATCATCTGAAGGTTTTGAATTTGGGTTTAACCAAACAGGTTGACCACCAACAAATGAATCTTCAATGGTTGGTTCATCATCAGTAGTTTCGAAATCAGCATCTATGAAACCTAAGTAAACACCTGAGTTTTTTGGAATTTCATCTTCATCATCCGAAGAGTATATACTAGCAGCAGACATTTTTGAATTATTCTTTTAGCGTATCTTCTTTGTAGTTCTGGTTCAATGTATTAGTTTTCTTCAAAAGTCTATACACTTCTTTATGTCTCTTCGGGTTAATAAAAAAAAAAAAATTATATGTGGTTCGAAGCCCTGGCGATGAGCTCGGAGTATAAACTTACAAGTTTAGTACCACTACACGGTCAAAGAATTATGATAAACAAATTGAGCTATTGGAACAAGCTGGTATTAATCATAATGATTTAGAAAGGCATGACTTAAACTATTGTTTTAATGATAAAGATGATTGTTTTATTGTTGATTTTGGTATAATGTCTTCAGTTGATAATTTGATGAAATATTTAATAAGTTTGATCTAGAGGATTTTCATCCAGATGATTGAAATCAATTTGATCTCTTATAATTTCCTATATAGCTATATATTATTGCATAATCATTTAGCCTGCCAATATCTTAATGTATTAATTATAAAGTAGTATCAACAAGTTCATCAAAACCTTCGACGTTAATGGTCAGCAGCTAATTCTGTACCAATCTAAGCATGCGATTAGTTCCTAAAGAATCACATACTATTATCATAATATCAATATAGGTAACATTAAGGCTAAATCCAAGACAGAATCTATTTAGTAGCTACACGAATCAACTATTCCTTTATTGTTTAGTATAGTTTTAATCCGACAAACCCCGAACGTACCTTTTGTACCCAAAATCACCTCAAGTTTGAAAATTCAATCAGAACGTCAACAACAATGCAACAAAACCAATTAGAACTAAACTAAATCAGATCTAATTAACTAGGTGCTAAATTATATCAATGCCCTAATCATTAGCTTCATAATTTACTAGAATATTCTATTAATGAATCATGCTTACGTGCTTTTCGCAACTTTCTTGCTATATGTATTATGTCATACATAGCAATAGCAATTAAAAAACTCATGAACAGCCATCAGACAATAACGTATGATTACAATATTATAATATTAAAGCCAAGTGTAATCAATGGATGAGAAAAGTATTTAAAGGTTTCAAAATCCTGTCTTGTGATTTCTTTTCTTATTTGATCAGTATACAATTCAATTGAGTATAATTGATTAACAAACTACAAACTACAAATACAATACAATACAAAAACAATGTCAAACCCAGTTAAAGTTTTCTATAAAGGTGATTCTCAAGACTTCGTTGTCTTTGTTGAATCTGAAGAAATTGCATCAAAATATACTGAAGATTCCACTATACCTTTAGTTGATGTTGTTGGTACTTTTAAAGTTTATTCACCAGAATCTGGTAGAGGTGTTGAAGGTGTATTACATGAAGCTTCAAATAGAGATTTAGAAAATCAATTTGGTAAAAAACCAGTTGAAGATGTTATAAAATTTATCATTCATGAAGGTACTTTCAAGAATAATACTAAAGTTGGTAAAAAACAATGGGGTTCAACTAATGATTCAAATGGTATTAATCATTAGATGCTAAAGTTCATATGATTATTTCACGGATTATGAATTTATACAATACAATATTATCTCATGCATAGCTGTTTACTTGTTTTTGATTTTAACATATATTTAATGATCACTATTTATGATTGATTTAAAAGCACTACCGAAAACAATAGATGTTTTTCGAATTATTGAAATTTTACTTGATGTAGTAGTTCTTGTAGTAGTTCTTGAAATTGAATCTTTATTTGATGTAGTATTATCATCATCATTATTTATTGAATCATCAGTTTGTAAATTTCTTGATCCAAATGATCTCAAACTTCTTAATGAACCTTGATGATATCTTCTTGATGTTGAGTTAGACTTATTTTTAATTGTTTTTTTACGTTTAACTAATCCATTTGAAATTAATTCATCACTCCAAAGATCTTGTAATAAATATTCAACCCTTGCTTTTTCAATTTCTTTAAATTGAATAATCATTCCAGTTGTACTTGAATTTTCATTAGAGTTTGATCTATATGTATATGGATATTTTATGGAATTTTCTTCATCATTAATTAATTCAATATTAATCATTATAACATCTGAAAAATAACAATGATTAAAAATATTATTTTTATCATTTTTTAACCTTATGGATTTGAATTTATTTATTTTAGCATCTAATGGCAGTGTAAAAGGTGGTATAATTGATGAACAATATGTACCATTTTCATCATTTGAGTTTGATGAAGAATAATCAAATTTATATGGTCCATTAACATGATTAATTAATATATCTAATTTATCCTTCCAAATCTTATTTTCGAATTCATCACTTGTTGAGCATAAGACTTCAATGAGTGTATAATTATATTCAAATATTAATTTGAATGAATTTTTATAATTTGTCATGATACCACCCATATTTGAATTATTATTATTACCATCATCATCATCATTTGAATTAATATCAATTTTTTTACAAACTGATAACGGTATTAAAAATTTAACTTCAAACTTATATTCTTTTTGAATATACGCCAATACTAAATGAGTTTTAAAAAGAAATGCACCTAAAATTTGTGAATAAATTTGTCTATTTTTACCAACCCATGAACAATGTAATGAACCTGATAAAATTGGTAAACCTAAATATTCAACTGGGAATTTTAATGTTTTATTATTGAAAATTAAACTTTCAAATAATAAATTTGCTTTAAATTTTTCTTGTAAACCATATCTATTAATTTGTTTAATTTGTTCATCAATTTTATGTAAAGAATCTTCAATTGATGAATGACAAAATGGATCTTCTTGAATTGAAGTTAATTTTAATAAATTTTCTAAAAAAAGTTTATATTTAGCAATACGTGATATTGGTTTTTGAATTAATGATTGAAATGATAAATCCATTCTATTATTACCAATTTGAGTTGATTCAAGGAAATTTTGATAACCTTTTGTTAAAGTTAACCCAAATTCAGGGTCAGAATCTTTTGAATTTATTAATTTTAAAACTAAATCATGAAGACTACTAAATTCTTGATAAATAAATAATGAAATTGAACTTGTTGTAATATGTTTGCAAACCAATGCAGCCATTAATGGAGAATCACATGTAACTAATTCATTTATTCTTGATTTTAATTCATTATTATCATCATTATGAATTGTTTTATCACATTCCTGTAGGTGTTTATAAGGTAATTGGAAAATTGATTTTAACTCTGATAAAAAATTTTGATGATTTGAGATTAAAACTTCAGTATAGCCATGAATTAATCTAATTGGAATTCCATCATTACCTTTTAGTATTAAAGATTCTAAATAAGTATTTGCAAGCATTTTCAAACAACTAATATAACTTTCCTCAGTTTCAATAATCTCTTCAATAGCTTTAACTCTATGGAATGCAGCTTTTGATCTTGGAGAAAATTCATTATAATTTATAGCACATGGAGTTAATTGTGATGAATTAGTATAATCTGAAAATGCTAAATAATCTTTAGATTGACCTGTAAGTAAACCGGATGATAATTTTTGATATGCAATCTCAACACAAGAACTTGGTATATCATTCAAAAAATCTGATAAACTACCAGAGTTTGTACCTAATTGAATATTTGTACCTTTGAAACCGTTCTTCATATCTGGGAAAAGAGGTGAAAAGGGACCAAAGAAAGAACCATCATCATCTTCATCGTCATCAAATGCATTACCAAACAACAGGTCAGCATTTTCACAATGATCAGAAGAATGTCTTAGTACAGGTGGTGTTCTATCAACAGCGACGAAATCCTTCTTACTTCTCTTGTTGAACCTCGAAAGACTAGCATTGGAAGATTGGATTGAACTTTGAGTAGTTGGTCTTGAACTTGAACTATCTGGAATTGTACTCTTTAGCAAAACCATATTGGATCTCTTTTGGGGTATAATAATCTAGCAAAGTAAAATAGATCTAATCAGCAGTATTGTAAGTTCACTTGGAGCATGAATGTCTCTTTACACCATATCCAGTCACACCGATCATCATGAAAACCATATTGCCCTCATTTTATAATTACCAATATTCTGTTCAGGACCGTTGAAATCATTTTTGTGTCATTTGTTTACATTTTTTGATGTTTATTATCTTTTAAATCCGGGTAAAGTTTGTAAATTTCCGCGATTTTGGCTGCGCTGTTTTCGCGAATTCCATTAATTGTTTGGAGCGAATTCAATTTAACAGGAAACCAGAAAATCAGAGTGTTGTTTGGAATACGACTATTTAAGGGGAATCAAGTATAGAAAGATGGTGAGTAGTGTAATTTTGGTGATATTTATGGGATTTCTGTATATGTGTGTCTTTTTTTGGGAGAAGAAACTGTCAAATTTGACCAATTCAAGTGTGATTTAATTGAATATAAGGAGACACAATCAGATAAGAACAAATACCATTATCTCATAATTATCAGTCCATTGAAACTCTATTGAACTAGTTGATACTAACTATTAATGTAGTCACAAAATCAAGGAATAAGAACTCTTTTGGAAGTATGTTGATAATTTGAAGAACCATGGGGATTAAATGTTCACTAACACCACATGTTTATAGGCTGAAAAGCAAGCACATGAAATTGTTTCCAAAGCAAGAGCTTGTAAGTATATTCATATCACTCATAGCTTTAAAAAACAGGATATTAACCATATTGAATAGACCGTACCACTCGTCTAAAAGCTGCTAAAACTGATGCTGCTTCTGAAATTGCTGCATACAAAGAAGAACAAGAATCTTTATTACAAGAGAAAAATGAAAAGGTATGTACCAATAGAGTTCAAAGCTGCAAGAATGTATACTAACTATATCATCAACAGAGCTCAAATAACAATGTCAATGCTGATAAAGAAGCCGAAGATAAAGTGAAAGGTGAATTGGAAGAAATTGAAAAAATCGCTTCTGGAAAACAAGCTGAAGTTGTCAAATTATTGATCAATGCTGTCATTAAACCAACACCAGAATTACATATCAATGCCTCTTCATAGATTTGAGGTCCAAAAGGAGGAAGATGAGCCCATAATATATTTGTGTTTTTTTATATAATTGAATTTATAATGAGTAGAGTTTGAAGGATATTGTAGAATAACAGATTAAGGTTAAACAGTCCACAAATAATCGATTAAACTCATTAATTCAGTGAAAAAGTAACGATTAAACCCAGTTTTCAACCAACATTTCTGATAATCTTATGTTAAAACTGAAAATATTCCATCAACTGACACGTTAAGCGCACATAATTTTGATTTTCTCGAGAAACGTCTCGTTTAAAAACAATATAAATTTACCATTTGCAATTCAATTCTAGTTGGAAACAGACTAGGTTCAATTGGGTTAGTTGGTGCTTCATATCTCCCTAGGCACAATGGAAAACCTTTATATCCATCTCAACGCAACAAATGTGTATTTGAACACAACGTTATCGGAGTATTTCAATTCAACATTACTTGATGATTATTTACAATCTGAAAATTTACCATATCAAATATCATTTTCAGTTATAATATCAATATTATTACCATTATTATGGTTTACAAATCGTCGTTATAATTCTTCAAGACGTGCTGAAAAACCAATTAAATTTAATTTAGAAATCCCAAATGAAGCTAAACCTCATTGGAAAGGTAAAAGAATTCATCCAGTTTCAATAAAAGATCCTGAAAATCCTCAATTTATTCAATCTTATTGTCCTGCAACAGGTCAATTCTTGGGGAATTTCAAAAGTCATTCAAGAGATGATATTGATTCCATAATTGACAGGGCATCCATTGCACAAAAAACTTGGAAATATTCATCATTTATTCAACGTCGTCAATTATTGAAAAGTTTAAGTGAATATATCATTAAAAATCAAGAAAACATTGCAAGAGTTGCATGTAGAGATTCAGGTAAAACATTAGTTGATGCTTCAATGGGTGAAATTCTTGTAACGTTAGAAAAATTAAACTGGATTATTAAACATGGTGAACATGCATTAAAACCTTCCAAAAGACCTGGTCCCTCAAATATCTTGATGAGTTATAAAGGTGCAGAAGTTAGATATGAACCATTAGGTGTTGTTTCAGCATTAATTTCATGGAATTACCCATTCCATAACTTGATGGGTCCTGTTATTGCAGCTTTATTCACTGGTAATTCAATTGTGGTTAAATGTTCAGAACAAGTTGTTTGGAGTTCTCAATGGTTTATTAAATTAGTTCAAGAAGCTTTGATTGCATGTGGTCATGATCCTAACCTAGTTCAATTTGTTTGTACTTGGCCTGAAGATGCAAATTATTTCACTTCACATCCAGGATTATCACATATTACATTCATTGGTAGTAAACCAGTTGCTCATCATGTTGTTAAAGCCGCTTCTGAATCCTTAACACCTGTTGTTGTGGAACTTGGTGGTAAAGATGCATTTATTGTGTTGGATGATGTTAAAGATGTTAATCCATTGACTAGTATTATTATGCGTGGTACTTTCCAATCTGCAGGACAAAATTGTATTGGTATTGAAAGAGTTATTGTTACAGAGAAAAATTATTCAAAAATTGTTGATATCTTAGCTGAACGTGTACCAAAATTAAGATTAGGTTCTGATATTGATCAGTTAGAAGATATTGATATGGGTGCTACTATTACAGATGCACGTTTTGATGTTTTACATAAACAAATTGAAAAAGCTGTGGAACAAGGTGCTAAATTATTATATGGTGGTGATAAATATCAACATCCAAATTATCCTCAAGGTCATTTTTTCTCACCAACTTTATTAGTTGATGTTACACCAGATATGGATATTGCACAAAATGAAGTTTTCGGTCCAGTATTAACAGTTATGAAAGCTAAAGATACAGAAGATGCTATTAATATTGCCAACTCTACAATTTATGGATTAGGTGCCTCTGTTTTCGGTAATAATTGGGAAGAATTAAATAAAGTTGCAAATTCAATAAATTCAGGTAATGTTGCAATAAATGATTTTGCAACTTATTATATATGTCAATTACCATTTGGTGGTCAAAAGGGTTCAGGATATGGTAAATTTGGTGGTGAAGAAGGTTTACAAGGTTTATGTAATTTGAAAAGTATTTGTTATGATAAAATTCCATTTGTATCAACACAAATTCCACCTCCATTAGATTATCCAATTAGAGATGAAGCAAAAGCTTGGAGTTTTGTTGAAGCTTTGAATATTGGTGGGTATGATGATAGTCTTTGGAATAGAATTAAAGCTATTGGAACTTTAGCCAAAAATGCAAGTTGATTAGAATTACAATATTAGTATGTTAGATATGAAGTTTTTATGTACATTATTTTATCTAGAAGTTGATTTTCTTTCTTCCCTGGTTTAAACTCACCAGCTAATTTGAATATATATATATATAGATTCACGAAATTCATGAAGATTTAATTGTAAAGTTGATTATAAAGATCATTTCAAAACTGATTTTTCAGCAGCTTTAAAATTATTTTGTAATTCATCAGAATATTTCTTGAATAATTTCTCCACATCATTTGAAACTTTTTTAATAGCATCACTTTTTTTAAAAGTTTTCAATTCTTTTAATGCTGCAGCTCTTGCAGTTGAAAGTGCAAATTTATCATTTGAATTTTTAAAATTATCGAAATCTTTCTTTAATTGTTTTGCAATTTCATGTCTTGTTTCCACAGTTGGTGGTGGTAATGGAACTTTCAATTGTTGTGGGAAATTTGGAACAGTTTCTGGATTCATATTTAAACCTGAACCTAAAACTGAAGAGACAATATTCTTGGAATGATTAGGATCAAACACAGTAATGATTAAATTTCTACCCTTTAGGGCAGTTTGAGCTAATGATGTGAAAATGTGTGGTTTTTTATTAATTTCAACTTGAATATTGTCGAAGATTTTTGGATTTGCTGCACCTAATTTAGTTTCAGCGATTCTTTTCTTATGATGTTCTAATGATTCTTTAAATTTAGCTTCTAATTTACCCAAGACGATAGTTGGATCAGCTTCTTCAACAACTTCTTCTTCTTCTTCAGATTTAGCATTTTTACCCTTTCCACCTTTATCAGCTTTACCACCTTTTTTAGCTTTTGGTTTATACAAGATGGATGTTGATGACAAAGGTCTCACACTGACACCAGCTAAAGATTTGAGACTGAATAATGAGGATGTATTAACGATTGACTTGAACATTGCGTAGTTTGTTTAGTGGTCTTGACTCCCTTTAAACTAAGATCTAAGTATTTATGTCTCGATTTAAAGTGAAAAATCCTCGACACTTTATGATGATTACGTAACTCTGGCATAAAAATTTATATTTAATACTCAATTTTACTTCATCTCATCTCAAATTTATTTCAGACTTCAAACAGGAAATAAAAACCAATTGTGATCTGATCAAACCATCTGAGTTGATATGGAAGAACTAAAAAATCTTTGTCAGATTTGTTATACAGAAGATCACAAGTACAAGTGTCCCAAATGTGGAACCAAAACATGTTCTCTTCCCTGTGTAAAGAAGCATAAGACACAATCTCAATGTGATGGGGTTGTGGATAATACTAAATATATCAAGAGAGATGAATTCGAGTCAAATGAGCATTTAGTGCATCGTGATTATAATTTCTTAACCAATTTGAATAGAACTATTGATGTTACAAAAGGTGATGTACGTTCTCAAAATAAGAAAATTTTGGCACATAATTATAGACAAAACAATAACAAAAGATTTCAGAAACATGGTTATGATTCCAACTCAAATCAATATGAAACTATTACCAAGAGACAAGTCAATATTAGATTACTCCCGAAAGGTATGCAAAGATCAAATATGAACAAGTCCGGATGGGATAAGAAGAAGAATACATATGTATGGACTATCGAATGGATATTATTAGATCCTTTAAATGGACAAGAATTACAGAGGAAAGTATCTTATAGAATTGCAGAGAATTGTAAAATTGGAGATAGTATCCATCCTATAATTAAAGAAGAACTGAAAGACCAACCATTTTATTGCTTTTTGAAAAAACTAGATACACCAGCTTCAAATCCTAAATTTATACCTTTACAAAATGATTCATTTTTAGCAGATGCATTAAGAGATCAAACTGTCATTGAATTCCCAACTATATTGGTGTCTACTAGTGATAAAGTTGCAGGTTATACGGTATATGAAAGTGAATCAGAAAGTGAATCAGACTCCAGTGATGATAGTGATAGTGATTCTGATAGTTCATCCGAGGGCAGTTCTAGTGATGAAGATGAACAAGATGATCAGCCAGAGGAAGTGTCATCCAAGGTTCCACTGATACAAGAGATCACATCAGAAAAGACAAACAATGAAAATTCTGAACAAAAGCCTGAAGAAAGGTCTGAAGATAAATCAGAAGCTCAAGATGGTAATTAATAGAAATGAATATCATAAATAATCGCATATTAACCATAAAACCATGGGAAAACCATCATTGTAATCCTCTCACTGCGTAGAACACACTCGTAATATCCACCAACCACGATAACCCACTTATAACCCACCTATAACCTTTTAAATCAACAAGATGCCTAAATAACCACCTTTTCCTTAACTACTCGCGAATCGGCAAAATATTTTTGTTGAGATGAAAATCAACATTTAAAACTTTCAAATTAAACGTCGTTTGACAGCTGGAAACTTGAAATACTGAGGTTTGTTGGGAGAATATTGGATCTCAAGTATTGAACAAATCTATTCCTGTGTTATAAATCATTTCCTCATTAACAAAAACATCAAATTGGACAAATTTTAGGCATTTACTTTTTTTTCGCTTGTTCAGATCTCCTCTTTGATTACTACATATAGACAAAAGCAATATCAAATAAACAAAAGCATTCATATAACAAGAAAACACATTCACAATAACTCAACAACCATTCAAAATAATACACTAATACCACATAACATATATCATGTCACATCTAAGGAAACATCACCAAAAAGAAAGAGCAGGTTCACCTCTCAAGAATGAAATAACATCCTCATCATCCTTACAATCAAATCCTCCCACTATAAAATCAACAAGAAAAATATCTAAAAAGGAACCACAACATATATTCCGTCGTCATATTAGTGAATCTTCATGGACTTTATGGAATTGGTATCGACATCTTTATTGGGTTGGTGTGCTAACAACAGTTTTAATTCCATTAACTGGTTTATATTTTGCATTCAAAATTGAAATACATCCATATACAATTTATTGGTCATTTTTTTATTATTGTTTAAGTTCAACTTGTGTTATTGCTGGATATCATAGATTATGGGCTCATAGATCATTTATTGCTTCTTATCCAATACAATTTTTTTATGCATTTTTCGGGGCAAGTGCAGGTATTGGTTCTATAAAATGGTGGGCAAGTTCTCATAGAGCTCATCATAGATATAGTGATACTGAAAAAGATCCTCATACTATTAGAAAAGGTTTTGTTTATAGTCATATTGGCTGGATGACTTTAAGACCTCATCCAAAAGTTAAAAATTCAATGAAAGAATGTCTTGGTGATGATTTAATTGATAATACTCTAATTGATTGGCAAGAAAAAAATTATAATGAATTATTAATTTTAACTGGCTTAATGATTCCAAGTTTTATTTCTGGGATTTTTTGGAATGATTATGTTGGTGGATTAATCTTTGCTGGTATTATTAGAGGTGCCCTCGTGCAACATACTACATTTACTGTTAATTCATTAGGTCATTTAATTGGAACTCAACCTTTTGATGATAAGAAATCTTCAAGAAATAATTGGTTTTTATCTTGGTTAACATTTGGTGAAGGTAATAATAATTTCCATTATGAATTTAGTGCGGATTTCCGTAATGGAATTCATTGGTATGATTTTGATCCTGTTAAATTCCATTTGATCATATTAGAAAAATTTAAATTAGTTAAAAATCTTTATAGAGCTTCAAATTCTTCAATTAATCAATGTTTATTACAACATCAACAAAAATTAATTGATAAAAGAAGAGCTAAATTAAATTGGGGTGTTCCAATTGATCAATTACCAATAATTTCTCCAGAAGAATTTAGAAAATGGGCTAAAGATGAATCACATAATCGTGCTTTAATAGCCGTGGCGGGGATAGTTCATGATGTTACACCATTTGTTGATGATCATCCAGGTGGTATTGCACTAATAAAGACATCAATAGGTAAAGACGCAACAAGTGCTTTTAATGGTGCAGTTTATGATCATTCTACAGCTGCTCATAACTTGTTAGCAACAATGAGAATTGCGGTGTTAAGTGGTGGTACTGAAGAGATTGTTTGGAAACAACAACAACAAGAAAATAAAGATGTTCCATTGAAACAAGATTCAACAGGTCAAAAAATTGTTAGAGGTGGTGAACAAGCTACTATAATTAAAAAACCTTTAAGAACTGCAGGTGCGGCATAGACCAACAAAAAAATAAAGGATAAAAGGGGGATATTTATTAGAGAAGGATAATGAAGTAATATTAATGACTATTTATTTTAATTTTAAGCAAAATTGATTTCAGAAATTCAACAAATGTAATTGTAATTGAAAAGAAGTGGTTATTGTTTTGTTACGCCCACATGCGCGAAATAAATTTTTATATAAAAGAAAAATTATACGGATCTCAATTTAACCCTTCTGAAAATTTATGATAAAGATCCAAGGATTATTCCCTTCCAGAATTTTGGTATGAATTTAGTTCCTACATCGTGGTCATAAAACTTGATGGTTATAATGAAGAGGACGTCGACTTCGGTCGATTGTCAAGTAATTATATGTCCACTCTTGCTGGACTTACCTTGACGTTTGGTGGTTTGATTAAAGGATTTTATGATTTTGCAAACGTATTTATAGATTGAAGATGATTTAAATTCATTGTACAATATCTTTATACCAAAATCATAGAACATATTACCCAAGACTTGTGGTTTCATTACAATCACTTTGAATATACACAAGCTTTAATTCTTTTCCAATTGATAAACAAGTAGTCTACGTAAACAACATGAATTTCAAGATATAAATAATACAATATAATTTTAAATAAGATCTATCTAGATGGTGTATAATTATAATCCCAATTTTGTGAAGGACCACCAGGTGTATAATTTTGTCCTGAAGGTGGTGGACCCAATGGTAACATACGAGCCGGTGTGGAAGGATAACCTTGTTGTTGATACTGATCCCATTGTAATTGTTGTTGTTGTCCCAATTGATATGGATCAATATTTGAATCCCATCCATAATATGATTTAGCTCTAACAAATCCAAACACAAAATTTGAAGTAAATGCCCATCCAATAAGACCAACACCAAACACAATAATAGCTTTAATACCAATTGGTTCAATTAATGAATTTAAAATCAAACCTAAAGTTTCAGCACTAACACTTGCTTTCCCAGCTTGGGTTGTTGGATCTCTATTCATACATCTTTCCCATTCTGTACATAACACTTCTAATGCTGATACTCTTGTTTCTGGAGCACATTTATTTTCAATATAAGATCTTGTACAACGTGAAACTTCCATAGCAATTTCTGCTGCATATTCTTCCATTTTTAAATTAATATCTGATTTCACTGTTTTAATTGCATTAATTAAGATATAAATTGCAATACTTGATGTGACAACATTAAATAATAATTGTAAATATGAACTAATAATATATGGTGTTGGAGCTTTAGGTTCTGCAGCTTTAGACCAAGGTGCTGGTAAGGGAATAATATCTTTATATGGAGTATATTGAGATCCATTAGGAGTTCTTGATGGTGTGGAAAATGCAGATGAAGGATTTGATGGATAATAATGATGATGATGAGTTTGCAATTGAATTGGTGTTTTACCCCATGGTGTTCTTAACATACCATTTGATGCAGCTGGAGTCATGAAATTATCTTGAGATGATGAATCTTGATTTGTAGAATCTTCATCAAATGTTGAATCTAAATCTTGTGTTGAATCTTGTGTTGTTGTTGTTGTATTTGTATTTGTATTTGAAGAAAATCTAACCAATCCTAGTTGTTGGGGTTGATTTCTATTTCTTAAACTAGAATCTGAATTTTCATCATCGCCATGTTCAATAGAACTAGAAATTGAATCATTTATGAATGAATTATCATCTGCTGTTTCTTGTAATTCTTTATTTAAATTTGATTTAAATGGTGATTTAGTAGTTGTAGCAATTCTAGCACCCAATTCAGTAGGAGAAAAGATAGTATGTGCAGTATGAGCAAATGATTGTGAAAAACTATGACTTGTATCAGCTTCAGTCATCATAACATCACTATCATCAATATTCATTTCATCATCACTAAGAATTTCATGATCTTGTGATGTAGGAGAATTTGCAGAATTAACACTCATTTTCAAAGGGGAAGACCTCACTGGTGTATGAGGGTGTTGATATTGTAGTCTCTTAGCTAACAGTCTAGATTGCAAAGTTGTTTCTTTCATTTTTTTATCACCATCTTCATCTTCATCACTTATTGATAGACCAGATGTCTTATTCAAAATCATATCATCATCATTTGATTGTGGTTTTTTGGAAGGTGTGCTGGATGAAAGCAGTGACATCCCACCATCCAATGACAAATTACCAATAGACTCCTCTACACCCATAATTTGAACAACTATTTCTTTGGTTCTGATCAGAATCCACTAACAAATTCCATTTCTTTATTATGTTTTTGTTTTTTTCTCGCCAATGTTTTGATTTCATTTTAGTGTGAAAACCAGGAAAAAGTACATAACCGTTGAAATTTTTAACAATTTATAATATTTAATATACAAATTTACACAAGATTTTGACTCACAAATCAGTACTTTTCATGGATTCTTCCACTTTATCACACACGGAAAGTAAAGTATGTGCTGATTTACCAACTTCACCACCTTCTTTAACGAGATTTTTCGAGTTTTTACGGATTTGTGGGATGAAATATTCAATTAAAACTTTTTTTCTTGTAAGATAATCTTCACAACTTATTGTGTTTAAATCGATTGTATTATCTGTGGTGTTTTTATTTGTTTTGGATGATAGTTCCACTGTAAATAGTTTGAGGTGGGCAAATGGTTGTGGTGTCACAGGGATCAAATATTTAGTGGTTAATGGATGTGAAGTTAATACAATTTTTTGTTTACCTGAGGCAGATTCATCTGGGAAACAACCAGTATTTATAAATTTGATCAATGAATCTAAACTTTGTTTCTTTGTTTTATTTGATGAATTTGTAACTGATGAACTGGTTATAGCTAATGAAACTGATTGTTTAGTATCATTTAATGTCCAACTTAACAATCCAAAATATGATTTAAGAGTCTTCACCCAAGCAGATCTAACTAAGGAATCTGGACCAAATTTGATCAAAACATCCAAGAATTTAGTTGAATCATTTCTAATATCTGGAACAATGTGTGTCATTGCACTATGAACAAATAAAATGATTGATCTTGTATGTAATTCCATTAAATTTGGTTGTTTTTCAGAAGCATGAACTAATAAATCAATCAATGCAGATCGTACAGATCTTGATTGATCTATTATTAATGGCACCACAGCGTTCAATATTTGTTTATATAATGAAGGGTTTTCTGGTAAATGTTCTTGAATGTATATAAGTGTTTCTTTTCTTGTTGTTGATGCATGATGTTTAACAAGTGATAATCTTTTGATCAAATCTGTTTCTTGGTCGAGATTTCTTTTGGAAAGAACTTGATTTGGTAATGAGATGGCTGACAATCAGCATGTTAGTATTCTGATCATTGATTATCTTGATATAGTATATTATTCAACTTACTCTTTGCAACAAATGAAGTATCTGTAAAATTTGATGGTTTAGCTTTAGTTTTACCAACTTTTAACTTGGTTTTCTATAAAATCATTGTTAGTTAATGCTTTTTTCCAACGGAAAAAAGAGCCACCACATACTTGAAAATCCTTCTTCTTCTCCTTTTGCTTCTTAGTAGAACCCATAGTGTCTTTATACCCTTTCTAATCTAAACTAATTTGTTCCAATTCAGTACAAAATGTTTTAAATGAGATGAGCTTTTAAAAAAAATTAAATTTTGCGTTACGCGACACACAAAAATTAAAGTGTTCGCGAATTTTCATTTAAAGCACATAAACAAAATTGTTGAAATCAATGGCGAAAAGTTGGATTCTTTGACAATTTGATATCAATTTCAAAGTTTGGTTCAATATAAGGTATTCAGGATGAGTTCCAGGGCATTGAGAAGATTAGAGAAGCAAAGAGAGCAGGAAAAGTTGGCTCAACAAGCTGCAGTGGAGCAAGAAGAGGAATCTGAAGAAGAGTATGTCCAGCCAAAGAAAGCTCAGAATTTGTTTGCATTGATGGGTAATGATGATGAAGATGAAGAGGATAATGAAAGTGATGTTCAAGAAGAAGAAGAAGAAGTCAAACCAACTATTCAACTACCGACAAAATCCCAGAAAAAATCCAAAAAGAAGAAGAATAAAGCTAAAAAGAAAGCTTCTTCTCAAACTCCAGAACCTGAAGATAATGAAAGAGATGAACAAGATGATGAATTGGATCAAATTTTAAAAGAAATCAACAAGAAGGAAAGAAGACTTATAGATACCACTGGTGAAGATGATGATCAAGAAGAAGATGAAGATGATTTCACACATGATATTATAGATCCTTCATATAGATTCTTTACGCCATTAAAACAATATAAAGCTGCATCATTATTGAAAATTAATCCAAAAGATCTTGACCCTGATACTGAATTTAAAAATTTATTTGGTAATTTATCCGCTGAAGCGTTAGAAGATGCTGATTCTACGACTTCAACTTCAGTACCACCAGAAATTTTACAACAAATTAAAAGATTATCAAAAGTTGTCAGAGGTTGGGGTGGTCGTGATAGAAGGTCTATCCCAGGTACCACGAGAAAATTGATCTTAACCAAAATAAGAGATGATTGGATTCCAACAAATACAAAAGATTTAAGTATGGAGGAATTATCATTAAAAGAAATTGCTGATAATAAAGCTAGTGAAACTGAAGATTGGATTGATGTTATTAAAGAAGATGTTAAAAAATTAAGTAAATATGGTATAAAGCAATATAAATTTGAAAGAGGTCCGGAATCAAAAATTGCAAATTCTCAATTTTATGCATCTGTTGTTGTTAGACCAAATCATGAAAATTTAATTCAAGCTTTAAATAGATTCCCATATCATGTTGAAACTATCTTACAAGTGGCATTAATCCTGATAAGACAAGGTGATAAAAGTAATAGTAATGGATTAGTAGAAAGAGCATTATTTGCATTTGATCGTGGGTTCAAACAAAATTTTGATTTATGTAATGGATTAACAAGATTACCATTTAATTATTATTTAAATCGTCAGTTTTATTTAGCAATTTTCAGATATATTGAAGTCTTGGTTAAGAAGGGTACATTATTCACTGCTTTTACATATGCTAAATTATTATTATCATTATCTCCAGCTGATGATCCATTCGGTACTAGATATTTTATTGATTTTTATGCTATAATTTCAGGTGAAAATAAATTTTTGATTGATTTTGTTGATAGTCCTTTAGTTAAAACTTATAGTCAATGGTATACACCTGGTTTAGCATATTCAGCAGCTTTAGCATTTTTAAATTTGAAAAATGAAGTTAAAGCTAAAGAATATTTGAAAAAAGCATTTATTAAACATCCATTCACTGGTTATAAATTATTAGAAGCTATTGGATTGGCAACTGATATTCCAGTTAATGATTATTCTATTTTTGAAGTTGGTCAAGAAACTGAAGTCTCTACAGAAGCTTATTTAGTAAGAGCACCAATCATGTGGAAAGAATCAAAAGATAGAAAATTCTTACATGATAACTTGTTAGAATTCATTAATAATAAAGTTAAATTACAACCAACTCATGATGGAGTTATACCAATAAATTTCTTAAGATTTGCAATTTTATCAGGTGAAGGTAAAATCATGGCTAAAATTCCATCTGAAGTTTGGGATCAAAATGAATTTTATGAATATGATGTCCTTCCACCAAAAATAGGTGATGTTGAAGTTTTGGAAGATTTTATTGATCAAAGATATACAGCTGCTACTTATAATGAAGAGGAAATGTTGGATATGGCTAGAAATATGAGTCTTCAAGATGCTATTGAGAATGGATTCCAGGGAATTCCAGGTGCATTTCCAGAAGATGATTAGTGTGTAATTGTGAATATCATTATACTTAATTTATTTGGATCTAATATAGTAGATTCAAGAGTCAGGATATCAGATATTGTATTAGTGCGTTTGTAACTTTCTTTTCGCGACTAACTTCACCACTTTTTTCTGGGGTTTGTTTGAATTTAACTATGGGGGCATGAAAACAATAGAAGTTAGCTTGGAGATTGCACAAAAAGAGCTGATTACTTTAATAGGTTTATAATCATGGTCTGGCCATTCCACGCTAATTCGTCACCTGTGAAACAAAATGAAGATAAGATCGAGGAACAAGTAATACAAGAATTACCTAAAGATCTTGGTGACTTCCTCAAGGCTAAGAACAGAGAAAGATTCAGATTCAAAGATGATACTGTGGATGAAGATTTCGGTTCTTTCAAGAAGTTTTATAATCCAAACACAATATCCAAGACAAATTGTGCAGAGTTTGAACAAGCTATAATGGATTGTTTTGATAAAGGGTCAACAAAGGAAAAATTGTCGATGTGTAAGGATCAAACTACAAGATTGACTAAATGTTTAGGATTTCAAAAAATTGTTATTAATAAATTAGGTGTTGATCAGATTGAATCTAAGGATAAATTTTACAAGATTGAACAAGTTGCTGATGATATTGGTTTAAAATGGGAGTCAAAAGTTGAAGATCCAAATATATTACCTCAAGAAATTTTGGATGATATTTATGAAAAAAGAGATGAGATTTGGAAAGAATCATAACAATTTTGACTCATGAGCCTTATTTATTATTATTATTTATACATATACACATTATTTATCAGATTCTTCAACAAGTTTCTTCAAATCATTCCAATATTCTAACTTTTTGATTCTTGGGATTGTTACTAAACCTGATGTTGAAGGAACAACAAAGCATTTACAATTGAAAATTTTTTGATCTTGTAACCCCCATGTAAATTTTTTCGTCTTACTATTGTTTGTATGTTTCGATATACTATCCCAAATACCTCTACCAACAAGACAAAGAACTTTAGGTTTATAAGTATTAATTGTATTGATCAATCTTGGGACATTATGTTGCATTTCTATAGCTGGTATTTCTTCAATATTCTTTGTTGGTCTCATTACGAGTTCAGTAAATCCAATCCTAAATCTCTTGGGCATAGATTCATCATCCTCTGGTGTTAATTTTGTATCAACTATACCTGCTTCATGGATGATTTTCCAAAAATCATTGGATTTATGACCATACCTATGACCAATCTCTGCAGATTTTATACCTGGATTAAACCCACAAAACACTAGCTTTAAATTGTAATCCAACAAGTCTGGCAATGGATCTAAGTGCTTGTATAACAACTCTGACTTGTGATATTTATAACTGGATGTTTTCTTTTGAATCTTATGAGGCAAAGATGAATTCGCAACTTTCTTTCTTGGACTTGTCCTTAGAGATACTGGCCGAATTACTGTGTTTTCATTCTCTTTGTAAGCAAACTTTTCTGTTAAATTCTTGAAGTTATCCATAAACTCAACTTTGTATCTGTCCAACAAAATCAAGTGAAATCACTGGTTTCTATACCTTTTAAATGATATTATTACACTTTTTTTTGTCATTTTTTGGTTATTATGGGACATAAATATCTCCATGGTAACTTAGTAATTTGCCCAATCGGGTAATTTTTCCAAATTCACGAAAATTGAATGCGTCGAAAATTTAAATTTGACGCGTCTAATTTGTAACTGAAAAAAGTATTTTATCCCTTTTAAATACGTTTTTTATTTTTGTTTTCGTATAAACAAACTGGTTCATCCTTCTTTCTATTAGATTTCTGAGCTAAGAAGTTAACACACATAATTAACAATATGGATGAAGTTAATGAAACAGCTGATGCCATCTTTGGTGATCGTCTTCGTCGTTTCCAGGAATTTTTAGATGCAGCTGATGGGTCAACAGATTATAGAGAATCCATTAGAGATTTATTGACAAAAGGTGAAAAAAGATTGGTGGTTTCAGTTGATGAACTAAGAGAGTTCGATAGAGAATCATGGACTGGGTTATTGAATGAGCCAGCTGATTTTCTTCCAGCTTTCGAAAGAGCATTGAGAGATATGGTCACAGCTATCTATGATCCAAATAATCCAGGTTTCAAAGAAATTGATGATCAAAATCAATTTTATTTAGCTTTTAGAGGTGCTTTTGGTCATCATTCTGTCTCTCCAAGAACTATTAGAGCTACACATTTATCCAAGATGATTTCAGTGGAAGGTATCGTTACAAGAGCTTCTTTAGTTCGTCCAAAAGTTGTTAGATCTGTTCATTATTGTGAACATTCTGGTAGATTTCATGCTAGAGAATATAGAGATCAAACAACTTCATTCAATCCAATCACAACTGCTGCTATATATCCAACAGAAGATCCAGATGGTTATAAATTAATGACTGAATATGGTTATTCAACTTATAGAGATCATCAAACTATTACATTACAAGAAATGCCTGAAAGAGCACCTGCTGGTCAGTTACCAAGATCTTTAGAAGTCGTTCTTGATGATGATTTAGTTGATACTTTGAAACCTGGTGATCGTGTTCAAATCGTTGGTGTTTATAGATCCTTAGGTGGTGCTGGTAATACATCATCTTCATTTAGAACTGTTATCTTAGCAAATTCAGTTTATCCATTACATGCTAGATCTACAGGTGTTTCAGCTAAAGAAACAATCACAGATTCAGACATAAGAAATATTAACAAAGTTTCCAAAAATAGTAAAGTTTTTGAAATGATGTCTCAATCATTAGCACCATCAATTTATGGTCATGAATATATCAAAAAAGCTGTTTTATTAATGTTATTAGGTGGTGTGGAGAAAAATTTAGATAATGGTTCACATTTAAGAGGTGATATTAACGTCTTAATGGTTGGTGATCCATCTACAGCTAAATCTCAAATTTTAAGATTCGTGTTAAATACAGCATCATTAGCTATTGCCACTACAGGTAGAGGTTCTTCAGGTGTTGGTTTGACAGCTGCTGTTACCATGGACAAAGAAACTGGTGAAAGAAGATTAGAAGCGGGTGCGATGGTTTTAGCTGATAGAGGTATTGTTTGTATTGATGAATTTGATAAAATGTCTGATACTGATAGAGTTGCAATTCATGAAGTTATGGAACAACAAACAGTTACAATTTCCAAAGCTGGTATTCATACATCACTAAATGCTCGTTGTTCAGTTGTTGCTGCTGCAAATCCTGTGTTTGGTCAATATGATGTTCATAAAGAACCACATAAAAACATTGCATTACCAGATTCATTATTATCACGTTTTGATTTATTATTTATTGTCACTGATGATGTTAATATGGAAAGAGATAGATCTATTTCTGAACATGTTTTAAAATCACATAGATTCCAACCTGCAGGTTATGCTGAAGGTGAACCAATCAGAGAAAAAGTTAATTTATCATTAGCTGTTGGTAACGAAAAATTAAATCCAGAAGATGATGAAGATCAAGAACAACCAGTTTATGAAAAATTCAATCCATTATTACATGCAGGTGCTGAAGCTGCATTAAATGTCAATCATACAAGTGGAAAACGTAAAAAACCAAAGATTTTATCAATCCCATTTATAAGAAAATATGTTCAATATGCTAAAAATCGTATTGAACCAGTTTTAACAAAAAATGCTTCTGATTATATTGTTCAAACATATGCTGATTTAAGAAATGATGAAGGTAATGTTGGTCAAAGAACCTCTCCAATCACAGCACGTACTTTAGAAACATTAATTCGTTTATCAACTGCACATGCAAAAGTTAGATTAAGTAAAACTGTTGATGTTAAAGATGCTAAAATTGCTGAAGAATTATTGAAATTTGCCCTATTCAAAGAGATTGTTAAGAAAAGAACAACTAAGAAACAAAAAAGATCCCGTCATGGCTCTGAAATTGATACTGATGAAGAAGATGAAACTGCACAAGAAGAAGATGATGATGATGATGAATTAGAAGACCGTGATGAATTTATCCCAGAAAGAACACCAGCAGGTTCACAAAGAAGTACAAGAAATTCACAAAGAATTAGACAACCTTCAAGTCCCGCTCGTTCTTCACAACCTGGTCTTAATGAAGATGATTATATTCCACGTCATCCAGATGATGATACTCAAGAAACACAATCTTCTCAAGTTCCTGAAGAATTAATAAGCGGTTTACATATAGATCCACCAACACCATTAGAACCTGCTGAAGAAGAAAACGCAGAATCATCAGGCCCAGCAACACCAAATGAACCAGAACAAGAACCTGTTAGACCATTGGCTACAGCTCAACCTATACAGAGGGCACCAACTATTTCACCTGATAGATATAAGACAATTTCTCAAATTGTTGCAATTTTAGTTCAAGGTGAATTGTTTGATAATGATGAAAGTAACTGTCCAATAGGTTTATTATTAGATGAAGTTAACAAAAAAGTTTCAACTGAAGATCAATTCACAGAAGAAGAATACAATGCCGCTCTTAATGAATTAGAAAAAAGAAATCATATAATGAGAGCTGACGGTAAAGTTTATAAAGTTTAGTTTCAAGGGTCTTAGTTCTATGTTTATGATTTGATTTTGGTTCGTATATATTAATTATCATTATTCTGATTTTGAAATTTCATGGTTTGTTTGTTGATCTGGTTTTACTTTGTTTTTTGTTCAATATTCTTAATTTTTAATTTAGCTAGTCGTTTATATACGCGTTGATATTTACAAATGTTTTTGATTTATACTTCAAAGATTCGTAATTAATATAAACATTAAACTATATAATGATCCAGCGTCTATTCATTTCGAGAATTATCATCATGTTGTAAATTATTAGCTAAAGTAGCTTCAAATGGATTAGCATTAGGATGTGTAACAGCAGCACTTTGTAAAGGAGTATGAACTGTTGGGATATTTGGTAAGAATGGTGTATTGATTTGTGGGATTGAAACCACTGATGGAATTGATGAAATCATTGTAGGTTGATATGTTGTAGCAGATTGAGGGATTGAAGAATTCATTGAAGAAAAAGAATCATTAATTAATCTGTATGAACTAACTTCAAGCATTATTGTCACGTCTTTTGTTGCTTTTGTAAGACTTGCTAATGAAGGTCTGACACCATTTAAAATTGGCATTTCATTCATAATTGACTTTGTTGAGCCTAAAATTGTAATGATTGATTTTAATAATGCATTAATCTCATCAAAGAATTTCTTTTTATCTAATAATGATCCATTTTTAATACTATTTGAAATTAATTTTGATTTTATTTTCCTATTAAGATCCATTGAAACAACACAAGTATTTGTAAGATCTTTAATCTTAGGAATTGTTGTTGGATTAAGAGATTGTTGTTGATCTTCTGCAGGTTTTGTCGCATTAGCAATAGCACCTTTAGAAATGGCATCATTTAATTCAGCATAAACTTGACTTGAAGATTCCAGCACGGTATGTAATGATTCATAAAGTTTTTGGTCGGCTTCATTATATTCATTTAATTGTTGTTGAGTTATTGCAACGCTATTAGACAAATCATTAACTTTTAATGGTGGAAGTTGTGAAACACCAGATCTTGTGTTATTATTAGTAGTAGTATTATTATGATTATTTGAATAAATATCTTTTGGATTTCTTTGATTTGATTGTGTGCTTGGTCTTAATATCTTGTAAGCATTGAAAACTTCACCATATGATAAAAATAATGAAAGTAATAACATTCTAACAAAGCAAACATCAGCATTTTTAACATAAGAATGAATATTTCCTTGTAATAAATCAATCATTTTTTTAAAAATTGAAACAGTTTGATTAACAGATTGTAAAATATCATCAATTGATACATAACCATCATTATTTTCTTCAGTTTTTTCAAGATTTTCTACTAAATGATCAATAATTGATTTTGAATGATATAATTGAGAAACCATTTCAATAACAATATTTTTATCAGAACAAAAAACATTTAATTTCTTTATTGTTGATTGAAATTCTGTTATAGCGAAAAGTATTTTTCTTGATATATCAACAATCTTGAATTGTGATATATTTGGCCTTTGTTCAGGTAAGGTGGATAATCTTTTGAAATAATCTCTTGATTTATGTTCTGGAATGGAATTTAATTTATCAGAATGAATTGGAGAAGCGTTTGAATTAGTACCACCATTACGTAACCTATTTGAATCTTTTAAATCTTGAATTTCATCTTCTTCTTCAATTATATTAGAATTTGGTGGTATAGCAGTTGTGGTGGACATTGATCTATTTCTCCAAGGATCATTAGATGATGATGGATTTTCCTCATGAGATTCTTTCAAATCAGAAGATGAAGATTCAATATTTGGTCTTTTCACTATAAATCCCATACGTTTAGCGGCTCTTGAACTAACGTAACTTTCGGATGTACTTCTTGATCTTTCTAAATGAGGTAAAGACGTTGTAGATGATGTTGCTGATGATGTTGTTGATTGTGATTGTGATGAAAGATGGGATGATAATGGTGGTTTTTCAGTTTCTTTGATAGGTGTTGTTGTTGATACATTATCTTGCAACTGTTGTGATATGTCATAAGCTGGAATATTTGTTTCTATTAGTTCTTTATTATGATGTAAGAAAGTTTTTATTTCATATAACCATTCTGGTGATTGTGGTTTATGTGGTATATTATTTATAAATGATTGAGATGGGATTTTTAAAGGATTATTTTCCACTTCTAATATTTTTAAATTTGTTATTGATAATAGAGAAGTTGGTAACACTTCAAAATTATTATTTTTCAAAGATAACACTTTTAGATTTTTCAAATGACCTAAATCATTTGGTAAACTTCTTAAGTTATTAAAACTAATATCCAAAATCTCAAGTTCAGTCATTGTTGTTAAAATTTCTGGGAATGTTGTAAATCTATTATCATGAATATCTAAATATCTCAATTTTGATAATCTATTAAAATATTGTGGTAACATTGATATATTATTTTTCTGTAAACTAAGTCTCTCGACATTTCCCCTAATTAATTCAATAGCTTCTGGTGGTATAGATTGAATATTTAACCCTATTAATTTCATTCCCCCAGCATCTTCTTCACTCTTCATAGATCGCGTAAGCTCCTCTGTAATCAGCTGAATAAGCCTAGTTCGGCTGCTCTGTTGTGATTCTGAAGACATTTAATGTGATTATAATGAACCGAATGCAATAGAATAACCAACAAGCAACGAAGACAATACCAAATCTCAGCTTAACAAGTTAAGGATCAAATAGTACTTTTGTTGTGTGTCTTTATTTAGCGAAGATCGATCAGGTTGATCTAGACTGATTTTTTTTAAATTTTGCTTTTAGTTCGCTTACATAAGTGATTACAAATCAGTATACCAAAACAAATATTTACAAAGTAAAATTAGTGAAACTACAGAATTTCTTAAGCAAAAATATATATCATATCTATTACTTCTATTGAGTATCTTCCATATATTCTATCTATTCAGAAAGATACCACCCTTAATTAAATGGTGGGGGATAATATGGCCATTCATATTGAGTAGTATGTTTAATTCTAACATCTAAATCATCTGCCCACTTCCAAACAAGAGCAGGATTTTTTAAGAATCCTTTACCAACTAATACTATGTCAGCATCACCATTTTCAATAATTTCATTAGCGAATTTAGCTTCTTCAATCTTACCAACAGTAGCAACTAAAAGTTTATCCCCAACATGTTCCTTAACAGCTTTAGCTAATGGGACTTGGAAACCTTGATAAGGTTTTCTTCTTTCAGCTTGGGAACTGTTACCACCTGATGAAACATCCAAGACATCAACACCATGCTCAATCAAGTAGTCTGATAATTTAACAGTATCTTCAACGGTCCATGAACCTTCGAGATGTGGAGCTAATTCTGATCCTGAAACACGAACAAATAATGGTTGATGATCAACTTTAACAACATCAAGAATTTCTAATAAGAATCTAATTCTATTTTCAAATGAGCCACCATATTGATCAGTTCTCTTATTTGAGGTTCCAGATAAAAATGAACTTAATAAAAATCCATGAGCAGCATGAACTTCAACAAAATCAAATCCAGAAATTTCTCTAGCTCTTTTAGCAGCGTCACCAAATTTTTGAACAAGATCTTGAATTTGTTCAACAGATAATTCAGTTGGTGTTACATAAACTTCTTCAGTATGTGCGATTGGACTTGGACCAACAATAGCACCTGGAACATCACTCCAACCAAATTCTGCTTTACCAACACCTCTTTGTAAAGCATTATACATTGCAGTACCTGAAGCTCTTCTACCACCGTGACCAATTTGAATACCGATCTTGACACCTTGAGCATGAGCAAACTCGACAATAGGTTTCAATGCTAAAGCATGTTCATCAGACCAAATTCCTACATCTTCTGGTGATAATCTACCATTTGGTTCAACTGCACTTGCCTCAATGATGATTAAACCTGGACCTTGAATTGCAAATGAACCATAATGAATTGAATGGAATGGACTTACTTTACCTAAATCAGGTCCATCATGAGCGGTGGAATAAGTACACATTGGTGAAACACCAATTCTATTGTTTATGGTCAAATTCTTAATAGTTAATGGGTTGAATAAACTTGGGATTTGTTTATCACCATTTTCATTTGCAATACCAACTGGTATTTTGTTTTTTGGATAAAAGTATGGAACTTTGTCACTTGGTTGAGTTAGATATCTATTTTCTTCACCTGTGGTCATATTGATTCTAAGTATTCTATGATTGAATGTTTACAAACAATTGAATAAATACAAGTAATCAAAATCATAAAGTATACGGATTTCCGATCTTTTTTATATTACTCATATCGCTATCATATATAGGACATATAAGGACCTTAATTTTTCACCGCCGGTGAGCACTGGCACTAATTAATAGTTACTAATTAAACGCGCCACAAATCACGATATCTTCAAGACAACCAATACGGTAACATACTCAAAAGAAAGTTAAGGCTAGTGCGATCAACTTTTGATTATAAATTGAGTTTTAGCATATTGTACTTGTATGCTCTTAAAGGATTTACTAGGTATTTCATGGCTTGTTATAAGTTGTAATTACTAATTGAATATATTGATGGATATTGCATTTGGGTAATATTCAGGCCGATATATAGGCAAATACATCCTTTCAAAAAGTACGCGCCAAATATACACCATTGTATATTAGACATTATATGCAAACTAACTTATCCGGCATCATGATATTTCAGACATCTATTAAAGTTGGGATCCAGTAGTTGGTTACAACTGTTGGAATCTCTAGCCTTTCCACATTCGGTTACAACTTACGTATGATCTGATTGAATTAAGTAACTGATTTACATATTAGATAAATCATATGGGATTATGATTATGAGATTAATAATGATACTAATAAAGCCACACGCCACACGTAAATCTGATCTATATATTATGTCGACCATAGTCAAGACTCAAGACTCAACGTACGTCAACACTTTTCTGTTAACCATGCCACGTGAAACTACCTGCATCATTTCTCCTTCAGAACGCCTAATTGTCATTTGTACTCTACCTTTTTCATTATATCTCTATATCTCATCTCAATATATAATATCTCCACAAATATCTTGACCTGAGTAACGAGTACTGTAAGTCATTTATGACGCTTAATTCATTATAATTCAAAGTACCGTATAATTGAAAGGCGCTCTCATAACAAATAACCATTTTATGCATAGCATTAGTAGCTTATAAGGAATGAATTAACCATGGATTATTCCCCACTCAAAACAATATCAGATCTATAATCTGGGCTCGTACAAAACAATAAACTTTGATCAAATATACTTAAATATCACGATAATATCACATATAATAAGTATATATACATATCTATTATAATTCCATATTGAATACTAACTGGATACAAAATGCCGTCCATTATTTAAAAGGTGGATAATAATATGGCCATTCATATTGATTAGTATGTTTAACTCTAACATCTAAATCATCTGCCCATTTCCAAACAAGAGCAGGGTTTCGTAAGAAAGCTTTACCAACTAATACTATATCAGCTTCACCATTTTTAATAACGTCATTAGCAAAGTTAGCTTCAGTAATTTTACCCACTGTAGCAACTAAAAGTTTATCACCAACATGATCTTTAACAGCTTTAGCTAATGGAACTTGGAAACCTTGACCTGTTTTCCTTCTTTCAGCTAGGGAACTGTTACCACCTGATGAGACATCTAACACATCAACTCCATGTTCAATCAAGTAGTCAGATAATTTGACAGTATCTTCAATGGTCCATGATCCTTCGAGCTGTGGAGCTAATTCTGATCCTGAAACACGAACAAATAATGGTTGATGATCATCTTTAACAACATCAATAATTTCTAATAAGAATCTAATTCTATTTTCAAATGAACCACCATATTGATCAGTTCTCTTATTTGAGGTTTTAGATAAGAATGAATTTAATAAATAACCATGTGCACCATGAATTTCAACAAAATCAAAACCTGATATATCTCTAGCTCTTTTAGCAGCATCACCAAATTTTTGGACAAGATCTTGAATCTGTTCGACTGATAATTCAGTTGGTGTTACAAAAGATTCTTCATCATAATTAATTGGACTTGGACCAACAATAGCACCTGGGACATCACTCCATCCAAATTCTGCTTTACCAATACCTCTTTGCATAGCATTATACGTTGCAGTACGCGATGATTTTCTACCACCATGTCCAATTTGAATACCAATCTTGACACCTTGAGCATGAGCAAACTCTACAACAGGCTTTAGAGCTAAAGCATGTTCATCAGACCAAATACCTAAATCTTCTGGTGCTAATCTACCATTTGGGTCAATTGCACTTGCCTCAACGATAATTAAACCAGTACCTTGAACTGCATATGAACCATAATGAACTAAATGAAATGGAGTACTTTTTCCCTTATCTGGACCATCATGAGCAGTGGAATAAGTACACATTGGTGAGACACCAATTCTAATATTATTCAATTTCAAATTCTTGATAGTTAATGGATTGAATAGACTTGGAATTTGTTTATTTGTATCATTTTTATATGCAATACCAACGGGTATTTTGTTCTTTGGATAAAAGTATGGAACTTTATCACTTGATTGAGTTAGATATCTATTTTCTTCACCTGTGGCCGTCATATATATTGATTAAAATGTCTACGAGCAACTGATAAGAAGGTTTTATATATATTTAAGCTTACAATGCTAAAGTATACGGATTTCCGATCTTCTTTATATACTGATTCATCATAGATCATAGGGCTTTGGTTTTTCTTTACCTGTGGGCCTGTGGCCTGTGGGCCTGTGGCCTGTGGGCACTGGGCACTGATTATTAATTATATATTGGTGGATATCACTTTTTGGGATTCAAGCCGATATATTCAATTATATCATTTTAAAAACCAAATATAAACCATGTTAATATGGCTGACATCTGCAAACAACTTATCCATCATTGTAGTTCAGACATTTAGCGTAGTTGAAACTTGGGATAAAGTAGTTGAGTACAATACGTCTTAATGGCCCGGTGTTACTTTGTTAACACTATATAGTACAACGAATAGCTGGTAATGATGAAAAGAATGCTTATATACTCAAATAATGGATGATTTCTGCTCTAATTTATATTATATATGTTGCATTGTGAGAACCAAATCATCCAATATGTACCACTTGTGGCCGGTTCCCATAATGTCTGAATAGTCTATTATAGGTTTATATATAGTAATATATTATCTTAATAACGTCGACGTACCACTAGTTCTCTAGTTCTTCCTACAATATTGCACGAGCCACTTGTAGTTCCTAAGGTGCAATTGTGGAACCCACATGTACTTCTCGAATCTCACATATGTCAAAACCCCAGTTATATTCTCGCAATATCCACCTAATATACATATGGTTCTCACAATATTCCATTAAACACCAGATAAGTTATCCTGCCCATGCACTAGATATAAGTTAATGAATTGACAACTTCTATCAATTGAAAGGTCTACACCGACGTGCTTGATAAGCTAAGCTATATTTCAAATTAAACAGATTACACGTTGTCGGGCTCAATCGATTTTCCTCCATACTAATGCATGTTCAACAGATCACTAAAATGTTCTGAGTTTATATAGGTGAAATGAGATCATGTAGCCGAGTTGGTAATCTCAGGTGAGGACCTTCGCGTATGAATATACCTCCATTTCCTGATGTTCAGGGGCCAGAGAGTTGGAGAGGCTCTATCGCATCATGATCGTTATATATCATAGCTATCGGCAATTATTAAGTTAATCATGGAGTAACCTTACATAGCAAATATACATCAAATCATATTTATTAATTTCTATTGTAGATACCCTCCAGGATATCCCATCTAATTAAAAGACACCACCCTTATCTAAATGGTGGGTAATAATATGGCCATTCATATTGATTAGTATGTTTAATTCTAACATCTAAATCATCTGCCCATTGCCAAACAAGAGCAGGGTTTCGTAAGAAAGCTTTACCAGCTAATACTATATCAGCTTCACCATTTTTAATAACGTCATTAGCAAAGTTAGCTTCAGTGATTTTACCAACAGTAGCAACTAAAAGTTTATCACCAACATGATCTTTAACAGCTTTTGCTAATGGAACTTGGAAACCTTGCCCTGTTTTTCTTCTTTCAGCTTGAGAACTGTTACCACCTGATGAGACATCTAACACATCAACTCCATGTTCAATCAAGTAGTCTGATAATTTAACAGTATCTTCAACGGTCCATGAACCTTCAAGCTGTGGAGCTAATTCTGATCCTGAAACACGAACAAATAATGGTGAATTAGCATCTTTAGAAGCATCAATAACTTCTAATAAGAATCTGATTCTATTTTCAAATGAACCACCATATTGATCAGTTCTCTTATTTGAGGTTCCAGATAAGAATGAACTTAACAAATAACCATGAGCACCATGAATTTCAACAAAATCAAAACCAGAAATTTCTCTAGCTCTTTTAGCAGCATCACCAAATTTTTGAACAAGATCTTGAATTTGTTCAACAGATAATTCAGTTGGTGTTACATAAGATTCTTCATCATAAGAAATTGGACTTGGACCGACAATAGCACCTGGAACATCACTCCAACCAAATTCTGCTTTACCAACACCTTTTTGTAAAGCATTATACATTGCAGTACCTGAAGCTTTTCTACCACCGTGACCAATTTGAATACCAATCTTAACACCTTGAGCATGAGCAAACTCGACAACAGGTTTTAAAGCTAAAGCATGTTCATCAGACCAAATTCCTAAATCTTCTGGTGATAATCTACCATTTGGTTCAACTGCACTTGCTTCAACGATAATTAAACCAGTACCTTGAATTGCAAATGAACCATAATGAACTAAATGGAATGGAGTACTTTTCCCCTTATCTGGACCATCATGAGCTGTGGAATAGGTACACATTGGTGAAACACCAATTCTATTGTTTATGGTGAAATTCTTAATAGTTAATGGATTGAATAAACTTGGGATTTGTTTATCACCATTTTCATTTGTAATACCAACTGGTATTTTGTTTTTAGGATAAAAATATGGAACTTCATCACTTGATTGAGTTAAATATCTATTTTCTTCACCTGTAGTCATATTTGGCTCTGAATATTCTATAATTGATTGTTTACAAACAATTGATCTGGTTAAATACAAGTAACTAAAGTATAAGGATTTCGGATCTTTTTTATACCCATATCGGTATTATAGCGGGCTTCGATTCTTTACCGGACGTAATTTATAATTACTAATTAAACGTTCAACGCCACAAATCACCATAATATCATCAAGGCGTCAAGGTATCAAAAGAAAGTTAAGACTAGTGAGATCATCTTTTGATTTTTAATTGGGTTTTAACATCCTGTGCTTGTATTATATTGAAGATTTCTCTAGATACTTCATGATGGGTTGTTTGTACTGTTTGCACTGTAAGCTTATAATTACTAATTGAATATATTGATGGATATTGCATTTGGGTATTCAGGCCGATATATTCAAATACATCCTTTCAAAAACCAAATGTATTAATTTATAAACCATGAAATAAATTGAGAAGTTGGTAAACAATAGAAATGACGCTTATATACTCAAATAATAGGTGACTCCCATGCTTCTAAAATGTACTTTTAGCATCTTACAAGCTCATGATATACTCGTTTTCACTTATTTTACCAAGTGATCAAGTGATCGTCCAAGATCATGGCCTTTCTTTTAATTCATTGAGATCGCTACACAACACCAGCCAGCTTGGAATCATTTGTATAGTTCGACTATATCTTTTTTTAGATCTCCATAAATATATGTTTACCAAAACCTTCACTTAATATCTACAATACCGCAAGTTATTGATCACGAATATGCGTATAAATTATAAATTATGATAGAAACTCATGAATAACCGTTTTACGCACATTATTAGTAGCTAGTTGGAGTGAATTACATGGATTATTATTCCTCGCTCAAAGCAACACCAGATATATAATTTAATTGAGCTCTTACAAAACAGTATATTACCGACAAATATATACTTGAAATATAAACTTTGATCGAAAGATGAAACTACTTGAAGAGCACATACAAGCCACATATATAGTAATGACATATATATAACATCTATTGGAATTCCAAATACTACTTAAACATCATATAGAATTAAAATTATATCCACTATTTAAAAGGTGGATAATAATATGGCCATTCATATTGATTAGTATGTTTAATCCTAACAAATAAATCATTAGCCCATTTCCAAACAAGAGAAGGATTTTGTAAAAAAGCTTTACCAACTAATACTATATCAGCATCACCATTTTCAATAATTTCATTAGCGAATTTAGCTTCTTCAATCTTACCAACAGTAGCAACTAAAAGTTTATCACCAACATGTTCCTTAACAGCTTTAGCTAATGGGACTTGGAAACCTTGATAAGCTTTTCTTCTTTGTGCTTGAGAATTATTACCACCTGATGAAACATCTAAGACATCAACTCCATGTTCAATTAAATAATCAGATAATTTAATAGTATCTTCTATGTCCCATGAACCTTCAATTTGTGGAGCTAATTCTGATCCTGAAACACGAACAAATAATGGTTGATGATCATCTTTAACAACATCAATAATTTTTAATAATAATCTAATTCTATTTTCAAATGAGCCACCATATTGATCAGTTCTTTTATTGGAAGCTCCAGATAAAAATGAATTTAATAAATAACCATGTGCAGCATGAATTTCAACAAAATCAAATCCAGATATATCTCTAGCTCTTTTTGCAGCATCACGGAAATTTTTAATCAATTCTTGAATTTGATCCCCTGATAATTCAGTTGGTGTAACATAAGAATCTTCACTATATGAGATTGGACTTGGAGCAACAACAGCACCAGGAACATCACTCCAACCAAATTCTGTTTTACCAACACCTTTTTGTAAAGCATTATACATTGCAGTACCTGATGATTTTCTACCAGCATGACCAATTTGAATCCCAATCTTAACACCTTGAGCATGAGCAAATTCAACAATAGGTTTTAATGCTAATGCATGTTCATCAGACCAGATTCCTAAATCTTCTGGAGAAGTTCTACCATTTGGATCAACAGAAGTTGCTTCAATCATGATTAAACCTGTACCTTGCAGGGCAAATGCACCATAATGAACTAAATGGAATGGAGTTACTTTACCTAAGTCAGGACCATCATGTGCACTAGAATAAGTACACATTGGAGAAACACCAATTCTATTATTCAATTTTAGATTTTTAATAGTTAATGGATTAAATAATCCTGGGATTTGTTTATTTGGATCATTTTTATATGCTATACCAAGTGGGATTTTGTTTTTAGGATAAAAATATGGAACTTCATCACTTGGTTGAGTTAAGTATCTGTTTACTTCACCGTTAGCTAACATTGTGTATATATTTGAGCTTCTATAATAGATCACTAAAGCGTATCAATTGACTGGTATTTTATCAGTGGCCTTTATAATCTTGATTATAATCAATAAAGAACATGTTTTAAATCATTATGATCATTATACATGGGTTTGGTATCTCTTTTATACTTTATACCCATACTATCCTAGATCATTATTCTCTTCACCATAGAATATAATTACTAATTAACAGCTACCAATGTCATTGTTTACTCAATTATGATATGTGGTCCGGGACTTGAATAATTTTCAACCATCATATGTCAACGTTCATAGGGTTAAATTCATAATGAACCCTTTAATTTGATTTTTTGAACCCTATAGTCCTATAGTCAAATTAACCGCGACTTGTAAATATTTCCGAAAATGGAACTTGAATCCGGGGGCTCGGTGTTCGGTGTTCGGTGCTTGGTCAATTTGCGATTATAAATTGTTATAAGAGTTCATATAATGATGGTTATGTTATATTTGTTGTATGGATCAGTATTGATATACCTCTTATTATTATTGAGTAATCAAATTGTATATTTATTTGAAAATGTAACTGGTAATAAATTACGTGAATCAACGACAGTAAATATCGCGAATTTATTATATATGATATTCCCGAAGTAGTAACTTTCCTTTTCAGGATAATATTGATATTTAAATCTATCTACACTATATACTATATATTAGTAACAAGTGATCTTTTTAATTAGGTTTGAGTATATTGGCCCATATTATAACATCTATATTGCACATCTACATGTGAATTAAACCAAAACCATTGTATATGTATCAACTATATAATATAAAAAACCAAAATAAAGATACACATATGCAAACAAAATATCACCAAAAATTAACAAAACTAACTTAACATGTTAGCAAATTAGTAATAAAACACTTTTATCTTACCAAATTGGGTATTGTATAAAGAAAATCATGAAAGATAATTAAAAAACCATAAAAGGACACACAGAAGAGAAAAAAATAATTAAAACACAAAACCCAAACATTATCATTATTGAACAAGAATTCTTTCTCTTGATCATGTATATCTATCTTTAATCATTATAAATAAGAATGCAAAAATTCCATAAGGTATATTTATTGAAATTGGAAACTTGAATTAATACCATTATTTGAAACATGAGATAATTCTAATTGTTGAAATTTTTCTGAAGATTTATGAAAATAAAGACCAATTATATTACCAGTTTTTTGATTAAAACTTATATAATAAAATCCAGCAAATGAAGCACCATCAATATTTTCAATTTTAGCATCAGGTACTAAAAATCTTTCTTTCCATCTCATATAAATATTTTGATGATTTAAAAAATTTTTATGAATATAATTTTTTTCAAAAATTTTTTTTGTTGGTAAATTTGATCTCCAATCATGAAATTTTTGCCAATGTTGAATATCAATTTTATCATTTGAACCCCATTCTTTATTTTCTGTATAAAATGAATAATTTTCTGATATAATTTCACTTTCAAAAAATGTTATAATTTCAGGATGAGATTCTGTAAGACCTTGAATTTTCAGATAACCTGAAAGATAACTTTTACTTAAATCAACAGTTTTCAATTCCACTTCAACTTCATAAGTTGATTTACCAGATTGTTGAGAACCAATGAATATAGAACCAGGTTTTAATATGGAAGTTGTAATTGGTTTAATTGGATTTTTAATGAAAAAATCAGTTAACGAAGTAGCGGTAAAATTTTCATTTATATTTAAATCTTCTTCATTAATATAACGATTATAAGAATCAATTGAATCTAAAGTATTTGTTTTAGATAAAGTTGGTAATGAAGTTGTTGAAGAAGTTGTTGAAGAAGTTGTTGAAGATAATAATTTATCTAATGGAGATTTTCTTTCAGGTGTATCATTTTGTTTAATTGTATTGTTATCTGTGGTATTATCATTTTGATACTCTTGTTGATCTGGTACAGTTTGTTCAAATTGATTTGATTCACAAATTGATTTTCTTTGTTTATTTGATGTATTATTGTTATTTAATTGATTCACCACAGCGGTGTTTAATATGTTTATAGATTCAGCGATATCGTTTGTTGGCATATTCGAGATGACACCTTTTTCTCTATGAAACCTTCCCTTTGGTTAACCTTGGATTGTATCCACCACCAATATAGTTAAAACTAGGATCTAATGAATCTGATGATGATATAAATATAAATATAAAGTTGATGATATAAATCTTTTTATTTAAAACCTTTTCAACTTTTAACTTTTCTAGTTGTTACTTTTTTTGGCGTTTCTTTTTGTTGCACCTGATAACGCAGAATTTTTATAAGCTGTTGCACAAAAAACTGATGACTAGGTGACTAAGTTGAAATCAGTACACAGTGGTAAAGAATTGGTTTAATGGTAAGTGTTGTTGTGTTTAAAGGGAATCTAATGTATTTATCTTATTCTATGTCATTTGTTTTGGGTGGAATGTTTAACTAATTGAAGATCTGTGTTTGTGAATTTAAATTGTAGTCATCGATCATTGTGGTGATGGTCATCTTGACATATAGGCAGGGGATTGTAGAAGGAAGATCTGGGTAGACCTGGGCAGAGTTAGACAGACACTAGACAGACACTTGGCCAGTGTTGGACAGAGATTTTAAGGTGGAGGGTGGAGATTGGATATTACTTCAGCTGTCTGCGAAGAGTCATGTAATTAATAAATGGTTTTGTTTTTCCGTTGGTTATTAAAGGTGTACTTTGTATCGCATCTGTTTATTTGGAATACCGGCACTTGACACAAGTCGAAGTCGCGTATTAAGGAAGTGGATTTTTCAAATTGATCATTAATGTAAAGGATCAAAGAGATATTGATTAACATGGACTCATGGAGAACATGGGCTATTATATTATGAATATACTGGACAGTGTCTTGACGTCTTGAACTTGTGATTGTTAATATTGTTCATACTGCTCATCGGCTTTAAACTAATTGAATCAATGGTAATGTTCAATGTTGTATGGATTCATAACCGCTGAATGGAACTATAGGTCTAGTGAATGTCAGAGTGTGTTGTTTGATAAAAAGGTTATTAAACTCATCCATATAATGCTTTAGACTCTAATTATACCATCTATATTAAATTGATCGTGATCTTAAGAGATCTTGAGATCTTGATTAATCATAAGAATCTCAATCAACTGTTTATATCAACCATTCCCATTCAAAATAAAGGATTATCAAGATTGAGAATTAATGATATTTAGATTCAACTACAACAATCAACATATATTATAACTCACAATCATAAAAGTTATTATTCATTATTGACTATCAATTGGTTTCCCAGCTAGTATATTAAATTCTAATTGTTCACAAATGTCATCTCCAGGCCATAAAGAACAATCACCCTATCTCCCCCTAAAATATATCACCATCAAACAATCACATCAATCATGAACACAACACATCAATTTCAACTTCAAATAATTATCATTTAAATTACCTAACTAATATCAAAATATAAATTTTTACTTATACTGCTTTGTCATCGCTTATGTCATACAAATCATATTGCTCGGTCAAAATTTCCATTTTATCTTTTTTTTTCTCGCTAGTTCTCGCTTTACGCACCACCACAATCATTGATAATGCGAAGATGTTGATTTGAATTTAGAAATATTTAATTGTTCAATGAAAATTTAGTCTATTGTTATAAAAATTTGTTCAAGATAAAATAAACATATTCTCTTTGGGATAATTCTTCTGTTGTTGATACAATTACATTTTCATTCCTTTCAATTCATATTCATATAAACTTATAGATCCTTTTAGTCTTATTTATTTGGTATTCATCAATACAATAGAAAACACAATACAGAGACATAATGACTGAAGAAACTTCATTCCCAGATTTAGACAAGATCAATAATCAACCAATTGATGATAAATATAGAGTTGCAAAGGATTTATTTGCAGGTACTATTGGTGGTATAACTCAAGTTTTAGTTGGTCAACCTTTTGATACAACAAAAGTACGATTACAATCCGATACAACAGGTCAATATAAAAACACTTTAGATGTTGTTAAAAAATTAATTTCGAATGAAGGTCCTCAAGGGTTTTATAAAGGTACTTTGACTCCATTGATTGGTGTTGGTGCTTGTGTTTCAATTCAATTTGGTGTTAATGAATATATGAAGAGAAATGTATTCAGTGATTTTAAAATTTTATCAAATTCTCAATATTATCAATCTGGTCTTGTTGCAGGTGTGGCAAATTCTATCTTAGCTTCACCAATTGAACATATTCGTATTAGATTACAAACTCAATTGAAAGGTAATTTAGGTCCTTTAGATATTATTAAAAACATTTATAAATCAAATGGGGTTAGTGGATTAATGAAAGGTTTTATACCAACTGCTATAAGAGAAGGTCATGGTATGGGTATGTATTTCCTTACATTTGAATACTTGGTTAAACAAGATATCTTGAAAAATAAAGTTGAAAGAAAAGATATTCCAGGTTGGAAATTATGTCTTTATGGTGCAGGTGCAGGTTATAGTATGTGGTTTTCAGTTTATCCAATTGATGTTATAAAATCAAGATTACAAACAGATTCATTAAATAAACCTATTTATAAAAATATGTTTCATGTAACTTCAACAATTTGGAAAACTCAAGGTTTAAAAGGGTTTTTCAAAGGTTTTATACCAACAATTTTAAGAGCTGCTCCAGCTAATGCTGCTACATTTTATGCATTTGAACTTACAATTAGATTATTAGGTTAGATTGTATTACTATATGTATATTATTTATTCTTCTTCTAATCTTCTTAATAAGTAATCAACTTCAACTTTTTTAGTTAATGGAATAACCCAATCTTTATAAATTTTAGCTAAATATTCTGGATCTAATTTATTTTGTTGATTTTGACTCCATTTTAAAGTTGGATCAGTTCCATAAGCTTTAGTTTTTTCAATTAATCTTTCTAAAATCTTTGCTTCCACTGCACTATTCGTTATAGCATCTTCAATTCCTTTTATATCTTTATCTTGAATTAATTTTGTATATTTAGCACGTTCATTTTGAAATTTTGCTTCAGCAACAAATTTACCAAAATGAATTCTTCTTGATAATGCTTGTAAATTATCAATATCACATGTTGTACAACTACCTAAATTTTCTTGTTGTTCACCTTCTCCAGCACTAACCAATGGAACAATATGTTCAATATAAACTTGTTTAATTTCATCATTAATATTAACTTCATCTGAATAACTTGTTAAAATTTTTGGATAATTAATTGATGGTAATAAAGGTTCTAAAATTTCTTTAGGGAAAAATGGAACTTCATCTGGTGATTCATATCTTCTAATTTGTGAATGAATTTTTTCCATATTAACTAAAGCCCAATCTAAAAATGATCCTTCAAAATTTGGTATATTAAATTTATTTGTTTGATAAACTGATGGTGTTGAAAAAAATTGTGATCTTTCAATAAAATTAAAAATGATTGTATCTTCCATACGCACTAGCGCATCACGAATGTTTTGTAAGTCCAAGACTGATTCTGGTTTCAGGAAATCCATTGTATGTTGTTGTGGTTTGTTGGCGGTTAAATTAGATTGATTGATTGAAGGGTCTTTTGAGAAGATAAAAATTCAATTTTGAATGTTGATGGTGGTATCTCGAAATTTGATTTCAATTTTCCTCCAGCCGGTCAAGGAAATACTTGAGATCGGATAAACGCGGTTCGTGACGCATAAATGAAATAATTGAAATAACCGAAATTGGTATAAACTATCGACAATTCTACAAATTAGGAAATAAAGAAATGTTTAATAAATCATAAATTCGTGTTAAAGTATTGAGTAAATATGTATCTTATAATATATATCGATATTTCTAGTTGAATATAAATGGTCATAATTTCGTTAAAGTCAAATGATATCTTGTTTATACTGCATAATGTTCATCATAATCATCACCTGCAATTTTTTTCAATATTGCTTCATTTTCTTTATGACTTGAATCTAATTGATCTTTTTCCTTATATAATCCAAATGTTCTAAACCATAAAAATCTTCTTAATCTTGAAATTCTTGATTGATCTAATCCATAATTCATATAAGCCTTATCTAATTCAAATTCTGTATCATCATGAATTTTTTGAACTTGAATCATTGCCTTTTCCGCATTATTTAAAATCATCCATCCTTGAATAGTTGTAGTTACTATAATAAATGTAATTATTGCAGCTAAAATTTTCATCTTTTCAGGTCTTAATGCAGGATCATTCATATTTCTTAAATTTTCATAATCTTCCCAACCAGATGCATTCCAATAAGCTTGATTATGATATTGATTTGCATATGCACTAGGTCTTTGATATTGAGTTGTTCTTCTTAATGTTGGTGGTTCAGGTGTATTCCAACCCATTTTGAATCGATCATATAATTCTCTTTTTTTATCATCTTTTAAAATTGAATATGCATTTGTTAAAATTTTAAATCTTTCATTTTTATGATCATTAGTTAATTTATCACCTTTATGATTAATTAAATTTTTATTTAAACTAATATCTGGATGATAAATTTTAGCAATTTCAAAATATTTTTTCCTCAAGATTTTGGTATCAAATTCTGAAGGTTTTAAATTGAAAACATCATAGGGAGTTGGATTATTATGACTGGGCCATTCTGAATGACAATATGGATCTTCTGGAGATGATGAGTGGATAGTTGTAGCGTTCCGTATACTCATAAATTGTACTTTTAGCAGCTTATGATTATTAAATTGTGATAAGGATGGGAAACGACACCCACATAATATACCGTATCTCATCTTTGTCATTTGTGATAATGAATCCCTTCTATAATTGAGTAACGTGATATTAGGTGATTTCAACAAATTCTAAATCTTCCCAAACTTTCCAAAAATCCTATTCAACTTCTGATTTGACATTTGAAATGTTGAGTAGATAAATTTCCAATCCTTTGCGTAGATATAACATGGGCTTTGAATTTGATAACGTCACTATATCCTACACCCGCGTTTCGCGAAATGGTGTTTTTTTTATTACCAGATCTCGTCTGCCATTCTCTTAGCTGTGAAATTACGTGTCACTAATTACTAATCAGTATGATGTTTTATTTACTTTTGTGGTTTTCCACTTTTCTTTGATACAATTTCCATCTTTTTCACCGGTTCCAATTCTTCTTGTGAATTTGCAATATGGATAACATTTTCTGTACACTAGTCGGTATCGTATTGGGGACTTTGGGAATACACTGTTGAAGCTCTTTTGGTTTTTCATATATTCAGAGATTTAACCTGGGTACTTTGGTTATTGTGCTTTTCAACTAGAGAATATTATGAGGTTAGACTCTGTATTAACTCATGAAGGGAAATCCTCAAGTCTTTATCCATCACCTCGAATGTACCATAAGGCTTTAGGTGATTATAAGAATACACCTGCTGATAAATCAAAATATGTGGTTTTTGAAGAGGCTAATTTCTATATTGATGTGAAATATCAAATCACAGCTATTTTAGGTAAAGGATCATATGGTACAGTTTGTCAAGCTAGAGATGTTTCAGTACCAGATGCACCTGTTGAGGTGGCTATTAAAAAAGTTACAAATATATTTAATAAAGAGATATTGTTGAAAAGAGCTGTTCGAGAGTTAAAACTTATGAAGTTTTTTAGAGGTCATAAAAATGTATATTTTGATACCTATTTATCTTTTTTTTATTCTCTTATATTGGATTCATATACTAACTTTAATGATTGTTTTTTTAGATTATAAATTTGTTTGATGTTGAACTTGTGTTTGAAAGGCCTTATGATGGATTATATTGTTTCCAAGAACTTGCAGATTATGATTTAGCAAGAGTTATACATTCATCAGTCCAATTTTCTGAATATCATGTTCAAAGTTTCCTTTACCAAATTTTATGTGGATTAAAATATATACATTCAGCAGATGTTATTCATAGAGATTTAAAACCTGGTAATATATTGGTAACATTACAAGGTAATTTAAAAATTTGTGATTTTGGTTTAGCTAGAGGTATATCACAACAATTTTTAAGACATAGATCAAGTACTATAACAAATTATGTTGCAACAAGATGGTATAGGGCACCAGAATTACTTTTATGTAAGAAAGTATACTCAAAAGCTGTTGATATGTGGGCTGTTGGGTGTATTTTTGGTGAATTATATGCTAGAAAACCATTATTTATTGGTAATGATCATATTCATCAAGTTCATGAAATTCTGCAAGTATTAGGATCTCCATCAAGAGAAACAGTTGTAAAGCAATTCGGTACAGGATCTATATGTACTGAAATGTTCCATTCTACTGGTGGTTTAGATGGTACGCCAAATTACAAAGGATTACCATGGGCTGAAGTCTTACCTTATGCTCCTGGTAAAGCACTTAATTTGTTATCTAAATTATTATGTTGGGAATCAAGTCTTAGGTTAAGTGTTGATGAAGTGCTTGACCATCCATATTTAGCAAATGTCAGAGACTTGGATGAAGAAGTCAATAGCTCAAGTCATTTTGATTTCAGTTTTGAATCTAAGAATATAACTCTAGATGATTATAAAGGTTTGATTCACGATGAAGTGAAAGAATTCAAATTTGAAAGAATGGGGAGAAGAGGACAAATGGATTTCATCGAACAATTATACTCACAGCCATCTAGATCTAGCCATAGAGTACGCAATTAATTTAATATAGTTTAACCAGTAAATTGGTCTAAGGTTTTGTTATACACATTCTTGTTATTGTAGGTTGTATAATGTTGTATGCTACCAATATGGTAAGGTTACGGAACACTTTCCCGGTATCTATCTAAATTTCGTGCGCAGAAGAATCCATAATAACCAGAATCAGTAAATATGTACTAAACGACAGCCATTAAACAATCCTATAATTCAAAATAAATCACTATCTTGACAATACATTGAGTCACATATAGGCTGCTTGATTTTATTATGGGTGCTCACTTATCATTGATGGCGCCAACCGCTCCATCCATTGCCCTTTCAGCATATGTTGATGTGTTGGATCAAATACAATATTTAGAACAATTAGGAACTTCAAGATTTTTGAAAACAGTCAAAGCAAATGATCCAGATGGTTCAATTGTTACAAAGGTATTCATTAAACCAAATGAAGGTATCGAATTATCGAAATGGAAGAAAATTCTTGATAAACAAAAAGATGATCTTGTTGATATACCTAGTGTTTTACCATATTTGAAAATAATAGAAACAGATAGAGCTGGTTATCTAATACGGCAATTTATCAAATCAAACATATATGATAGAATAAGTACAAGACCATTTTTGGAGAAGATTGAGAAAAAATGGATCATTTTCCAATTGTTGAATGCTGTTAATGATTGTCATGAAAGAGATGTTACACATGGTGATATTAAGACCGAAAATATACTTGTAACGTCATGGAATTGGATATTATTAACTGATTTTGCTCCTTTCAAACCGGTTTATTTACCAGAAGATAACCCAGGAAGTTTTTCATTCTTTTTCGATACATCACAAAGAAGAACATGTTATTTAGCACCTGAAAGATTTTTGAATAATGATGATTATGATGTGGAATTAAATGAAGGTGCTATTATAACGAAGGAAATGGATGTTTTCAGTTTAGGTTGTGCCATTGCTGAGATTTATTTGGAAGGTGTACCAATTTTCACTTTATCACAATTATATAAATATAAAAGAGGAGAGTTTGAACCAGATTTGAATGTAATTGATGATCCTCATATTAGAGAACTAGTGAAGAGTATGATAAGTTTGGATCCAAAAGATAGATCGTCAACAAAAGAATATTTAGATCAATACAAATCAGTTGCTTTCCCAGAAAATTTCTATACTTTCATTTATGAATATTTTAAAAGTTTTAATGAAGATATTGTTCCATTCCATTCAACTGGGAGAGTATATGAATGTGACTCAAGAATTAAACGTTTATATAATGATTTTGACAAAATATCATACTTCCTGGGTTATAAATATGAAGCAACAAAAGATGATGAGTTAGACGCTGATGAAAGAATCAGAAATGGTTCTTTGAAACCAATAAGACTTTCATTACCAGGGATACAGAAAAATTATAGCTTAAAATCAACCTCTAAAGTATTGGGTGGTCCAGATGATGCAGCATTAATATTTCTAAGCTTTATAGTTACAGCATCACGTAATGTTCGCCAAGAATCATCAAAAATTCAAGCATTGGAACTAATATTAGCATTAGCAGAAAGAGTTCACGATGAAGCCAAATTAGATAGAGTGCTTCCATATGTCATTTTGTTCTTTAATGATTCCTCCATCAATGTTCAAGCTACTGCTTTAAAGACTTTGACACAACTTTTGGTGCTTGTTGATGCAATTGGTCCTGTCAATGTTTTATTATTTTCTGAATATATCATACCTCGTTTATCTGCTTTGTTATCAAATGCTTCAACATATGTTAGAATTGTTTTTGCTGCATGTCTTCCATATTTATCTCAAACTTCATTAAGATTTCATGATATGGCTACCATTTTGAAGACTACTGTGCTTGAAACATCAATTGATCCTGAAACTGAAAATAATGGTATCTCACCAGTAGGTATGTTTGATATTTCAAAGGAAAGTTTACGTGCTGATTTTGAAACATTTGCGATCTCTATGCTAACAGATACTGAACCAAATGTTAAAATTGCATTGCTGAAAAATATTTTACCATTATGTTCATTCTTTGGTAAAGAAAAGACAAATGATTTGATTTTAAGTCATTTGATAACTTACTTGAACGATAAGAGCTCATTTTTAAGAATTTCTTTCGTTGAAGCTGTTGTTGGACTATCTATTTATGTCGGTAGTGCAAGTTTAGAGCATTATATTCTACCTTTATTAGTACAAACTTTAACAGATCCTGAAGAATTAGTGGTTATCAGAGTCTTACAAATTTTCAGAGATTTGAACAAATTAGGGTTGATAAGCAAAGATTACATTTGGGACCTTTTAAGTTCAGTTTCGAAATTGTTGCTACATCCTAATGAATGGATTAAACAGTCAGCATTAATGCTAATAATATCCACTGCTGAACATGTTTCATTAGCTGATTTATACTGTGTTTTATATCCTATTATTAGACCATATTTTGAATATGATGTTACATCATTTACATGGGATGGACTATATTCTGTTTGCAAACGTTCTATTTCACGTTCTGTCTATAATTTAGCTTGTACATGGTCATTAAGAGCTGAGAATTCATTGTTTTGGCAACAAGTTAAAAGTCCACATACAGATGCATTTGGTAATAGAGGTCTTGACTTTTTAAGTAAACCATTAGGTGGGCTATCTGCTTCAAAACAAAACGGTGTCAACTCTATAATATCATCACATAATGAAGTTCCGTTATCAAGTGAAGATAAATCTTGGATTGATAGACTTATTTCCTCTGGATTACATGAAAAGGAACTATGGAAAGTTGCTGATATGAGAGAATATATTTATAGAGTTTCCAGAATGTCTATCAGAAATGCTGGCAAAGAATATGAAGAACAAAATGGTGTTGAAACCCAAAAATTTGGTGTGCTACCCAAAAATGTTTTCTTTGATTCAAAATTACAATCAGATGTTTTATTACCAAGAACTTCGCATGAATCTTCAAGAAGCCCATTTGGTTCCATTGATGATCGTTTAAACGTTGATGCTTTAACTCAGAATGGATCAAATTCTGAAAACTTTGATGAGGTTACATTGACACCAGCTGAACTTAACAGATCACAAAGTATTGAAGTTAACGATGCTTCGGGGACATCTTTAGTACTTAAAAATTCCAAAGCAGCACCTTCAATAATTACAAATGAAGAAAATGCTTTTGGTGAACTGGAATCATCATTCCATCAAAGAAAACAATCATTGAAACCAAGGGACTCGAATGATCCGAAAGTTGTATCTACCATTATCACAAATAGTTATACTGGTAATGATCCATTCGTTGTTAGATTCTTGAATAGTATAAAAATTGAACCAACTTTAGAAGAATTTACAGAATTTGATAGTCCAGTTCAACAAATTAATCTAGCAGCCACTAAAAGTTGGACTCCAAAAGGTGATTTGATTTCACATACTAGGGAACATAAATCAAGTATAACTTCAATTGATGCATCACCAGATCATAGTTATTTCATAACTGGTGATAATGAAGGACACTTGAAACTATGGGAAACAGCAAGGTTGGAAAAGAATGTATCTCAGGTCTCCACATTAACTGTTGATTATGAATCACCTATTACCAAAATCGTGTTTTTGAATAATTATAATGTCTTTGCAGTGGCAGCTAAAAATGGCTCAATTAAAATTTTAAAAGTCTTATTCAAGAAGAATAAAAGAAATCATATTGTTCCTGATACATTAACAATTCTTCGTGAATTATATTTAGATGGTGATGACTATGCTGTGGATTTACAATTTGGCACAAGAAATCAAAAACATATACTATATTGTGTTACTTCGTCCTCTGAATTTATTTCCATTGATATAAAAAACATGGAAATCATATTAAAATTAGATGAAAATCCATCATATGGTAACATTACTTGCTTCACTATTGCAAAAGATGATAGTTGGTTATTAATTGGTACATCACTAGGTATTTTAAGTTTATGGGATTTAAGGTTCCAATTACATTTGAAATCATGGAAATTTAGAGCTGGATTTGCCATTAAGCAATTATCAACATGTTCAGATAATTATCATTTGAATAGAAAAAAAGGAAGATATGCAACTGTTATTGGTGGTACTGGTGATTTAGATGTTACAATATGGGATGTTAGTACTGGTACATGTCGTGAAGTATTTACAAGATCAACTGAAGGTAATAGTTTGGATAAGTTCAATCTGGATGAGATCCATAATTTGAAGACTAATAGCGATGATATTACAAGTAAATTATCAGATCTTTCAATAAATAAAATTGAAGCTGATCGTTCGTTAACTGCATTACAATTAGTGGAAAGACAAGTTGAAAATAGAAAAAAGTTTTGGGTACTTGCAGCTTCACCAAATTCAGATATGATAATGTGGAATGTATTACAACCAGAAGATTCCAAGATATTAAATAGAAGTATCAATCAAGAGAACAAACCTACATTTTCATCATCACAGATCAATCCAAATTTAAGAATCATTACTGAAAGATATCCAACAGAACCAGAAAACACTAGAGATAAAAGATTGGATAAGAAGCTAAAACGTACCAAACAATCCCTTCTGACAGACGCTCAACAAGACTTGATCAAGAGACACCATGATATAATCAATGGATTCATCGTTCTCAGTAGACCTTATAATATGATTGTCTCTGTTGATCGCTCAGGTACAATGAATGTGTATAAATGAAGTATAAAATTTAGTACTTGTTTTAAAAAAGAATGAATATGATCATATATTAATCTCATCTACCCCCAGCCTTTATAAATATTGAGCTTCTTAATAGAATGAAATAATAATAATGAACACGTAACTAATAACTAATATAGATTGCAGGTACGTGAATTTTTAATTAAACGACGTAACATCAAGAATGAATTATTACCTTAAATTAACTGGATAAAAACTCCAGTACAGCTATAATTATATCCTTAGGGCCTTCATATAAGCTAATCAATACACAGAGATTAATTTTCAATTTTGGAATTTCAATCAAAAACACACGATTTAAGGTCACAATTACCCATTTAGCTCTCACAATGGAGAGCTCACAGTTAGAATTGAAAAAAGGGTTCAAAAAAAGTTTTAAAGAAATTGATATACCACTTACAAAATTCAAATTACAAGTTTACATCGATTCCAAAGTCCAAAGTATTAAAATTTGATACGTATAAAAAGTTAAAACCCGCGAATTCTTATTTGTTTGTTTTTTTTACTTTTAGTGTTGCCACAGCGATTTCGTTTCCCGGTCAGTTGCTGAAAATTGAAATCCAGATTATATAAAAAGTTTTTCTTCCGTAATTGCTTTGTAATTTCCTCCAAACATCAACACTTTTATCAAGAATATTGTTGAACAACACCAATTTGGCTATTCAATACACTAGAATTCACTGAAAAGTAAGTAAATGATAAATATTTCTACTGAGTATCGTTCTACGTCCATCAATTCATGTTTATATGGGGTTTTTAACCATGTTTTCTTCATTGTTTACTTCCAAGGAACGTGAAGCATTGTTTACTCTGGAATTATATAAGCGTACGTGGTATCAGAGCTTAGGTAATGGCTTAACCTACACCAGATTTATAATCCAATAGCCCAGAGATCAAGATTGTTCACTTATATTTAGTTCATAATATTCAGTGTCGATTTTGGTCCTTTTTATTGATGACTTTGTTGTGTGTGTGTGTTTTTTTTCTCATATAATTCTTCGAGAATAAAGGGGGTTATTACCTTGTGGGAAAGGTTATAGATCTACACTAAACACGATGAATCTGAATGATGGATGAATGTTATTGTCTAACGAATGAATGAATACTAACAAACGACTAGCTAATCTATTATAATGTCTGCAACTACTAATCCATACTGGGAAGAAAAAAAAAGATGTATGTATATAACTTCAAAGGTTTGTTTATATGTTGATAACGCGTTACTAACAAAAACATTTCATTAGCTCTTGAAGAACAAATTGATCCAAGTTTCAGCAGAGAACATGAAACAATCAATCAATTGACTCAATTAACTCAAGCTCAAGCTCAACATAACCAACAAGCTCAACAAGCTCATCAACAAGCGCAACAACAAGTTCAACAACAAGCCCCAGAACATCAACAAGTTACACATGCTGCTGTTCCAACTCAACAACCTCATCCACAAAATTTGAATGAAGGTTTTGATGTTGCTGCTGTTGCAGTTGCTGCTTCAAATGATGGTCCAGATCAAGGTGATGATGGTTCAAAAGATGATGATGGTTCACCATTAAGTCGTAATGGCAGACAATTAACAAATACTAAAAGAGCTGCACAAAATAGAAGTGCTCAAAGAGCTTTTAGACAACGTAAAGAAATTTATATTAAAGATTTAGAAGAAAGAGTTAAAGAAGTTGATGCTTTAAAACAAACAATTGAAACTTTAAAACAAGAAAATATGCAATTAAGAGATTATAGTTTAGCTTTACAAGCAAAATTAATTGAACAACCTGATGTTCCAGCTCCTCCAGTTGTTTTTGGTTCAAGATCTGGTAAAAAAGAGTAAATTTAAAATAACGTTTCGTTTTACTCAACGTTTTGATTTTAAATGATTTTTTAAGGGGTTTCTAATGATTAACTGTACAATATATCAAAGTTTACTTGATTATACCGGTTTGTTTTCAATTTTTTTGTGGTTTTTAAATTTTTTTTATTGATTTCTTGAGCTTGATCATGTTTGATCAATGCTCCTGAATAATCAGAAATGATTGTTCTTCTTTATTATGTATTATTTGAATTATAAATATTTTGTTATTATCTGATACTTAATGATGTAAGCTTTTAGTTTATTGTCGAAAGACCTATAGTAGAGAGTTCATGACGTTGATTGTTGATTCTATAGAATTTAAACGTTGCGCTTTATTGACAACCCCGGTAAAAAATAAGTTTGGTGTCAAAAGGCAAAAGGTTGCTAGCAAAGCCGATTTGAAATTTCTATTTAAAAAGACCCTAATATTCACCAGAAACAATCGAAGACAATCACATAATCCCAAATATCAAATAAATTAAAGAATAAATAAATTTCAAGATGGGTATTCCGTTTGCAGGTTATATCATCAAATATATAACACAAAGAGTGGGTACAATTGATTGTGACAAATCTTGTTAAGGTTTAGAAATTAACAAATTTACATATCAGGTTTTTAGAGAGAATCAATTAAACAAATTTGGGACAGAAGACCCTTACTATGAAGTTGTAAGTATTCATTGAATAAATGTTTTATTACAATGTCCACATTTATTAACATCAGCTTTAGTTTGAAATTGAACAACAATCATTCTTTGGTGGTGCACCAAAAGTTAAAAAAATCAAGAAACCAAAACCAATCCCAGTTGGTATTTCAAGTAATGATGAAGCAGTCATGAGAAAAGTTTTAAGAAGAGCTTATCATCTAGATATGCTTTTCAACATTGCTGGTTATAGAATTGGTTACACTGGGTTGATTGGTTTTATTCCTGTGTAAGTATAAGTTCTATTAAAATGCACTTGAAAGGAAATACTAACAGTTTATATATATAGTGTTGGTGATATTGCTGGAGTTTTGTTTTCTTTATTATTATTGAAAACTGCAAGACAAGTTGATGGTGGGTTACCTTGGGATGTTCAATTGAAATTCCTATTCAACATTCTAGTTGATTTCTTGGTTGGGTTAATTCCAGTTGTTGGTGATATTGTTGAAGTAATGTACAAGGCAAATTCAAGAAATGCATTAATCTTGGAAAAACATTTACAAGCAAAAGGTGAAAGAAACTTAGGATTGAAAAGGTCAGAACAAGGTCGATTGATTGATGATACAAGAAGTATTTCAAGCTCTGTTATTTCGGAAGATGATGGTGAAGAATTAAATCATATAAAATCACCTCTCAAGCATAGAGTTCCACCTTCAGAAAATGTTGAGGTTCGAAACAACCTGAATGTTGGTAAAGATCCTTATAAATCTGCTAATATCTTGAGAGAACGAACATATTCAAGATGAAGAGAATATGATCAAAATTGAAATATTGCGTTACTTATAAGCCAATTGAATTAACAGATTAGAGATGAAAATACTAAATTAAGTCAAGAATACGATGATACGATATATTCTATTCAATATTTCTTTGTAGAATCTGTTGGTATCTAGAATTTAGGCCTTTTGTTTAAGTTTGTTTAAAATTTGGTATACCATCTGCCACCAAATCGGGTCACTAAAATCCCACAGTAAATTTCTTTCAAAAAAACTGATAAACCAAAACATCAACACTTTAACGAGTACAATAACGGAAAATCATCAGATCAACAACAAATTTATCATATTCCATCATGGATACAGCTGCTATCTTGGAACAGTATACCCAGGATATCTCTAATCTACCTGCTGAGCTACAACACTTGTTATCAGAGCTAGGAACCAGTGATTCAAATTTATATGAAGTCCGTCGTAAAGTACTACAAAAAGATTCAACAATTCATAAGTTTATTAAACAACATGGTTCTTTAACTAAAAATCCAAAAGAAAATCAACTATATCCTAAAATCAGAGATGATTTTAGAAAAGCTGAACAAATACAGAGAGCTAAATTAGTTACTGCAAATACTGGGTTATTTTTAACTGCAAAACATTTGGTTAAATTAGAATCTGATATTGAAAAATTAAAAGCTGAAGGTTTATTAGCACTTGATGAATTAGATATTGATTCGGATGATGAATTGTTTTCAAGTAAACCTGGTTCAAGAGCTTCTACTGCTGCTGCTGCTGCTGCTGCTAGTATTGGATCTGCTTTGGGTAATGGACATGGTATTAGTAGTATTGATTTAACACCAAGTAATACTAATACTAATACTAATTCTACAACTGTTAAGAAACAATCAAGAAAATCACAAGCTCCAAAATCTTCAACCCCAAATGCCACTAATACAACTTCAACTTCAAGACCACAAAAAAGACAAAGAAATGAAGATTCTAAAACTCCAGATCCAAAAATTGAATCAGTTATACCGAATGCTTCATCAAATTTGAAAATTTCAACAAAAGCTCCAAAAGTTGAAAATAATGCTAATGAAGAAGAAAATGAATTATATTGTTTTTGTCAACGTGTTTCATTTGGTGAAATGGTTGGTTGTGATAATGATGATTGTAAATTTGAATGGTTCCATTATGAATGTGTTGGATTAAAAGAACCACCAAAGGGGAAATGGTATTGTTCAGATTGTATTGAAAGACAAAAAGTTAAAGAAACTAAAAAGAAGAGAAAACAATGATTTTTTGGTGTTCTACAATTACGATAATACTTTTTTTAATGATTTAATGAACGTTCTATATTTATATATATATTATGCAGCTAGTAGAAATACTCATCAACTTAATAACCATAATAATAAACCTTGGAATAATGCATATGCAAGTAAGAAATAATTTGAATTTTTAGCAGATTTACTATTCATTGTTTGAGCAGAATTATGAACACCACCATAAAGATTAAATCTTATAGCTCTAATTTCAAAAAATCCATAAGCAGCTAATAAATAAAGATAAAAACCAATATTTATAAATCTTGAAGTTGAAATATTTTTAATTAAAACTAATAAAACTAAAGGAACAAATTTATAACCAATATATGAAACTAAATCCCAAATTTTAGAATTAACACCTAATAAATATAAACCTAATTTTAAAACAGTTAAATCTAATAATAAATAAGCTAAAGTTGAACTTGTTTTAAAACCAAAAACTTCTGGATGAAATTCACCTTTTAAACCAGCTAAAAGTGCTAATAATAAGATATATGTAACAGTACCCATCAATGGGATATATAAATCAACAGCGTTTTTATCTTCTAACGGATAAGCATATAATTCAGTACCAGCATCAACTTGATTATTACTATCATCAGATCTTCTATAACTTCTTAACCAACTTTTATTTTGGAAAGGATATAAAATTAATAATAATTTACTTAAAACATAAGAATTTGAAACTTTAAAATAATATTTTATATCATCAGTATGAACATATTTCCCAAAATTTTGTTCCATAAATTGAGAACTTGCTTGAAATGCACCTTGACCAATTTGATAAGTCATTTGAGCTCTTGGATCATTAATAAAATTACCAAAAGCTGGATTATCACCTTGATTAGCAGCTGGTGTAAAGAATTGATTTGGATTTTGACCTGGTATTTGTTGACCTGGAACAAATTGTTGTGAACCAAATGGCACAGTACCACCAGCACCACCGGCACCTACACCTATTGGTTGTTGATGTTGATGAAGTTGTTGTGGATGTGGTACCTGACTTCCAAATGAAGTTGCGCGTTGTGGTTGTGGTTGTTGGACCCTGTTTGTCTGGGTAGCATCTGCATCTGCAATGTTTGCGTATGGATTGTAGGACATTGTCACCTTCCTTCTATATCAATTGACTGGATCCTATCCTTCGTCAACTTTTGTCTCTGACGTTGTTTTGCTGTGTTTTCGTTCCGTTGTTTGTTGTTTAACAGATCAACTTTTTGAAAATTGAAATTCGCGAAACTTTTTTTTAGAAAACTTCACGTGACGCGTCACCTGATCTTAAAATTACCCTTTTGGGACGAATTCAGAATTGACGCGTTTGGCGTTTTTTTTTTATACGCGTAGAAAATTAAAATTTAAATCTCAATTTGTAAAACACTAAAAAGACACAATAATTTGATAAGTTTCACAATTCATTTGATACTCATTTGATACCTGCTTCAACATAATATTCCACCAAAAGCCTATTACACTCATACACTCATATACATACACTCGCTGCCTTGAATCTATCCCATTATTCCAATACCTCTATACTATAAAAGATTAAGCATCATTCATTATGGGTGCTCCAGCTAATGGAAAGTATAAAGGTTCCACCACTGCCAGATATGTCAAAAGTTCCATAAACCCTAGAGATGATTACGTGCCGAATGGTGGTCCAGCTGCATTCCAAGCTCAAAGAGCTGAAACTAAATCAAAATTAGATCAAGTAAAGAAGATTGATCAAATAGATACAATGATGGGGTTTGAAAGATTTGATTCAGGTCCTTCCAAAACAGGTTGGTTGTGTAATATGCATGCTACAACTATCCCAAGTAAAGATTATATCGCTGGTGTTTCTGGTGTTGATTATTATTTCTTAGATGAAGAAGGTGGTACTTTTAAAGCTACTATTCAATATGATCCATATTTTCTTGTTGTATGTACTCCGGGTTCAGAAGCTGAAGTGGAAGAATTATTAAAGAAAAAACTTGAACAATATTTAAAATCAGTGGCCAAAATAGAAAAAGATGATTTAGCTATTCCAAATCATTTGATTGGTATTAAAAGTTCATTATTAAGATTAAATTTCCCAAGTTCAAGTGATATGTTTGAAGCTAAAAAAATAATACAACCAATTGTTAAAGAAAATCAAACTAAAAAAGATACAAAAGATTTATATTCTGCAGTTAATAATAACTATACAGATGCATTTTCATTACAAAATAAAGTTGAATCTCATGTTGATGCTACTGATTATATTGAAGATATCCGTGAACATGATGTGCCCTATTGTACTCGTGTTTCAATTGATAAAAATTTAAGAGTTGGTAAATGGTATAAAGTTTCTGCTGATCAAGGTGATGTTGAAACTGAAGAAATTCCTGATAGAATTGATTTCGGTGATGCTGTTATCTTAGCTTTTGATATTGAAGCTACCAAGAGACCTTTGAAATTCCCTGATAGTTCAATTGATCAAGTTATGATGATTTCTTATATGATTGATGGTGATGGGTTTTTAATTACAAATAGAGAAATTATTTCTGAAGATATCGATGATTTTGAATATACTCCAAAAGCTGAATATCCTGGGCTTTTCACTGTTTTCAATGAACCTGATGAAAAAGCAACATTAGAAAGATTTTTCGAACATATCAGAGAAGCCAAACCAACAATTATTGCTACTTTTAATGGTGATTTCTTTGATTGGCCATTCATTGAAGCTAGAGCTAATGTTCATGATTTAGATATGTTTGATGAAATTGGATTTGCAATTGATGGTGAAGGTGAATATAAATCAACATATTGTGCTCATATGGATTGTTTCAGATGGGTTAAAAGAGATTCTTATTTACCACAAGGTTCTCAAGGTTTGAAAGCTGTCACAACATCAAAATTAGGTTATAATCCAATTGAATTGGATCCTGAATTAATGACACCTTATGCATATAGTAAACCACAATTATTATCAGAATATTCTGTTTCAGATGCTGTTGCAACTTATTATTTATACAAAAAAATTATTAGTAATTTCATTATTTCATTAGGTATAATTGTTCCATTAAATCCTGATGAATTACTACGGAAAGGTACAGGTACCCTTTGTGAAATGTTACTTATGGTTCAAGCTTATGAAAATGATATTTTACTACCCAATAAACATGTGGATCCTCTAGAAAGATTTTATGATGGTCATCTTTTAGAATCAGAAACTTATGTTGGTGGTCATGTTGAATCATTAGAAGCTGGTGTCTTTAGATCAGATTTAGAAAGTGAATTTAAAATAGATCCAACAGCTATTGATGAACTTATAGCTGATTTAGATAATGCTTTAAAATTTAGTATTGTTGTGGAATCTAAAGTAAAATTAGAAGATGTTGAGAATTATGATGAGGTTTATAATGATGTTAAATCTCAATTATTAGCTCTTCGGGAAAATCCAAAAAGAAGTGAAAAACCATTAATTTATCATGTTGATGTTGCATCAATGTATCCTAATATTATGTGTTCAAATCGTTTACAACCAGATTCAATGAAGACTGAAAAAGATTGTGCAGCATGTGATTTTAATAGACCTGGTAAAACTTGTGATAGAAGAATGACATGGGCATGGAGAGGTGAATATTATCCTCCAAAGATGGATGAATATGGTATGGTTAAAAGATCTTTACAAAATGAAACTTTTCCTCCAAAGAAACCTTATCAACCAAGAAGAACATTTGAAGATTTATCATATCAAGAACAAGTTGCTCAAATTAAAAAAAGATTACAAGATTATTCAAGAAAAAATTATCATAAAGTTAAACAATCTGAAACTGTTGAAAGAGAATCCATCATTTGTCAAAGAGAAAATCCATTCTATGTTGATACTGTTCGTTCTTTCAGAGATCGTCGTTATGAATTCAAAGGTTTAGCTAAAGTCTATAAAAAAAAATCAGACACTAAAGATCGTACTGCCAAAGAAGAAGCTGAAAAGAGAGTTGTTTATTATGATTCTTTACAACTTGCTTTTAAAGTCATTTTAAACAGTTTCTATGGTTATGTTATGAGAAAAGGTTCCAGATGGTACTCCATTGAAATGGCTGGTATTACTTGTCTTACTGGTGCTACAATCATTCAAATGGCTAGAGGTTTAATTGAAAGATTAGGTAGACCCTTAGAATTAGATACTGATGGTATTTGGTGTATTTTACCAAAATCATTTCCAGAAGATTTCACTTTCAATTTGAAAAATGGTAAGAAAGCATTTTGTTCATATCCATGTTCAATGTTGAATTATCTTGTTCATGAACAATTTACAAATCATCAATATCAAACATTAGTTGATCCAGTAACGAAGAAATATGAAACACATAGTGATAACTCTATTTTCTTTGAAGTTGATGGTCCATATAAAGCCATGGTTTTACCAACATCTAAAGAAGAAGGTAAAGGTTTGAAGAAACGTTATGCTGTCTTCAATGATGATGGTTCACTTGCTGAATTAAAAGGTTTTGAATTGAAAAGACGTGGTGAATTACAATTAATCAAGAATTTCCAATCTGATATTTTCAAATTATTCTTGGAAGGTGATACTTTAGAAGGATGTTATGGTGCTGTTGCTAATGTTGCCAATAGATGGTTAGATGTTTTAGACACCAAAGGTCGTATGCTTGAAGATGAAGATTTGATAGAGTTGATTTGTGAAAATAAAAGTATGAGTAAGAGTTTAGAAGAATATGAAGGTCAAAAATCTACTTCTATTACAACTGCTCGCAGATTAGGTGAATTTTTGGGTGCTGAAATGGTTAAAGATAAAGGTTTACAAGTCAAATATATTATTTCTGAAAGACCAATTAATGCTCCAGTTACTGAAAGAGCCATTCCTGTTGCTATTTTCTCATCTGATATCACTGTCAAAAGAAATTTCTTAAGAAGATGGTTATTAGATCCTTCATTGGATGATTTTGATGCAAGAAACATTATTGATTGGAATTATTATAAAGAGCGTCTTGAATCAGTTATTCAAAAAATTATCACAATTCCAGCTGCTTTACAAGATATCGAAAATCCAGTTTCAAGAGTTGCACATCCAGATTGGTTACAAAAAAGAATTGCAACTAGTAAAGATAAAAAGAAGCAATCATCACTTTCTACATTTTTTACCAAGACTAAAAGTAATCCAATTGATATCATGAAAGATATTGAAGATATTGGTAAAGAAAATGAACTTTCTGGTAAGAAACCATTAGTCGGTAAAGTCACTTCTAAGAAGCGTAAAAATCATCACACTGAATCATCTGAACCTTCTGAAGAAGACACCAACTTGTTAAATGGTCCATGTCCAGCTCCTGATGAAGATTATGTTGGATTCTTAGCATATCAAAAAGTCAAATGGAAAGTTCAAAAGAAATCAAGAGAAAGAAGAAAAGCATTGTTTGGTGAATCTTCAGAATCTAGTTATAGATCTACTGTCGGTAATATGGTTCGTAATCAAGCAGAAAACTTTGCTGGTTCAACATGGCAAGTTCTTCAATATAAGTTGGATTCAAATCCTGGTGATATCAAAGCATTTGTTTTGATTGATGGTAAAATTCAATCTTTTATTTTCCATATTCCAAGAAAATTATATATGAGTTTCAGGTCTTCTGTTTTACCAGATGGTACAATTCCAAGTTGTGAAGTTGAAAAAGTCAATAGTATTTTACCAAATGGTCATAAAGCTTCAAACTTATTCAAATTGACAATGCCAGAAACTGTTTATCAAGATGAATTGAGTAAAGCTGGTAGTGTTTTGCAAAATCCAAACGTTCTTGGTATTTATGAAGCTCAAGTTGAACCAACTGAAAGAGCCATTATGGAACTTGGTAATTCTGTTAATTTCAACTCAAGTAAAATAGGTTCATTGGGTAAAGGTTTGAAAAATGGTTTTGATTTGAAATCTCTATCAATGACTGATACTACACATTATTTGCAAAAATTTACAATGCCAACAGCATATTTGTTTCATATGGTTACCAATAATTATCAAATATATTCCTTGTTCAAATCATGGGATAAGAAAGTTATGTTGTTTGTTTTGAAACCATCAAGAAATGCTCAACCAATCAGTGGTAATTTAGAAAAGATTTATAGAGATCTTTATGAAGCTAAAAGGGAAAAGATTGCACCATTGTATGGTATCATTGATTATCAAGAAGAATTAGAATTTGAAACCGTTTATTTTGAAGAACTTCCAAAACTTCACAGAAAGTTAAACAGTTTCATCAATAAAATCAATGAAGAAAGTCCAACCAAACCATTATTTGTCTTACAATCACCAACTGCTAATAATCTTTCAAAATCATTCAAAACATTGAGTGATTTCCCAGTTATTCATATGAATGTTGGTGAAATTAATGTTCCAGCTATTGGATGGCAAGGTATTGTCTTGAAAAGAGTTTGTAACCATTATTTGGCGTTAGCTTCATGGATCAAGCATTTATTAGCATTGGCTAAATATGGTAATATTCCATTATGTAACTTGAGAGCTGATAACATTGGTTATTTGATTGATATTGAATATGCTAGAAGATTAAAGAAAAGTGATATCGTTTTGTGGTGGTCACCAAGGCCTACTCCAGATTATGGTGGATTAGAAAAAGATTCCATTTTGATGGATAATGAAAATTATGAATTCCCAATTATCAATAACCCAGAAATCTATGAAACTGTTGCATTAGAAGTTGATGTTTCCAATTTAACTATCAATACTGTGTTAACATCTGCTTTGATTAACGAAGCTGAAGGTACTGATTTAGCAGAAGTTGAATTGATTCATGATGAAAATAGTGGTACTTCAACATTTGCTGAAGATTCGTTCTCTGGTCCAGGGTTATCTGTTTTGAGAACTATGGTTAAAGATTGGTGGGATGATGCTGTTAAAGACAATGCTAATGCAGATTCTATGGTTCATACATTTGTTTCTTGGGTTCAAGACAGCCAATCATATTTATACGATTCTTCATTGAAATATCATGTTCATAATTTGACCAAAAAAGCATTACTGCAATTAGTTGGTGAATTCTCCAAGCTGGGTTCAAGTGTTATATTTGCTAATAGATCTAAAATTATTTTAAGAACTTCAAAAGTTTCTGTTGAAACATCATATGCTTATGCACAATATGTTGTTAAAGCTGTTAGATCTAGACCATTATTCAATTATTTGGATTTACAAATTGATAAATATTGGGATCTATTGATTTGGATGGATGAACATAATTTTGGTGGTAGAGCATGTTTAGAAATTTCAGAAAAGGAAGAACAAGATTTAATTGGTCTTTCTAAATGGCAAATTAAACAATATTTACCTTCAATTATCCAACCAGAATTTGAAGATTGGGTCATTATTTTCTTGGATGCTTTAATCAAAGATAAGAATAAGATGGCTAATGTGTTGTCAACACCAAGAGTTACACAAATCAATCATATATTAAAGAAAAATCAAGGTACTAAAACTCAAGATGAAGATATCCAAAATGGTCTTTTCGAAAGCTTCAGAAAACCTTTGTTGAAAAGAGTCAAACAACTACTTCGTAATCAGACAGAGGCTATTCTTGATACTGATTTGATTAATGAATATGAGTTCCCAAGATTACCAGGTTCATCAACGGTTTTGAAAAATCCAGTTTTAGAACTTGTTAAATTTTTATGTGCAATTTTCAGTCTTTCCAAAAAGAGAAATCTTTCAGTTAGGTTACTTCGTAAGGAATTATTAAACATTTTTGAAATTAGGGAATTTGCTAAAGAATCAGTGTTTTATAATCCAAGTAAATCATTGAAAGTTCCTGGTATTTTATGTGAATATTGTCATCATATTAGAGATCTTGATTTTTGTCGTGATGAAGCTAAACATTTATGGAAATGTGAAAAATGTGATCATAATTATAACAAGGCATTAATTGAAGAAAGATTAATCAATACATTAGAGAAAACAATTACAAATTTCTTTGTTCAAGATTTGAAATGTGAAAAATGTAATAGAGTTAAAGAAAGTAACATGTCAGATTATTGTTCATGTTCAGGTCAGTTTGTGGAATCACAAACTAAACAAGATGTTTCTTCAAGTGTGGAAACATTTGATAGAATTTCAGCATTTTATGATTTAAGACTATTGAAAGATTTTATCGATCAGGTCTTCTAATGATATATTATTAAAATTGTACATTATTTATTTAAAAAAAAAGGTCATATATACGGTATAATAATTAGTTAATATTAAAAAAGTAATATAGTATTTAATTACAGGTTTTTTATAAGGTTTTTAAAAGTTCATCAACGTAGAATTAATTCTTATAAAACAATACATTATCACACAATGTTTTGATCATAGACGATTCTTCTCTCTGGTAAAGTGTATAACTTATAATAATCAACAGTTTGACCGTTCAAATTAGCTTCACTATTAACTGGTAATTTGAAAACATTTCTAACATCTAAACGTTCATCACCACTAGCAAACCAGAAATCAATACAATTTTGTTTAACCCCATAATCAGTTGGAACTGTTTCAATTGGTGAATTACTTTTCAATCCCAAAACTTGTTTAAAAGCAATTGCAAATTGATCAATACCAGTTAATAAACAGAATGTGCTCAAACAATTACGATCTTTTGGAGCAAAAGGAGCTGTATTAGAATCACCACCGCTAAGTTCTGCTGGAGCACTTGAGAAATGTGGGTTAGCACCATTTGCAGCACGTTTGGTATAAACTGATAATTCTAAAGTTGTTAAACCTTTTGAAATTTGGAAAAATTGAGAGAATAATAAGAAAGTAACCCAAATTGATTGGAAAATGGTCCATGCAGTTAATGTGAAAATAAATGAGGATTCATAGCATCCTGTACATAAATCATCATCCAATAAAAAGCATTCTTCCTTGGTTTCTTTTAATTCATCAAAATACTCCAAAACTAAATGGAAAAATAAAAACATTGTCAATTCTAATGATATTACGAAAAACATAAATACTTTATGATTTCTTAGACCAACATCATTATAAACCCATGGACAAAAATGATCATATCTAGCAACACACTTTTCATATAATGAAGAATATTTTGATCTCAAAGGTTTTTTAATATAAGTATTAATACAGAAATTTCTTGCATCAAATTTCCCAATTTGTAATAATTCTTCAATTGTTGCCTTAATTTCTTCATTAGAATCTGGAGTTTGAATAATACCAGGATCTTTAAACATGGCCTTGAAAAATGAATAAACAACAGCTGTACTTAGCCCTGCAAAGATTAAATTTGATAATGGTGCTTCTGATAAAGTATATGGAAGAATTGTAAAGATCCATGAAAAAAGAATCCAAAATGCTGTACCTGAAAATATACCAGATAAATAAGGTGATTTAATAAATGGTGATGAGCTTAAAACATAACAAGGGAATATAAATTTCTTCAAAATTTTGGTTGATACTAAGAATAGAATTATTGATATTATTAATGCAAAAAATGCATTTGTTTGAGCATTGATGTATAGAGCAGATCCTAAAAGAGCATAAGGAGTCAAGAATGTGATTATTTTAGCTCCTTTAGCTGAAAAATGTTTTGTGATTGGGTTCCCTGATGGATCTAAACCACATTGGAATAAAGCATCTTTCAATACACCAGTACTATTCATATTTTGAGCAACATCGAAGCAAGTTTTTCCATCATTTGTCTTTTGATAAATATCTGAACCTTTTTCAATCAATCGCTTGATACAATCCTTTTGACCTCTGATTAATGACCAATGAAGAGCAGTGAAACCTTGTTCGTCAACTAATTTAACATTAGCATTAAAATTCAATAACGCATCAACACTTAATGAATCACCTTGATAACCCGCCCATATGAGTGCAGTTCTTCCCTGTGGATCTGCTGAATCAATTGGTACTTGATCAACGAATGCTAAGACATAAATCACCAACATGATATTTGAAGAATGAACAGCTAAATGTAGGGTATTGAAACCTTGAGAATCAGCTTTAGTAGGATCCGCACCATTCTTTAATAGATAATCCACAATGTATACCAGACCATAACGACAAGCCCAATGCAATGGAGTAGCATTCAAATCACCACCAGGTCTATCAACTTCAGCCCCCTTTGACACCAAGTACTTAACAATAGAGAGTCTATTATTAATAGCAGCCCAATGAAGCCCACTGACGTTATTTTCATCCACATCTGAACCCAATTCAATGGCCTCAGATTCAATCAAGTCCTTCACTGTTACCAAATCACCAGTTTGACACGCCTCCACGTATTTCTTTATTAGGATGTCACTTTCATTGTCTATTGTCTTTTGAGCCGGTTGGATCGAAGAGCTCGAAACGGGACTTTGATTCCCCTGCGTATGTTCTTGATCCAGGGTCTCGTTGAGCTCAACTGTTTCCAAATCGTCAAACTTATCCGTGTTCTCAGCAGACATTGTCCCTCTGAATCAATTGAAATGAATTGAAGTATCCCTTAGTAAACGGTTACAACTTGGTAGTCAAAAATGATTTAGGCTGATTTTCGCTTTTTAATTTTAGACCCAGAAATTCTGGGCTGTATATAAAAGGCCGCGAATTGGTTCTACAATAATAAATTTATTAATACTTCATGAATTTCTACTTGAATCTAACAATCTTGGTGATCTCGAGAGCCATCTCAAACGGTTCAGTGCTTCTCTTTGTATTTCGTATCACTTTCTCAATCCCGTTTTTCAGCTGTGTGTTGGTGGACAATGAAGTGATGATTTGGGAATTCTCTTCGGAATGGAAAACCAAGTAATAAAGAACATAAAGAGTTCTTTCTAAAAGGTCTTGTTCTTTGTATTGTTCATTCAAGATCAAGGAAAGATTCTTGAGTAGCTTGTCGTCTTTGATAACCTCTTGTGCGATGAATTCAATAGTGATACCAAATGATAAAGCTGCAACTGCTGAATTTTGAGATTTCAAATCTGGTAACCCAGTATACTGAACTAATAAATCATATCTTCTCTTTGAATCTTTATTTGAAAAATCAAAAAGTCCTGCAACATTCTCCTTATGTTGTACTGCATTACATACCAACTCAATGGCAGCTCTTCGTATTGCAGTTTCTTCATTATTCAAGTAATGATCTATGATTTTCCATTGTATTGGAGTGAATGCACCGTTATCAACAGCATTAGCATTTGTTAATGAAATCAATGCTTGTAATTGCTCCTTTTGAGTTATACCATCAATGGAAAGGTATTGAAATAAGGCAAATTGTGCCTCGCGAAGACGGAAAACTGTAGATGGATTTGTTGTTAATAATAAATTTGAAATTGATTGATATGCAAATTTTAAAATCTCTTGTGGGATATTATCTAATGTTATTGAACGTATCACAATTTCCAAACCTGCTTGTGATAATACCTGTGGACGATTTTGTTTTTCTTTTGATAAATTATAAACCAATTTTATAGCAGGTAAAACTGAAGTTAATGATAATTTTTTATGTGATGATAAATTATGAATAACATTTCTTTCTAAAAGATCTTCTTGAAATTGTTTAATATCCTCTGGATCTTCTTCAATTTCAGATTCAAGTCCCTTTTTAGCATGTTGTTTTAATTCTGAAACCTCGGATTTTTCCTCAATCGTACTTAAATTAGCTAATGTAACTAAAGCACCATAAATATCTTCTAATGAAGCACCTTCTTTTGGATCCAAGAGTTTAGTTAGATCTAGAATGACTTCATCATCGCTTCTTATTCTTTGCTTTATACTTGGCTTGATTGATAAATATGCCAAAGCTTCAACTGTGAACTTAGTAAATTTCTTTGTTAATATATCATAAAGATCATTAATATTCAATGATTTTTCAGATTCTAATTGTGTGAAATTCCATGTTTTGATAATAACTAATGCAGATAATTCTTGAATCTCAATATCATTATATTTCACAGCTTCAACAAGGACTGAAGTGAATTTGGAGGCAATTAGTTTTCTTGTTTCATCATCTGAACATAAAGCAGATAAGAGATTTAACCCTTCTTTAATCACTTTTTGGGAAGAATACTGACTAACTTTTACTATTGATTCTTGAACAGCTTCAACTTGGAAAAGTGCCTTACCTTGTTCCTTATCAATTTCAAAAATTGTTGCCACTATTTTGAAAATTGGTGCATATTGTTCCCTAGCATTTAATATATCTAATTGTTGATCAATTAAAACCAAAGTTTCTGAAGGGTTAGCCTTGTATAATCTAATAATGGAAACCCAACATTTTTCTAAATCAACAATCTTGAATATAGTGCATGATACAAGAATCTCAGCATCTTTAATAACAAACCCTTTAGTACTTAAGATTAATGATAATGTATCTGATACAAATTCTAGTTCCGAATCACTTTGAGTATGTTTAATTTTGGAGATTAAAAATTGAATAATTGCCTCTGATTTGGATCTATCACCCTTCAATAGCAATGCCAATGGTATATCAGTCTTCAATGCCAACTCATACGCTCTTTCAACGTTTTCTAGGATCAATTTCTCAAGATCCGATGAGCCTTTGGATTTGTTCAACTGATCTTTCACCACTGAGACGTCAAGTTCCTCAATTGAACTGCGGGAAAAAAGCTCCTCCAGTGTAGACATTCCCAAAATTGAACCACTTTATACAGAAATACTTCCAGTCACTCTTTGAGTCTCTGTTAACACCAATTCAAAACATTTTTAAACTGCAAATGTTCACTTTTCGTTGATGGCTTCGCGACCATAAACAAAAATACTCATTAAAGGCAAACTACAAATCAAAATATTGCTTCATCATCTTGAAGAACTTTTAAAGAAAACAAGAATCATATTCACAAGTTTCTGTTGACAATGGTTTCAAAGGACATTGAGTATCTGAAGGAAAAAAACTTTGATATCTACAAGCTTCTGGAAATCCCAAACGATGCACAAGACGTAACAATAAGGAAGGCATACAGAAAACAAGCATTGATATATCATCCAGATAAAAACCATTCAGAAGATGCTGTTGATAAGTTCCATGCCATTTCCATATCATTGAAAGTGCTCATTGATCAGCAATTGAGAAATGAATATGATAATTGGTTACAATCGAAACAATTGGAAGCACTAAGATCTCTTAAACTTGATTCTAGTCGGAAACAGATGAAGGATGAATTAGAAAAAGCTGAAAATGAAGCAATTCAACAACAACAAAGTCAGAGTGGTAATAAGCGTTGGTCTAGTCGTACGGTTAATCAAAGCTCAAATACATTTGGTGTACATCTGGAAGCATTAAGACAAGAAGGTACCCAGAAAAGAAGAGAATTGGAACATGAATTTAGATCAAAATTTAATAATGATGATAATGAGAATTTGGCGAAACCAAGAAAGATATATAAGTTAGAATTGAATGACAATACAAAAGTAAGAGTTAAATGGAAAATTAAAGAAGGTATATCTGATTTATTCACATCTGATGTCTTGATTAGTATTATGTCCATATTTGGTGATATTGAATCAGCTGAAATCTTACCAAGATCATCAAAAGAGAAAAGGTATGATACAGGAATTGTGAAATATCACACAAAAGAAGGTGCAATGAATGCAGTGAAGCATAATTATAATGAAAAGAGTAAAATTTGGGAAAATACATCATATAGGAAATTATCAGGTTTACTAAGGGAAGTTAAGTTTGATAAAAAGACAAAAAAATTGAATAAAAATGTTGGTGTTTTAAATGAAGATGATTATTCATTTGATGAATATTTAGAGTTAACTCTAATGAAACTAACTAATGCAAAAGATTCAAAAAGTTTGAAAAGAAAATTTGAAGAATGAAACTAATGGGTTTAAAATTGATGGATTTTATTTCATCAAACATGCTAATGATTAATGACTTTATTAAAAAATGATATAGTATAATAATAGTTTAATATATAATGTGAAATATTGAAATTATGCAATCAGCAATTTGTTCATAGTTGTAGTTATAATCTTGAAGCTAATCGCGAGTACAAATTAAATAAGCCTATATAATTTTAGCTTCAAAAAAAAGGCAACAGATCATACAAAGCTCAAACAGTATTATAGACAGTATTATTATAGCACAACATACGACATGTCATTGATCTCTTTCAATTGTAATTATTCCAATCAGTCGGACCGGGTCAAGACAGGATCCTCAGCTGTATGAATTCAAAGTAAAACCGAAGCTTATTATTCCCGATCTCAAAACAATATCGCTAAAATTTCTAAATTTGACGACTTAGATCTACTTTACACAGTTTAGAGTATATAAGTACACTAACTTCCCTTTATTCATCTTCTTACACTTCAAGAATTATCTATTCCATTCAACCACCAACTCAATTACCAAAATGGCTGATGAATATCCAATAGTTACAAAAGAAGAATTTATAAAAGGTGTGGGAAATACACCTTTGATTAAAATTGAATCACTTTCAAAAGAAACAGGTCGTGAAATTTATGTTAAAGCTGAATTTAAAAACTCCGGGAAATCAATCAAAGATAGAGCTGCTATTTATCTGTTAAATGATGCTTTATCAAAAGGTGAATTGACTCCAGGGGGTACTTTAGTGGAAGCCACTGCTGGTAATACGGGGATTGCATTGGCTTTATTAGCAAGAACTTATGACCCACCTTTTAAAGTTAGATTATTCGTTCCTGAAACTCTTGTTCCTGAAAAAATAGCTATATTAGAATCATTAGGAGCTACTGTTATTTTAGGTCCAATTGTTCCACAAGATCATCCAGAATTTGTTAATAATTTAGCTAAAAGATATGCAGCAGAAAATGATAATACAATTCATGTTAATCAAATGGATAGTTTAGTCAATCGTAAAGCACATTATGAAAATACAGGTCCAGAAATTTGGGAGCAAACAAACGGTAAAATCAATGCATTTATTGCAGCTTCAGGTACAGGTGGGACTTATTCAGGTGTTTCAACATACTTGAAAGAAGTTTCAAATGGTAAAGTTTCAACTTATGTTGCAGATAGAGAAGGTTCCGGTTTACATTCATACATTCAAAGTAAAGGGGAGAATTGGGATGCTGAAGGTACTTCATTTGTTGAAGGAGTTGGTAAATTAGCTCATACTGGTAATACAAGAGGTATTTTAGATTATACAAGTGGTTCATATAGAATCTTGGATGAAGAAGTTTTAGTAACATTATATAGATTATTAGATGAAGAAAATTTATCAGTTGGTGCTTCCTCAGCTTTAAATCTAACTGCTGCTAAAAAATTGGCATTAACTTTACCAGAAGGTTCAATTGTGGTTACAACAGCTGCTGATACAAGTGAAAGATATGCAAGTAAGGCATTCAATAAAGAATGGTTAATTGAAAATGGTCATTGGGATAAGATACCACAACATTTACATAAATATGCAACATTCACTAGTAGCAGCTAATATATATTTCAACACATATCATAATATAGAGTACTTTGGATAGAAAAAAAAACTTGTAGACAGGTCACAGAATATATACTGTCTAATTATCGGTATGGGACGCAAAAAAGAAAGAATGCGATCTCTGTGGATTGAACACAGGACCTTTAGATCTTCAGTCTAACGCTCTCCCGACTGAGCTAAGACCGCTTCTTGCTGAGTTTTTGGGTCATGCGTGCAGGGTGACCTTGCCATTATCCGGGTAATATTCTCACTTAAAATGTGGCGCTTACCGAACATTTTTCACTTTCTGACAGATAATACGCATTCTTGTTTAAAATGTAATGTGAATATAAATTTTATAGTTGCGTATTTGGAATTTAACAATAAAACTCATCTCTATTTTGATTCAGATCATAAGATTATTATATCCCAAAAGTAATGTTCAGTTGGAAAAAGGATAAAAAGCAAGAGAAACAAGTGGATCAAGCCGATTTGATTGAAGTCTCGGTTCCATTTGATAAACCGAGTACCATAAAAGCTCCAGAGATCAAACAATTAAAAGAGGATGAACAAAAAAAATATAATGAAGTATTAAAACATTTCCAAGATTCAAATCTAGAAGTTGCAAAAGCACCTAAATCATCAGAAAAGGCATCGTTAACTAGTCATGAAAAATCTTGGTTAACAAGAGAATGCTTTTTAAGATATTTAAGAGCAACCAAATGGATTGTTAAAGATGCTATTGAAAGATTAGAATTATCATTAGCTTGGAGACGAGAATTTGGTATTACTGGAGAAAATGATATTGTCACTCCAGAATTAGTTGAACCAGAAAATGCTACTGGTAAAGAAGTCATTTTAGGTTATGACAATAATGCACGTCCAATTTTATATTTAAAAAATGGTCGTCAAAATACTAAATCATCATTTAGACAAGTTCAACAATTAGTGTTTTTCTTAGAAAAAGTTATAAATTTCATGCCACAAGGTCAAGATACAATTGCATTACTTATAGATTTTAAACAATATAAAGTTGAAGGTACAACTTCTAAAATCCCACCTTTATCAATTGGGAAACAAGTTTTAGATATTTTACAAACACATTATCCAGAAAGATTAGGAAGAGCATTATTAACAAACATTCCAATCGTTGCATGGACTTTTTTAAAATTAATTCATCCTTTCATTGATCCAAATACAAAAGAAAAAATCATCTTTGATAAACCTTTTGAAGATTATGTCTCATTAGATCAATTAGATAAAGATTATGGAGGGAAATTGAATTTTGAATATGATCATGATGTTTATTTCCCATCATTAGTTGAACAAGCTGAGGCTAAACAAAAGAATTTCTACGAAAGATTTATTAAATTTGGAGGAATCGTTGGTCTCAGTGAATTTGATCTTAGAGGAACAAGTGAAGAACTTCAATTCCCAGTGGAACAATTAGCATAGAGTTTATAGTATGAATGAAATGATTTGATGTTGATTCCTTTAGTAAAATGATGTAACCAATGACTTCTATCAAGTTTTGTGATATATCTATTCATCTATTCTGATAATATAACCGTTTTGATTTTTGAAGAGTACAATAGAATTTGGATATTAACACCGCCAAAAACCGACACCGATAATTATTTTTTAAGCATTTTTGCAGTCCAGCTTAATAATGAAAATTCAAATTTTATTGCGCTTTTCTGCAATGGAATTCCATTTTAACTGAAAAGGGCTGAATCTTATTTTTTTCCTAGTATACCTTACTAAATTGTGGATACTCCGATAAAATCGACTTTAAAGTATAAATAATGATCTTGATCCTTCTTTATAGTCAATTATACCTCAGTACATAAACAGTATACACATTACTATTGAAAATGACTCCCCTACCAAACACTCAAACAGCTATCAAGATCAACGAGGAATACAAGTTAGTGAAAATTGAAGTCCCTGTCCATAGCGAGTTGGAAGGTGATGAGATCTTAGTTAAAGCTAAAGCCATTGGCTTAAACCATGTTGATAACTATTTTGCAGATTTCAAATGGGCAAGTCCAGGTACAGGAGTTGGTACTTCCTTATCGGGTGATGTTATAGCTGTTGGTAAAGATGTTACAAGATTCAAAGTTGGTGATACAATTACTTCATTCACTTTTGGCTCTGATTCTGAGTTTAAAGATCATGGTGCCCTTCAACAATATGTGAAAGTTCTTGAAACTAATTCATTTCAACTTAATGTTAAAGGCTATGCTTCTACCAGTGATATTCCAAAAGGTCCAATAACAAATTATGAAGATGGTGCTTCTTTAGCAGATGCTCTGATAACAATTGGTATCTCCATTTATCATACATTTGGTCATAATGATGAAAAGGACAAAACTATTTTGATTTATGGTGGATCAACAAATGTTGGTCAAATTGCTATTCAATATGCTCATACTTTAGGCTGGAAAATTATCACTATCGCTTCGCAAAGGTATGAAACATTACTCAAAGAACTAGGTGCTAATATCGTGTTGGATTATCATTCAGAGTCATTAGTTGAAGATATAATATCATTAGGTGAACATATTGATTATGCATATATTACCACTGGTAGTACAAAATCAGTAGAACAAGTTTATGAAGCATTACCTACAGAATATCCTATAAAGTTAGAAGGTCTTCAAGTTCCAAACATCGATTTCATTGAAAATAAAAAATCAAACATCACTTATGAATTAACCAGGGCATTCACTTCACATGAAAGAATTATTACTTATGGAAATGGTGCAAGTCATAAACCAAAACCTGGTACTTTGAAATCCTTGAAAGAATTTGTTCCAATTATTGAAAACTTACAGAAACAAGGTAAGTTAAAACACTTACCAATCAAAGTTTTACCTGGTGGATTTGATGCAGTTAATGAAGGTCTAAAATTGTTAAAAGAAGGAAAAGTTTCTAATCAAAGATTGGTTATCAGAGTTAATGAAGAAATCTAAAAAGTCGGTTTATGTACATTGTGTAATTAAATTTGATCTATATCAATCACAAATATCTAGAGTAGCTAAAAATCATGCGCTTTTCTAATGATAAATTAGTATTAATATACTTAAGTATTGAGCTCATCTGTATTAGTAATATCTTACATAATCTGTATAAAGATCTTTTATGTTTTTGAAGGATTAAACTGGAATAATTGATAGATTTAAGAGTAGTATTAGTCTATAGGTGATACTAGATATAGTATTAAGCTATTTCAATTAGCATTTGAAGTGTTTTGAAAATCAAAAATTTCAAATTAAAAATACTTATAACCTTATAAAATTTAATTTTACTTTGAAAAAATAGATTTCAAAAATATCAAAAATTTCAAACTTTGAAATTGGTGACTATAATGATATAGAAGATAAACTACGCTCTAAGAATACGCCCACATATCTTTGAAAATTTATAATCTCAAGTAATCATAGATTAATTATAAAAGATTTTGTTTTATAGAAATTTCGGTTATACCCGGTAATTAATAATTTAATTTCCGAGAGTTAATACCGAATTGAATTTGAGAGCACTATTTAAATTGTAATTTGTAAAACAGGTCAATATAATTCATGACAGGTTATATATATATACTTTATACTAAAGAGTAAAGCCATTGAATATAAATATACTGATAATTCGCATATAAGTTAATAACTGTATTGGGTCTTGTTGAAAATCACCCAACACCCAACATAGGTGTATAGTCGTATAGTCTACATTCAATTGATTAAGATAAATAACATATCTACGAGCTTACACAGATCCAGATAATATACTACAATTCTTAATTTAATCGAAACATTATCTAGCGTATATTATTCACAGAATGATGTTAAATTCAAGACCTAACAACATCAAAAACGAACAAAATTTTTTAAAATGAAAAATCAAAATTCAATCAAAATTAGAAAATTTTAATATAAATGTCAAAACAACCTCAAATAAGAATGACAATATATATCAAAAAACGTCCAACAAGAAATAAATCAATCAATTCCATTTTAAAAAAATAATCATAAAAAATAACAAACAAAACTCAAACAAAATAGTGTTTTTTTTTCAAATAATAAAGACAATTTTATAACTTTTTTTTTAAATCATAATAATTGACTAAATTTAATACCAACTTCTTTGGTTTAAATCAGCACCATATCCATAGTAGTTTTGTGGTTGGTAAAATGGTGGAACAGCTTGATCTTCAGCACCTGATTGACCAGTTGGAGCAGAACCATTAGAAGCTGATTGATTACCTCGAGAAGCAGCTTGTTGAGAGTTTGGTTGAGAACCAGGAACACTTTGTTGAGTTTGTGGAGCTGATGAAGCTTGAGTAGCTTGATGTGGAGCACCATAAGCACCATAACCTTTTGGTTGTTGATATTGATTATATGGTGAAAATTGTTGTTGTTGAGCAGCTGCAGCTTGTTGTTGATAATAAAATTGTTGTGGGTAATACATATATGGCATGTTTTGGAAAAATGGAGTTTGATAAGGCATACCTGCAACATTTGGTTGTGGTTGATTACCACCAGCATTTGATGGTTGAACTTGGGAAGCAACTGGTGAAGCAGTGGCTAAATCATTTGCAACTGGAATGGTTGGAATTTGTGGTGGAACAGTGTATGGTGATTGTTGAGCAGCAGCAAATTGTTGTTGTGTTTGCTGAGCACCAGAAGCTTGATCATAAGCACCAGTTGATCTTTGTTGATTGTAACCATTACTACGATCATAACCATAATCTAAACCAGCATAGTTGTAACCTGGGAATTGTGATGAATAAGCACCATAATATTGTTCAAGACCTTTTGGAATTGGTTGTTGAGGTTGTTGTTGTTGCTGTTGAGGTTGTTGTTGAGATTGTTGTTGACCTTGACCTTGACCTTGAGGTTGAGATTGGGTTTGGGTTTGAGGTTGTTGTTGTTGTTGAGGGTATTGTTGTTGTTGTTGTTGGAAAAAGTTTTGTTGTTGTTGTTGTTGAGATGGTTGAGATTGTTGTTGTGGAGCTTGTTGTTGTTGTTGACGTTGTTGTGGGTAAGAACGTTGTTGTTGTTGCTGTTGTTGTTGACGTTGTTGGTTGTAGTAGTCATTATTATATTGTTGTTGTTGTTGAGCTGGTTGTTGTTGTTGAGGTTGTTGTTCTTTAGTTGATTCTTTGTTATCATACAATGAAGAGCCGAATGATATACCACCGACGTTACCTAATTGACTAGCAGTTTGTGGTAAAACAACTGGAGCATCTTGTTGTAATCTTCTTTGAGATTTTTGTTGTTGTTGTTGTTGAATTGGGATTTGAGGTTGAGTTTGTTCAGGTTGAACTTGTTCAGTTGTAGTTGGTTGTTCAACTTGTTTTGGAACTTCTTGTTGAATTTGAGGTTGTTCAACTTGTTGTTCTTCTTGTTTTGGTTCTTCTGGTTTTTTATCTTCAACAGAAACAGTTTCAACACCTTTTGTAACTTCAACAACTTTTTCAACTTCAGTCTGTTGTTCTTGTTCAACTGAAGTTTCTTGAGTTTCTTGTTCTTGAGGTTGAGGTTTTGGAGCTGGAGCAACTTTTTTCTTTGGTTTTGGAGCTGGAGGAGTTGCAATAGCAGCCCATGATTTATTACTAGTTGCAGGAGTTTGAGCTGGTTTTTTAACTTCTTTTTTTTCTTCTTGAGGTTTTTCAGATTGTTTTGGTTCTGGTTTTGATTCTTCTTTAACTTGTTCTTCTTTTTGAGGTTGTTCTTCTTGTGTTGATTCTTGATCTTTTAATTGTTCTTCAGCTTCTTGAGCTTGTTGTTGTTGTTTAACAGCAGCAGCTTTAGTTTTTGGATCAGAACTTGCTAATGCAGCAGCCCATGAAGTTGATTTAGGAGCAGCAGCAGCAGAAGTAGAGGTAGAAGTAGTGGTTGTATTTGATGAATCTTTTTGATCTTTTGGAGCAGAAGAAGAATCTTTTGGTTGTTTTGAAGCTACCGGAGCTCTTTTACCAGGTTTTTCTTTGAAGCCACCTCTTGGTTTGAATTCTCTTTGTTTTGGATGAGAAGAACCATTTGATTGTTGATCTTTATTATTTATTATTTCTTGTTCATGTTTTTCTTGTTGTTTTTCCTTTTTAGATGGTTTTTTAACTTCATCCCATTTACTAACAGCACCTGTAGTAATTTTTTCAATAATAACTTCCAATACATCAAATTCATTAATTAAATCTGTTAAATCTTCATTTGACCAATCTGGGAATAATTCATTAAGAGTACTTAATTTATTTTGAACTTCAGAGTTCACTTTTGAATTTGAGTTTGTAGATGAAGGATTAGATCTTTTGGATTGACCTTTGAATCCACCTCTTGGCCTTCTAGGTTGTTGTTTATGTGTAGTAGAGTCCGACATTATATGTGATATGTGTATATGTTTTATATGTGTGATGTATTATATTTTAATTATTTGAATTGATATTCCAATCTCCACAATTTTCAATTAAGTAAAGTTGAAGTGATTCTTTGATTCAATTGAGACAATTTAACTAAAATATAACCGATCTTTTTTTATATAAGATTGATTGATTGATTTGAAATAAATTTGATTGATTGATTGATTTGATTATAATTTTTTAACTATTTTTTTTTTGAAAACAAATAATAAACTTTTTTAGGATAAAAAAACACGCAGTTAATAGAAGAACACAGCTGTAATTTCCTTAATTGATATTATAATTTGTTTAAAAGTAAAAATTGTTCAATTTTATTTAATTTTATTTCAATATTTTAATTAGTCTTTGATGGCACAATTCAAAAATTTGTCGACGATTTTGAAAAATTGAAATTGTCAAATGCGGGTAAAAAGCGCGAACAAACGTACTTTAAACTCCTATTTCAATAACAAAATCACTACAAAAACCAATAAAGATCCAGAAAAAAGAGAAATATTAACATATAGTCTTACAATACAATTAAATCTCTATCTTGTACCAATTTTCCAGAACTCAATTGACCCATTTTAACCCAAATCATTCAGCAATCTTGCTAATCCCAGTACAAATTTCCAAAAAAAAAAACGCGCTTCTCGAAAAAAACCTTTTTTTAGTGCCAAAATTGTCGATTTCCCAATTAGGTATAAAGTCTACAGATTTATCAAAATTCATAAAAGCAATTCGTTAATTAAACCGTATTAAATCAAATATATAAAATCAATATATAAATCAATTAATTACCATTTAGATTTGGTTTTTGGTGTGGAAGATATCTAAAGCTTCAGAAATTCTGGCAGTCATAGTTTTTTCACCTTCTCTAACCCAAACTCTTGGATCAAAGAATTTTTTGTTTGGTTTATCTTCACCATCTGGGTTACCAATTGGAGCCATTAAGTAATCTTTTTTGTTTAAGACATAGTCTCTAATACCAGTCAAGTAAGCATATTGACAATCGGTATCTAAGTTAACTTTAACAACACCATTCTTGATAGCAGTGTCAAATTCTTGTTGAGATGAACCTGAACCACCATGGAAAACCAAGTATAATGGATGTTTGTTATCAGTACCAATTTGTTGTTTAGCATATAATTGATGGTCACCTAAGATTTCTGGTTTTAATTGAACGTTACCTGGTTTGTAAACACCGTGAACGTTACCAAAAGCAGCAGCAATTGAGAAATTTGGTGAGATTGGAGCTAAAGCTTCATGAACTTTGAAAACGGTTTCTGGTAAAGTGTATAAAGATTCTTTTTGGACATCTTCATTGTTAACACCATCTTCTTCACCACCAGTGATACCAATTTCCATTTCTAACCATTGACCAATTTTAGCCATTCTTTCGAAATATTTAACACAAGTAGCAATGTTTTCATCATCAGTTTCTTCAGATAAATCCAACATATGAGATGAGAATAATGGTTCACCAGTTTCAGCAAAGAATTTTTCATCTTCAGCTAAGAAACCATCAAACCATTGTAATAATTTTTTAGCACAATGATCAGTATGTAAAACAACTGGAATACCATAAGTTGGAGCAATAGCTCTAATGTAATGAGCAGCAGCGATACAACCAGCAATTGAAGCTTCTTGGTTAGTGTTTTTAACACCTTTACCAGCGAAGTAAGCAGCACCACCTTGAGAAGTTTGTAAAATGATTGGTGATTTAGCATCTCTGGCAGCTTCTAAAGCAGCAACAACAGTTGATGATGAAGTAACATTGATGGCTGGGATAGCGAAACCTTTTTCTTGAGCATAGTCAAATAAAGCTTTGACATCTTTACCGTAGATGACACCGGATTTTCTTTCTAAAACGTCTTGTAAAGCCATTGTGATGTGTATAATGAGTTTAATTTAATTCAATTGAATAAAATATGATTTAAATCAAAATATAATCAAAGAATAGTTTCGAGATGAAAAGGACAAGTTCAATTATTTATATACTTTTTTCCCAGGGATGGGAATCTTTGAAGTAACGTGGTGGATCAACCGACGATTTTTCAATCTTCTTTGCGGTGCGAACCGGAGAAAAAAAAAGTTTCACATCAGACAACTACCAAAAATCAAGAGTTGAATTGAAATTTGATAAACGTCATTGGTACAATTCATATTACAATTGAGTGGATAGACAATTGTTTTTTTAGTTGCGATTGTTATAGTATTGTATAATAGAATAATGGCATTGTTATGTCCATGTTTTCCTGTTTAAAAGCAATTGCTAAGTCTATTTTAATTCAACTCCGAATTGCTATATAACCATTTGATAATTAGCTCTTGAGAATAGTCAAGGCTAAAAAATGCACAAATTAATTGAATGATCAAATGAAGCATCACCTTCAACTTGAGCAACATCACCAGGAGACTAGAAACTGATGTTTTTTCAACCACTTTTTTTTCGCTGGGAAGTCTAATGGTCTAATAGTGCATCTGATGTTGGTTTTTATGGTATGGTTTGACGTTTCATATAACATGACAATGCATCAGTTGATAAATACTATAACCATTGATTCCGTTAACACTAATATTTTATAATTTCACTAAACACCCAGTTAACCTTAAATAAATATAAATCTCCTCTTTGATGCCTATTCTATCCGGTTATTGTTATTCCCAATTGCCAGTTGATTAATTGTTCCAACTTGTTCTTGTATCTTCTTAGGATTCCGCGCGCAACTTTTACTATATGAGACCCAAAAGACCCAAGTCTACTAAATTAAGCGAAAGGTCTAGACTGGACGTTGTACAATTCATCCAAACACCAGTCCCAATATTTCCAAGAGATCAAATTAGATCTACGTCAGAGATCTTTTAATTCAAGTATAGAACAAGTTATAACCTATAAAGTACCATAGTTTTAGTGCTAGATTAAGTTCAGCCAATTAATTTATTCATGTTTATAAGCGAATGTTTGAGTCTATATTAATCTATATTATGTATACAATATAATCTTTATACAATACTTTCATTAAAACTTGTTTCTCGTTGATTATCAATGATTAATGAATGAGTTATTATAATACCAGCAGAAATTGAAATTAATGAAATTAATGTACTTATTGGACTTGAAAAAATTATTAAAGGTATTGTTACCACTAATAATAATATATATAAATAATTTTTATTTATATCAATTTGAATCAATCCTGGGATTTTAATTTCATCTAATTCAAGATTTTTCAATAAAATTATACCAATAGTTAAAATGATTAAACTTAAAAATAAATACCAATTTTGAAATAATTGAACTAGGGAAATTATTAAAATTATAATTAAATAATTTGAATTAAAATATCTTATATTTGAAAAAATTCTAATTTGTGCTTCACCAATTGATTTTGGGGTATTGATTTTACTAATATTGAAAAATTCTTTTAATGGTTTAATATTTGAAAATTTTGAATGTAAATATGGATTTTGATGCTATAGTTAAATGTTAGTACTAAAGATCAATAGATAAAACACCTAATAGATTATATCCAAACTCACTTTAAAAGAATCCATATCCCATTTTGTAGGGAATTGTGTTGGATTGAATGAATAGCTCATGATGAGACCCTATAGATATAAAACTAATTTCAATCAAGATTGGATCAGACTTTAATTATACGTGTTATTGTTTTGATACATTTTCAATTTTTTGATTATTTTCAAGAATGAGCGCGAATTTTTGTAATTAAGGTACCGCGAATTTTGAAAAAGTTTGGCATATAAATCAATGAAATCAATTCAATTAAACTAAGAATTGAGAGGCTAATGAAGGAAAGAAGTGATCTATGTTATTTGAGAGTATGGTTAGAAGTATAGTTCAGTTTGATATTAATGATATTCCATTTTGTTGAGATCTGAAAGGTCAATTCGTTGTTATAATCATTTGCTACAATACCCAATTCATTTCATAAAATCAATACATTAAATATACAATACATAACCCAGGGTATATAAACTTAACATTTATAACACATTTCTTTATTATTCTCATTCTTTCAATTTGCAAAATCATTATTTAGACCACAATTCATGTTCAAACATCACCAGCTTTTTTAGAATTACATGCAACAATTCTAATCTTATCAGCATGAACAGATTGATTTTGATCTAGTTTAACATCAACATCTTTAATAACAAAAGTCCAAACATCATCACAAAATCTATATGTATGTAAATGACCTTTAAATTGTAATTTAGATTTAACATTTTCTTTTAAAGATTCTGAAACAACTCTATCAAACTTTATATGATGTTAATAATCAATTATAACCCATTTCCATTCTTCATTACTTACATTGGATAATACTCTTAAGGCCAATTGTGGATCCATTCTTTGATCACTTGATCAATTGTTAATATAAATTCCACCAAAAGTATACATTAAACATACGAAATTAGAGTATCAAGAGAATCTGCCAAAGCAACACCCAATGTGCTTCTTCTATAAAGCTCATAATAACCTTGATTACTCATTGTTGATCATAAAAACCACCAACAATAAAGCACAAAAAAGTTGAATTTTGGTTTGATTTTTGGTTATATTTATTTGATTTCAAATTGAACTTTTTGTTTTTGTTTAAATGGCAAATTCGGTTCGCGACACAGAATCTCATAATTTTACCCGGATTTGTCAGGTAATAAACAAAAATTAATTTCTGGACATGAACATTTATACTAGGAGCTAATTTACTAGGATTTTACTAGGTTATTAACAATTGCACAATGTCATCCACTATTTTCTACAGATTCAGATCACAGAAAAACACTTCGAGAATACTCTTTGACGGTACAGGTATAACAGTTTTCGATTTGAAAAAAGAGATTATAAATGAAAATAAATTAGGTACAGGTACTGATTTTGATTTAAGAATTTATAATAATGATACAAATGAAGAATATCAAGATGATACTTTAGTAATACCGCGTTCCACTTCAGTAGTGGCAAGAAGATCTCCAGCTTCGAAAAATGGGAAAGGTACTGCTTCAAGATATGTTACTGGTAAACCAAAAATTACAAAAGTTGATAAGAATGCTATTCATAATAATAATACACAACAACAACAACAGCAACAGCAACACACAGAGGATAAAACAATGACTGAAGAAGAAAGAATCAGTTTAATGTTTGCTAATCAAGATGATCAATGGAAACAAACTCAACAAGTTATGTCTACTGCAACTCCGGTTTATAATAAACCTTCAACAACAAGTACAAATAATAATCCAGATGATGTCCCACCACCAGGTTATATGTGTTATAGATGTGGTAGTAAAGATCATTGGATTAAGAATTGTCCAACTAATGACGATCCTAATTGGGAAGGGAAAAGAATTAAAAGAACAACAGGTATTCCTAAGACTTATTTGAAAACTATTGAAAAACCTGAAGATGAATCAACTGGTGTTAAATCTTATATGATGAATGAAGAAGGTAAATATGTTGTTCAAGTTGCTGATGAAAAATCATGGGAAAGTTATAAGAAAAAAGTTAATAAAACTCAAGATTTAATTAATGATATGAAAGATATTGATCAAAGTTTAATTGATCCAATTACTGGAAAAGTTTTCGAAAATCCAGTTATTACACCTTGTTGTTCTAAAAATTATTCTAAAAATTATATTGAAGATAATTTATTAGAATCTGATTTTATTTGTCCAAATTGTGGTAAAGAAGATATTTATTTAGATCATTTAACTAAGAATGAAGAATTATCTAAAAAAGTTGATGAATTTTTAGATAAAGAATTTGAAAAAAGAGGTGTCAAGAGAAGTACAGAAGAAGAATTAAATGCATCAAAAAGACAAACCATTGATTCTTCATTACCTGTAAAACCAAATCAACAACAACCAAATTCATTACCACCAAATCCAATGGGATTACCAATGAATCCATTTGGATTACCATTTGTTCCACCTTTTGGTATGATGCCACCACCACCTCAACAAAGTAATCAATGAAAATGTATATATATAGCTACGAACAATTGAAAATGAGTAATATATGTTTTATGATTTATAAATTTATAATATGTAAAACTATCTATAGTTTATTAATTTTCACCATTTGAAAAACTAATAACAGCATATTTACCACTACTTAACCAACCTAATCTTGATTCATTTGATTTAGCCCATTCATCACTAACTTGATCATAAACACCTTCAGGTAAACCAACTAAAACATCAGCTTTAATAGTTCTTAAAGCTAAAATTTTCAATCCATTTGAAGCTAATGAACCAATTGATTTTGTGAAAGGAGTAGTTGAATCCCATCTTCTATCACCAGTTAGTTTTCTATAATTCATATCACCTTTAAAAATAACTAATGAAGAATCTAATAAATCTTTATGAACTTTTGAACCACCAAATTGAGTTTCTGATGGATCAATATTCCAAAAATCTAAATCTAAAGTCCAAAATGGTGAAGTTCTTAAATTTAAAGTACCATTATTATTATAATATTCAATTTTATTAATTAAATGATCTAATTCTTTTCTTGATTTATTAAATAATTTTGTGTTTTTCAAATCTTGTAACAAGATGTAAAAATCTTTAATATTAACATCTGAAACCATCCATGGAATATCCTTGGTATGGAAAACAATTTCATTTGCAATACCAGTATCTAATAAAAATAATGCAAAAATTAAATCAGTATAAACTTCAAACCCGGCATTATCCAAGACAAAATCAACTCTTTTATGTTCATTAGTATTTGAAGATAATGATTCCCATGCTTGTTTTAAATCATTAGTCAAGATATTAGCTTCTGATTTTTTTCTTGCTTCAGCACCTTGAATTGATTTAATATCATCTAAAGTTGCAGTAGCTAATAAAGATAAATCAGTTGCATTACCCCATAATGAAATTTCAGCAAATTCATTAAATAAGATTTGTTTAGTTTCATCATCTAATTTTTGTGATGTTTCAGTTAATTGATAATAACGAATAGCTAATTCAGTAACACCATCAACAGAACTTTCAAATGAACTTCTTTTCAAATTATCAAAAATATCATAATTGAACCATAATGATTTTTCAACAAAGAATGAATTAATTATACGATATAAATAATTTTCCAAAAATAACCAAGGACCTGTTAACCAAGTATATGATTGACCTTTAAGAACTTTATTAAATGAAGCAAAAGCTTTAATTGAAGAATCATCAAATGGTTTAACAGCACCATCATTTTCAACATCAGATTTTAAACCTTTTAATTGAGAAGCAATTGCTTCACCTTCTTTTTGGAAGTCTGGATTTGATGATTTTTCTGAAGTTTGGATAACATCATCAATAGTATCTTGAATAATCTTGATCCAACGAACTCTAGCTGTGGAAAAGGCGAATGAGTCTGAATCTTTGTTATAGTAAACGTCAGGTAAATTGGACATTGTGAATCTGTGTCTAATTGAGCAATGGAAGCACTAAATAACCACTGAATAACCACAATCCACAAAGGTTCTTTCAAGTCTTTATATATTGGAAATTCAAATCGTGGGTGAGTTCACCTGTTATTTGTTACGCGACGCATCTGGTGCGATTTTCAGGACTAAAGAATTCCATCCGCTTAAAATGCGAGAACTCCATTAGGAAATCACAAGAAGAAAGAAGCTATAACCTGTGGAACTCATATATAAAAGAGATACTACTAGTTATTTTATTTGATTGGATCAAAGGAAGTGACTAATTATGACTGATCAACAACAAAAACCAGTTAAAACCGTTTTCAACGAGGCAATCAAAGCTTTTAATGATTTGGAAAATTCCACTACAAGACATGATTCAGATGAGTTCAAATTGCAACTAAAAGAAGTGACACAAAATTGGTTAGATTTAAAAGGAATTGTTCATAGATTAAGTTTGTTTAGTATTAATGAATCGCTTGAAGATTTAGCCACTAGTGATATCAAATATTTAGGGATTGAATATTATTTAGCTCAATTATACTCACAAAATTCTGAACCTTCTAAAATTAATAATTTAAAGAAATCTATATTATTATATTTACAATTTTTGAAGAATTTAAATAATTATGAATTATTAGAAAAATCAAATGTTGATAAATATGAAAAATTAAAAAATGACCCTTTTGAAATTAAGACACTTCATGATAGTGCAATGATTAGAAGAGATGAAAAAATTGCAAATTTTAAATTAGAAAAAATTTTGAATAACAAATTAGAATATTTAAATAAATTAGAATCAAATGAATTAGAATTTCAAAATACAGATGAAGATGAAATACGATCATTATATTTTGATCAATTAAAATTCTTCACATTGAAAACTTTTGATAATATAAGATTTATAACTCAAGAATTAGAAATATTACAAACAATTCCAGAACGTCCAAAAATTGAACAGCTAGAGGATGATGATCGTGAAGAAACCAAGAAGAATACATCAGGTTATACTGAGAATTTAGAATCTTTAAATCAATCAATCTTATCTGAAAAGGGGAAAATTTTAAAACCTTTTACATTAATGAAGAGACAAGACCTGAATAATAAAGTTTATGGAACAGGTCAATATTTACCAACAATGACTGTAGAGGATTTCCTTGAACAAGAATTAGCAAATGGTGGAATGGTTACTGGTGGTGGTAATGATGGTGATGAAGAAAGTAGTGATGAAGATGATTTAGAAAAAAATGATTTGGAAACTTATAAAGCTAGACAATGGGATGAATTTACTGAATCTCATGCTAAAGGGAGTGGGAATACTATAAATAGAGGTTAAATGAATGGAACATATATTCTTCAATTAATTATAATGACTTTTAAATCTTTTTCATGACAAGTATCTTAATTTTAATTCTTTTGAAAATGAATTTGTTAATTTTAATTGTTCTTCTTTTAATTCTTTATAATTTATAACATTTTGTTCATTTGAATTTATTTGATAAATTAACCATTGTTCATCTTTTGGTAATGTAATTAATAAATTTAAAATTGTTGAATATAATTCTGCAATTGTTAATTTAACAGATTCATCAATTTCAATAAATGATTGAAATTTATAAATAAATTCATAAAGTGATTCTAATGCACCTCTATAACTCTTATATTTTAATCTAAATGCATATAATGTTTGATAAAAAAATAATGATTTTTTCAAATCATTTGGGAACGATTGAGCTTTTGTTAATAAAATTGAATCAATTAATTTATAATCACTTGTAAAATCAAAATAATTTAATACTCGGGTTTCACCATTTTTATATAATCCATAAATAAATGTTTCAAATGCTTCTTTTTTCCTTTGTGGATTTTTTAAATTATCTAAAGCTCTTGCAGAAATTTCAAAATTTGATAAATCATTTGCAATATTGAAAAGTACAAAATATTTTTCTTCTAAATGTTCACTATCAAATTCAGAATTAAAATTATCTGCAATAGATAAATTAATAAATTTTAATGCTGATTGAAATTTTAAATCATGTAAAAATATTATAGCTAAATTAAAATAATATTTTGTTAATGAACTTTTGAATAAAACTGTAAAATCTTCTAATGATTTTAATAATTCTTTTTCAGAATCTTTCAAGATATATTTTGTAATTGTTTGAGAATTTTGTAAGAAAATTTTTTCAGCTTTTAAAGTTTGATTTGTTTTCAAAAATGTAATTGCTTTTAACCATTTAAAAATTGGTGATGAATCAAAAAATTGTAAGAAATGAGTATAAACCAATGATGAATAATTATTTGAAATTAAATATATTGAAATTGAATAAATGAATTCTGAACTGTTTAAAAATGGAATTAATTGACCATTTATAAAATCATTTAAATTAACTTCATTAATTAAGAATCCAGTAGGAAATTTCAAATCAATAATTTTTGAAATTAATCCATTTTCTAAAATTGAACTTTCATCTAATTCTAATTTATTAGTAAATTCATTAAAATTAATGTAAAGACTTTTCTCTAAAATTTGATAAGATTTAAATTTTGGTAAAATTTTTGATAAAATTAATTCTAATTCATCTTTTTTATAAATTTCTAAAACTAATAATAAAATTAATAAATCAAATAAAATTTCTTGATTTATTTTAACAATATCTTTTAATGAATTTAAAACTATTGAAGTACCAAATTTTGTTAATTTCCCCTTTGTTATAAATTGTTGTTCTTGTCCATCTTGTAATGATAATAATTCTTTTATAATTTTGAAAATATCATCAAATGATGATAATTCTTCCACTAAATTTGATAAATTATTTGGATTAAATTTATCATTCAGTGTTTCTAAATAAATTTTTGATAAATTATCAAATATATTTGAATTTGTATCTGTATTATTGATTAATCTAATTAATGAATTTTTAACATTATCCAAGACATCACTTGAAATAGATTTTTTAAAATTTGAAATTATATTTAAAAATTTTAAATGATTTTCAATATCATCAAATTTATCAATTGAAGAAATTTTTAAATGTTTATTTTGACTTAATAATTCAGAATTTGAAGTTTTCCTAATTAATGAAAAATCTAATCTATTAATTAAAAAAATTAAATTTGAATCTAAATCAATATGGAATTTTAAATGTTCATTTGATTGTTTTTGAAATTCTTTACATAAAGTATCAAATCTTGACCATTGTTTTTTAATATTATCATCATAATTTTTATCGATAATTATATTTTGTCCAATTGTCTTTACAACTTTCTCTCTTATTGATAAATCATCAAGTAATGAATCTTCTTCCAATGCTGTTGATGTAGTGGTGAAATGTTGTTGATAAATTTTCAATGCAGTTGAAATTATATCATTTGAATAAATATCAGATTCAAATATTTTACGTAAATAAAACTCTGACCAAGTTTCACTGTCACTTAATTTTGTTAAATCTTGTGTTGAATTTGAAACTTCAAACCATTGAATTTTAAAAGTTAAATTTTGTTGTATTTTTAAATTTTGTATAATTGATGAAGTATTACTTTTCCATAATACCCAAAGATCTAATGAATCAATTGAATTAGATTTAATTAATTTGAAATCAGCAACTAACCAAATAGTTGTCGAATCTGGTAATGTAGCTTCATATTCAAAATTAGTTCCCAAATCTTTAACATCAATTGATTGACCTGATGATGATGATGATGCATCTAATTGGAAAATTTTGAAAAAACCTGAACCAAATGGTAAGAAAATTGATAAATAAGTTTGTTCAACACCATCAATATTAATAGTTAATAAATCTAATAATTTCGTTGGAGAAGGATCTAAAAATGGTTTATTTGTTGTAATTTTTTGATTTGATGAAATTAAATCAATTAAATCTTTTTCCAAGATTAATGATTGTTTTGAAATTGACCATATTCTTAATTTTTTATTTATTGTAATTGTAATTAAATAATCATTAAAATTTAAAGCATCAATTGCAGTTTTAGGTGAAAGATTTGAATCTTTTAATTTAATTTGATTTGATTGAGACCAAGGTTTGAAAAAATTACCTAAATTTTCAAAATATGAATTATCATTAAAAATTATTGTTGTTATTTCTTCAAGTTTTCCAGGATTTTTTTGTAAACCAATAATACCACCATCTTTCAAAAGAACAATTGATTGATCATAACTAAAGGAATGTAAAAAATGAGGGATTCTAATATCAAATGAATAAGGATTTGAAATTTTACACCATTCATGATAATTTGATGAATTTAATTGAGAATGATTGTTGTTATTATTAATGGTGAAATCTGATAATTTTAACAAGATGGTAATAACCATACCAGCATCACTAATCAAGTCTATCACGATGGAATGTTCATCTTGTTGTGTAATGAATTGATTAATTGTTAAACAATTTGATCTTATCCCATCAGGTAAATTAATTTTAATTGATTTTAATTTAATATTGAAATTGTTATTCAATGCTAAAGGTGTCAACACAAGGGAATGTCTTTGATCAACTATTCTATAACTAATTTTACCAGGGATTGTATTTGAATTGATTGTCAATACACCAGTATCATCTTCAGTTAACTTATCTTTAAATGATAATTCTGGATCTTGATCTTCTTGTCTATTCAACCTCTTCTTGGACCACAGACCCCTTGCAACATCCAATTCCAATGTCTCTTCAACAGCCGCCCTGACATTGGTTTCCAAGTATCTTGCCACCATCATCAAAACTCAGCGGTTAACTTCAACAAGTCAAGTTTGAAATCAATGGAATTCCAATTATTTATATTAAAATTCATTTGTTTACAATTTAAAATTAACCGCTGAGAAAATCAAGTGTACTACATCCAAACACCACTTATAATTTTATGCCCTACAAAAAATACATTCGCGAATTCCAATAAATTTACCCGTCTTTCTAAGTTTTTTTAAAATTGTCGTTCATTTTTTATGGTATAAGAGGAAAAATTTTTATACCTTTCCAATTTCTTAGTTTCTTAATAACTTTTTTATCCTTTTATTAGTGAACCTTAGTGAACCTCATAACTAATTGGTATGTCAATATTAAACTCATAACAATTATAAAATGGTCTTTGATCAATATCATCAACTTAAACTCACACACACACATTGATTTCAAATTTGAAGATGATGAGATATCCTTTAAAATTTTCAAACTAGAGTATATGACATTTGAATGATCTAAATCGAGGCTTCATTCCTGATATTCATTTTGAAATTAGTTCAACTGTGTTTTGTTAATGTGATCAATTGATGATCTTGTTGTTATTGAGTTTTGGGTTTTGAGAACCAATTGACTAACATTATGAAAAGATGAATATAGAAATATTCAACCAATTTTAGTAATGAGGTTTACATTTTGAATTTTAATCATGAATATTTAATTGAATAATTTTTTTCCTAGATGATGATTTTACAAAAACAAAGCTGGAATTACTGGCTGATTCTCTGTGATGTATAAGTTTTTGCTATAACTGATAATTGAAATTAATTATTCAAATTATTTATTGATTATATTCATATTTTATTTTCTTTGAAATGGGTTGAAAGCAGGAACTTTCCCCTTTTTAACAAACAACAACCCCCTAAATTGGTGAAAAATATTTTTCATTTTGTTTTGATTGAGATGAAGATCCACAGCACTGGGCACTGAATAATTTATGAGTGACATGCTTTTTTATGTGAGCCTAGAAAACTCACGCTACTGATCAATCATAATATATTTGAAAATTATTTTTGTTTATTTACATTTATCAATATGTGATGAATTAAATCATTATTACACAAGATTGTAAGTTTATTCTTCCATTAAAGGTTTTTCTTTTATTTTTCAAGTGATGAGATTCTTAGATGACGAGTCAGAATCGGGATTCCCGTTGACGAAAAAACTTTTTTTAATACCATTCATGCCTAGCTGATTATTGAAAATATAACAAAACCTTTTACAAAAAAAACCAAACTAAGAAAACTAACATTTTTTCAAAATAGATATTCAATCAACTTTAAACCAAAAGTTTTGAAAAAAAAGGATTTTTTTAAATTTATTTTTTTATTGACAGAGGATGATATTGAAATAAAAAGACAAGCATATGTCTGATTTTCCAAGAAGATAAATTATTTCCAGTCTGATGTCAATAGAAATAAATGAATATAATCTTTATTTGTTTTTGCATTTAAAAAGGTATGTTTTCAGTTATTTGTTCAAGTCAATTTAGTTAATGATGATTTTCCACATTTCACGACGGTCAACTGTGTTTACCCCCGTTAAGGGTAAACTTTGATGATATTTAGCCTGTGACAGGGCGTGGCGCTGATAACTAATCAATTGATTGGATTTATACTTAATATAGTATAACTTACTAACAAATATGTCTTTAGGTATGTACTTTTAATATATACAAATTTGCTTTCATATGATGATGATATAACCAATAGTAAAGGATCTTTTGGATGATTGTATTTACTCTTTAGATTTGCATGTCAGGCTGATTTAAGGCAAATTTATATTTAAATGTGATTAGACTGTTTGAACTAACAATTTATAGACTTTAATACAAATTTTTCATTCACCATATAAAATTATAATGTAGATTAATTGATGTCATTAAAGGCTCTCCGTCTACGGCCTGTGTCTAACTCCTGCCTACGCTCCTGCCTATTCTCCTTATCTATAAACCACTCCCTGCCTACGTCTCTCCATGTCCCCTGCCTAACGTCATCATATCTCTGCTTAATTTCTCTTCCTGAAGGCTGGCAACAGGCTGGCCACAGGCTGAAATCTGCGCCTATGACTAATTTTTTTTTTAATTACCGGGCAAATTTTTTTTTTATCTTTGACTAATAATTTTTTTTTATAAATGCGTTGAAAAATCTCGAAATTGAAAAATTCTAATCAGTTCTTTATCAATTATACTCATAGATCTATAATCAATTCACATAGCTTATTGGATATTACCCAATTGAATCAATCCTTGAACTTGAGATCATAAATTAACCTTTATATTCCCAAGGACAATCGGTTAGTGTGTGTGTTTGAACTTTCTCATATATATTGTTTATGAGATTTATTACAATCTTTACCTGTCAAGACTACATTTCAGATCATATTTGGAAAACAAATCAACAATAAATTTTATTCTTTAAATAAATAATACAATTACAAAAATGATTATGAATACTTCAATTTTATTCAAATCTATTAAATCAACAACTTTTTCAACTTTCCAAAAATCTGTTTTTGTTAGATCTTTAGCAACTCAATCAAATGATTTAACTTCATCAAAAAAATTAGATCGTGCAACTTTTACAATTCGTAATGGTCCAGTCTTTAGTGGTTATTCTTTTGGTGCTAACAAAAACATTAGTGGTGAAGCTGTTTTCACAACTTCTTTAGTTGGGTATCCAGAATCAATGACTGATCCTTCTTATAAAGGTCAAATTTTAGTCTTTACTCAACCTTTAATTGGTAATTATGGTGTTCCATCTGGTGAAGCTCGTGATGAATATAATTTATTAAAATATTTCGAATCTCCTCATGCTTCATGTATTGGTATTGTTGTTGCTGATGTTGCTTTAAAATATTCTCATTGGACTGCTGTTCAAAGTTTAAGTGAATTTTGTCAAAAAGAAGGTATTGCTGCTATAACTGGTGTTGATACAAGAGCTATTGTTACTTATTTAAGAGAACAAGGTTCTTCATTAGCTCGTATTAGTGTTGGTGAAGAATATGATGCTGATCAAGATGAAGCTTTTATTGATCCTGGTTCTGTTAATTTAGTTCATAAAGTTACTACAAAAGCTCCATTCCATATCCCTTCATCAGGTCCTTATCATGTTGCAGTTATTGATTGTGGTGTTAAAGAAAATATCTTGAGATCTTTAGTTTCAAGAGGTGCTTCAGTTACTGTTTTCCCTTATGATTATCCAATTCATACTATTGCTACATCATTTGATGGTATTTTCATTTCAAATGGTCCAGGTGATCCAACTCATTGTTCTGCAACTGTCCATTCTTTACAAAAAACTATGGAAACTTATCATGGTCCAATTTTTGGTATTTGTTTAGGTCATCAATTATTAGCTTTAGCTGCAGGTGCTAAAACTATCAAGATGAAATATGGTAATAGAGCTCATAATATTCCAGCATTAGATTTAACTACTGGTAAATGTCATATCACTTCACAAAATCATGGTTATGCAGTTGATCCAACTACATTACCAAGTGAATTTAAACCTTATTTTACAAATTTAAATGATCAATCAAATGAAGGTATGATTCATGTTTCAAAACCAATTTTTTCAACTCAATTCCATCCAGAAGCTAAAGGTGGTCCATTAGATTCTGCTTATTTATTTGATAAATATTTTGATGATATTAAAGAATATAAATCAAAACAAAATGAATTGGTTGGTGTTGTTAGTAATAAACCAACTGATTTAATGGTTAATATCTTACCAAAAGAAAGAGTTGTTTAAAAGAATTTTGATAAAGATTTTATAGATTGTAATATAATATATATACATTTGGATATTGATTTGAAGGGTAGTGTATAACTATGTTAAGTTTTTGATCAAATTTTCATAGCTCATATCTATTATACGGATCGGGTCTTCTTGAATTTCATGGGCTATTTACACATTCTATAACAGTCAAAACTCCAATTAATAAACCCATAATATAATCAGCCATCTAGAAGTCATCATCGAACCAATTAATTAATAATTTCAATAAAAAACTGATGATATTTATTCTTTAAATTACAAATACATTCATCGGGTATCGGTCGAGACTTCCCAATTATGGTGCCATTAGCGGATATAAGTAATCAACATATTGAAGAGTCAAGACTTAGGAATTAGCGGAATAGTAGCTTGTAAACGAAACAATAGATCAATTAAGAAGCTTCGAGACCTTGGAATTGTCCAGGTATAAATACACCAAAGAATCTCTTGAATTACGATTCAATTGACAATGGTTTGATACTAGACTACATTTCTATAGTATATATATAAGAGTCAGAATATTACAATATGACAAAGTTTTTCGTTACAGGTGGATCAGGTTTCATTGGATCAGAAGTTGTTGATGAATTATTATCACATGGTCATGAAGTCCTTGCACTTGCAAGATCTGATAAATCAGCTGAACAATTAAAAAAGAAAGGTGCTCAAGTGTTAAGAGGTACTATTGAAGATTTAGATATTTTGAAAACAGGTGCAAAAGAAACAGATGGTACTATTCATTTAGCTTAATATATTCATGATTTTGCTAATTTTGGTAAATCTGGTGGTATTGATTTTGAAGCTACAAAAGCCATTGCTAATGTTTTAGAAGGAACTGGTAAATTATTTATTTGGACTTCAGGTCTTGGTGGTCTTCCAACTCCAATTGGTATTCAATCAACTGAAGATGATAAACCAGATGTTGATTCAGCTCCAAAAGATGTTAAACAAAGATTGGAAACTGAACATTATGTTCTTGATGCTTCTAAAAGAAACATTAAAACTATCGTAATAAGATTATCACCAATTGTTCATGGTGAAAATGATCATGCATTCATTCCATTTTTAACTAAAGGCGCCAAAGATAATGGAGCTGCTTTATATAATGATGAAGGTAAATCAACATGGCCAGCTATTCATAAGAAAGATGCAGGTGTATTATATAGACTAGCTGCTGAAAAAGGTCAAGCTGGTAAGGCATATCATGGAGCAGCTGAATCAGGAATAGACAGTAAGTTAATTGCTGAAGCTATTGGTAAGAAAGTTAACGTTGGAGCTAAATCTACAAACATTGGTGACTTAGGTGCTAAACTTGGATTTATTGGGATCTTTTTCGGTACAAACATTAACTCTTCATCTGAAAAGACTAGAAAAGAATTAGGATGGGAACCAAAACAATTGGGATTGCTTGAAGATATCGAAAAAAACTATCAATGATCCAATTACACGCCATATATGATAAATACTTAATATAACATGACTCTTAATTAACAAACTTGTAAAAATACTTCACAACCACAATAACCAGAATAACACCCTTCTAAAACCACCCTTGTTTCCCATTAATTAGCCAAAACTTTTGGTATAAATTTTGGTATACCACGTTTGAGTCGCGAAAGAAGAATTACAAACGCGAAAATCGTGAAGGCGACTCCAAAAAAACGTATCAGATGCTCATCTCTTTGTCATAAACTTGTCTCTTTCGTATAGAGCGTGTCACTTTCCCATTACTTCAGTCCATTAAAGGTTATAGTTCTTCTAATATTTACTCTCTACTTCTCATTACATTTAGAAATCAGTCACTGCAAATGTCTCAAGTAGCATGAGTAACGGGAATACCAAGTCAGAGCCACTGTCCGTTAAGTTGAAGAAGTTGTCAAAGCAAGAGTTGAATAAACGGGATGTTTTTGGGCGGTCTATTATCCATATCATTTGTATCTTGGGGAGGTTTGATTTGTTAAAACATTTATTGCTGAACCCAAATGTCAATATCTTCATTACTGATTATGAATCTGGTTGGACTGGGTTACATCATTCAATATTCTATGGTAAGATCTCATGTGCCAAATTGTTATTGGGTCATAATTCAGAATTAGTCAGAGTTAAAGATCGTAATGGATTAACTGCTATGGATATTTATCACTTGAAATATTCATACACAAATTTAAACATATTCCCGAGTTCTATTGGTGTTGATGATACAAATTATACTCAAAGAAAAGCTAATGATAATAGTTTTAATAATAATGTCCCAGATAAAATTTGGTGGGATAAAGATATACGTGGTGGCTCTGAAGTGTTCACGTTTGGTATAAACGTTAATAATCATTTAGGTACTGGTGATTCAGATGATAAATTGAAAACTCCTTATCGAGTTGATATTGAAAACAAGAGATTAGATAACTATAATTTATCAATTGCAGAAAGATTAGTTAAACCAAGAATTAAAGATATAAAAATTTCCAAAAATCATTCAATTATATTGACAAATGAAACTAAGGGGAATCTTTTAATAGCAGGTAATCCATCAAGAGGTCGTTTAGGTCATGGCAAATCAACTCCAAACTATAAATTTACAGAATTAGAATATTTTGCAGATGATCATATAACCAATGTTGCTATTAGTGATGATCATACTTTGGTTTTAACATCAAATGGTGAAGTTTATTCATGGGGGCTAAATAATTATTTAGAATTAGGTTATCCAACAGATCGTATAAAAGAAAAAACTGATACTTTTTCCAATGAACCGAAAAGAATTATTCAAACATTGAAAAAATTAGATGTTCAAGGTATATCTTGTTCAAAAATCCATTCAGCTGCTTTTAGTGATTATACATTAGTACTATGGGGGTTAAACATTGGTCAAATGGATTTTATAACTACTGGTGAAACTGTTAAATTTGGTAAACAAAAAGGTATAGTTCAAACACCAAGAAAAATGGAATTTCAAAATAAAATTAAACAAGTTATAACAACAGATAATAGTACCATTGTATTATTAGATAATTTTGAATGTCATATAATGCATAATGGGAATCATTTAAGAATTCAATTACCTTTATTCAAAGCTTTAAACAATGAATTTGAATATTTTAGACCAACAAAATTTTCCAAAAGGAAATCAATCATTAAACTTGTTTCAAAAGATTGTTCTAAGATTGGTATATTATATGATGATGGATCTGTTTCTAATTTTGGAGTTGATATGTTTTCTAAATCTTCAAATATCAAATATAATACAGTATGGAGTCCAAGAAATAATCATTTAAAATGTCATGATGTTGATATTGGTAAAGATGGTTCAATTATCATTTGTACAAAAGCTGGTTCAGCTTATAAGAGAATCTCTAGGGTTGGTGAAAAATCAGATTATAAATTCACCAAGATTGATAGAATTTCTAAAGTTGTTAAAGTTTGCTGTGATTCTTTATTCACTTCATTTGGATTTATTAAAGATGATGTTGATCAATTACCATTAAATTTATCCAAGAATCAATTCTTGGTTGATATTAATTATTTATCACCTTTAACGCCATCTATTTCAAATAGAAGAAAGAGTAAACTGGTTGAACCTAATTGTATTGAGAACCGTTATTCAGTTGATTTTTTAAATAAACCATCAATGGAAACTACAGAAGAATCTGATACAATTAAATTATTTCAAAATAAATTTACATTAGATGATGAAAAAGATGTTGAAACTGATCCATTATATAATTCATACATTAATAGATGGAATTCATCACAAAAATTAAGAGATACATTTGAAAAAATCAATTCCAGTGAAATTATAAATGTTTTAAACCGTAAAGATTTAAAATATTATTTAAATACTAATGATTTTACATCGGGTAAAGATTATGATTTAATGTTTGATATCGATGATTGTCATATTGGTGTTCATAGTTCAATCCTGAAATTCATTCCAATTTTTGAAAATATACATGAATCAGATATTGTTCTTGATGATGATGTTATATTCCATAAAGTTGAAGATGGTTGTATATCTGTGGAAAATCTTCATGTTCAGTCATTATTACTGGTTCTGAATTTATTATATACAGGGTCTTATTTGAAAATTTGGGATTCATTTTCTGGTTTTAATAGACCACCAATAATGCGTGAAATTAAAGATCAAACTATGAAATTATTGAAACCTTTCAAATTAGTTGATGATTTACAAAGACCAATTTATGATATATTTGAAAATTTCTCAGATTGGGAAAATTTTGATAATGATGTTTTAGTTAAATTAAAAGATGATGAAGAATTGAGATGTTGTTCATACATTCTTTCTGCAAGAAGTGCATTTTTTGAAACTTTATTTTCTGAAAGATGGGATTTAGATACACAAATTGTTGATTTTAATCATGTTTCTAAAAATGTTTTTGAAATTGTTTTGAAGTATATTTATGGATATGAACAATTATCGTTATTTGATGATTTTGATGAAATTCAATCAGTTGCAGATTTTATAAATTTACAATTTGATATAATTGAAATATCAGATGAACTTTTATTATTTGGATTAAAAGATATTTCACAATTAATGATTAAAGATTTTATAACTCATGAAAATGTTTTCTTATTATTACAACATTCAGAAATAATGAATTGTAATATGTTAATTGGTGAATGTCTTTGGTTTATTTATAATAATGTTGATTTAGTATTATTTGATTCTCAATACAATGATGAATTATTATCACAAAACATTATCAAGAGAATTGATAGATATTTTAGATGGATGAATAGAGTTAATAAGATTAGTGCTGCTGATGAAACTTTATTTTGGTATGATTCAGATACAGGTGATACCGTTAGAACATTTTTGTATCATTTAAAAGATTTCAATTCACAATTTTTATTAGAAGATTCATTTGAACCATTATTTGATATTAAAGAAGCAAGAAAAGAAAATAAATCACCTAAATTAGAACCTATAAAAACCAAAACCAAATTACCTTCACCACCACCAGTTGTAAGTGTTAATATGGATAGGAAAAAATCAGTATCAATTGATCCAATTGTTTCATGGTCAAAATTTGATCATAATGTTACAGATTCATCGGCTATTGAATTTACAGATGAAGAGTTCCAACCAGTTGTTAATCGTCGTCGAAGATCATCTGGTAAAAGAGCATCAAGTTCTACAACTACAATTGCACCCTCACCATTATCAAATTCATCTATAACTCCATCAAAATCAATACCAATACCCACAGGACAACAAGGACAATCTAAACCAATGTATTCTACAAGAAATAATAGTGTTCATTCATTAACTGAACAACATTGGCCTGGTATGAATGAAAATAGTCCAAATTATGGATCACCAAATGGATTAAGTCCATTTTCTAATTGGGGGAATAGTTCTGGTAATTTAACACCAATGAATCTAAGCTCATCACCATCAACAAGGAAAAAATCAGATCCATTAGTCCCATCATCATCGGCATCAATAACAACATCACTATCGCCTTCAAATAATTCCATGGTTGGATCTTCAAATAAGTTAAGTTTTAATGGTAGTGGTAATAAAATGTCACAAAAGGAAAGAAAACGTTTAATGAAGACAAATGATAATGATGTTACACCTTCTAAAACCAAGTCAAATTCACCATGGAATGTATCTAATCCCAAACCAAAACCTAAACCAAAAGCTAAATCTATTCCAAATGATAAGACAACAATTCCTTCATCATTTTTAGCAGCTCAAGAAGATGCTTTAGCAGAGGAAACCATATCAATGCCATCATTGGCAGGTATTATTCATGAAGAAGAACATAAGGCAATGGGTCTTTTGAATGAACGTAAAAGTCTTGTTGAAATTCAACAAGAAGAAGAATTTGCCCTTTGGTGGGAATCTGAGTCTAAAAGGGTTCAACAAGAACAAGAAAATTTATTGAAAAGTTTTAATTCAAATAATGGGAATGGTAATAATAATAAAAAACCTAATGGGAATTCAAAGAAGAAACAATATAATAATTCTAGAAATCGTAAAAGATCGGTTAATTAGATTAATTACAAAGACTGTATATATAGATAAAGACATAATATGGATATTATTAATACAATTAATACAAGTAATAATATAATATAAATAATTTCAATCGTACTCATCAAATTCTGTTTCTGGGAACCAACCAAAAGTTACCAAATCAATCTTAGAATCGTTAATAACTTGTACACCTTCTGCTCTCAATAATTCAACTTGTCGTATCATTGATCCATGATCTCTATTTGATATAGTACCAGAACTTGATATAACTCTCCACCAGGGAACATTATTTAAATTATAAGGATAATCTAATCTTGTTTCACCTTGGGGTAAAAATTTTAAAGCTTGACCAACTTGTCTTGAATTCCTAGGTTTATAAATCAATTTAGCTATATGACCATAACTTGTAACATGACCATAGGGAATCATTTGAACATTTTCATATACAGCATAGTGGAAAGCTCTAGCTAGATCTTCTCTAGACATTCGAAAACAAAGCAAAAAAGTCGCCTAGTTCAATTCTCACAATCTGTGGGATTAAAATGAGTATATACACCACTGATGTTTTGTGGAATAATAGTAGAAACTCACCTGAGACTGCATTTCTCCCAAGTAAAACCACAAATTGATGTACTTTTTCAATTTATGTAATGCGTATTTGAAAAATAAGTGAATCTGATTACGTAATTGAGCTACTGATCTTTGTTGTTATGGAAACGCAAGAAATAATTCAATTACCCTGTGCGACGCGTGGAAAGTTGAAAGAGTATAAGAAGAAGAAGGGAGATCAGTATTGTACAATGATTAGATGGTATTTGTATAGTAAAGTGATGGCGTAGAGATAAATGGAGACATCCATACAACCAACAAACAAACACAACCCCCCAATAACTATGAACAAGTCTATACACCATGGCTCTTCTCTTCTCTGGTTCGCACACGCGCTCTTAACGTATAAACATTTCAATTTTCGGAATCACATCTTTTTTTTTTTGGAACTTGTTCAAAAACTTGTACATTATCTAAAGATTTCATCAACGAAAAGGGGGGCAAAACCTAGATCAAACTCATTTTAATTTCATTTCAAATCAGGATTCAACTGTATTTATTAATATTATTGATATAGATCTTGGAGTTTAGATTTGGTTTAAATTTTGTCACAATTTGAGATTTAGATATTTATAATAATGGTGAGTGGTAATATTGATTTTGGAATAATTGAGAAATTATCTGATATTTATATCAATTTTCTAATTCCAATTCAAATAATCAAAGAAATAGTACTAACATTAGCGTTCATTATAGAGTGGATCAGAATCTATTGAAGATAGAAAACGTCGTTATATATTAGAATCTGATGCTAAAACAGAAAAATTAAAAGATAAAGGTGATACTGCCAAAAGATTCACATATCTATTAGGTTTAACTGATTTATTTCGTCATTTCTTAGATTTAAGATCATCAAGAGATCCTGCCATTAAAAAACTATTGAAAAATTTAGATAATGAAAAAAAAGGTATCAATTCAACATCCAAGAGATCAAATAAATCAAATAATTCACGTCGTAGAAAATCTGAAAAAGAAGAAGATGCTGAATTAATGGAAGACGAGGAACATGAAGATGAAACAACAGTATTAACAGAATCTCCAAAATATGTTCATGGAAAATTAAGAGAATATCAAATTCAAGGTTTAAATTGGTTAATTCAATTATATGAAAATAGTCTTTCTGGGATCTTAGCTGATGAAATGGGGTTAGGTAAAACTTTACAAACAATTTCATTTTTAGGTTATTTGAGATATAATAAGAATATTGATGGTCCTTTTTTAATCATTGTTCCTAAATCCACTTTAGATAATTGGAGAAGAGAATTTGAAAGATGGACACCTGATGTTAATGTTTGTGTGTTACAAGGTAATAAAGAAGAAAGAAATGATTTAATTAAAAACACTATATTAGAAACAAAATTTGATGTCCTTGTTACATCTTTTGAAATGGTTATTAGAGAAAAATCTGCATTGAAAAAATTAGCATGGCAATATATTGTTGTTGATGAAGCTCATCGTATCAAGAATGAAGAAAGTGCATTATCACAAATTATCAGATTATTTTATTCCAAAAATAGATTATTAATAACTGGTACTCCTTTACAAAATAATTTACATGAATTATGGGCTTTATTAAATTTTATTTTACCTGATGTTTTTGGAGATTCTGAAGTTTTCGATCAATGGTTTGAAAATCAAGAAGATGATCAAGATTTAGTTATTCAACAATTACATAAAGTTTTGAACCCATTTTTATTAAGAAGAGTTAAATCTGATGTGGAAAAATCCTTATTACCTAAAAAGGAAGTTAATTTATACGTTGGTATGTCAGAAATGCAAGTTAAATGGTATCAAAAATTATTAGAAAAAGATATTGATGCTGTTAATGGTGTTGTGGGGAAAAGAGAAGGTAAAACAAGATTATTAAACATTGTAATGCAATTAAGAAAATGTTGTAATCATCCTTATTTATTTGAAGGTGCAGAACCTGGTCCTCCTTTTACAACTGATGAACATTTAGTTTTCAATTCTGGTAAAATGGTTATATTGGATAAATTATTGAAAAAAATGAAAGAACAAGGTTCAAGAGTTTTAATTTTCAGTCAAATGAGTCGTGTCTTGGATATTTTGGAAGATTATTGTTTCTTTAGAGATTATGAATATTGTCGTATTGATGGTTCAACGTCTCATGAAGATCGTATTGCTGCAATTGATGATTATAATAAACCAGATTCTGATAAATTTATCTTTTTATTAACAACAAGAGCGGGTGGCCTTGGTATTAATTTAACTTCGGCTGATATTGTTGTCTTGTATGATTCTGATTGGAATCCACAAGCTGATTTACAAGCCATGGATAGAGCTCATAGAATTGGTCAAAAGAAACAAGTTATGGTTTTCAGATTTGTTACTGAAGATGCAATCGAGGAAAAAGTTATCGAAAGAGCTACACAAAAATTAAGATTAGATCAATTAGTTATTCAACAAGGTAGAGCTGTTAATAAAAATTCTGCAATTGGGAATAATAAAGAAGATTTATTAAGTATGATTCAATTTGGTGCTAAAAATGTTTTTGAAAATAAATCTTCATCATTAGAAATTGATATTGATGAAATTTTGAAAAAAGGTGAAGAAAAAACTAAATCTTTAAATGAAAAATATTCTGCTTTAGGTTTAGATGAATTACAAAAATTTACATCAGATCAATCAGCTTATGAATGGAATGGTGAAAATTTTGCTAAAAAATCAAATGATGGTGGATTAACTTGGATTAATCCTGCAAAGAGAGAAAGAAAGGAACAAACTTATTCAATTGATAATTATTATAAAGATGTGTTACAACCAAAAGCAACTCCTCAACCAAAAGCTCCAAAAGCTCCAAAGCAAATTCATATGCAAGATCATCAATTTTTCAATTCTGATTTAAAACCAATATTAGAAAAAGAACAATTATATTATAAAAAACAAATCAATTATAAAGTTACTTTAAGTGATGTTGAAGATGATTATGAAGAAACAACTAATGATGAAAATGGCTCTACTGAAAAAGATCAAGAATATGAAGATGAAGATGAAGCTCAAGCTAAAAAATTGAATAAAAAGGAACGTAGAAAATTTGAACAAAAAAGAATTGATCAATCAGAAGCATTAACATCAGAAGAAGAAGAATTAAAACAAAAATATCTTGATGAAGCATTTAGTGATTGGTCAAGAAGAGATTTTACAAATTTTATTCAATTTAGTGCAAAATTTGGTCGTGATAATTATAAATTGATTGCTCAATCTATGAATAATAAATCTTCAAATGATGTTGAACGTTATGCAAAGACATTTTGGGAAAGAAATTCAGAAATTGAAGGTCATGATAAATATATTACACAAATTGAAACTGGTGAAAAGAAAGTTCAAAAATTAATTAATCAAGCAAAATTATTAAAATTAAAATTATCACAAACTGAAACTCCATTGAAAAATCTTGTTATTCATTATCCACCAAATAATTCTAAAAGAGTTTATAGTGATGTTGAAGATAGATTTTTATTAGTAACAGTTAATAAAATAGGTTTAATGACTGAATTTTTATTTGAAAGAGTTAAAAATGAAATAAGGAACAGTGAATATTTTAAATTTGACTGGTTTTTCCAATCTCGTACATCACAAGAATTAGCAAGAAGAACAAATACTTTATTATTAGCCATCACAAGAGAATTTGAAGGTCCTGAAGCATTGAAAAGAAAAAGAAATAGATTAACAGGTAATGATAATACTGGTGGTAGTACACCAAATGTTAGTCGTCAAGGAACAGTGGAACCATCAAGTGCTGTAAATGCAAATTCAAATGCTGTTACCACTAATGGTGTGAATGATAAAGAAAACGTTAAACCAACTAATCAAGCTGGAATCGTAGAGGATCCAGCATCCAAAAAACAAAAAATTGAAGCTGTTTAAGAAGGTAGCTTCCCATTGTACAATACATATACGCATTATAATCTCAGGAACATTTCCATTGTATATTTGTACTTTTAAATCTGTATTTGAATTTCTCGCAGTATGATTGGATCTATACCATTGCGTCCCGTAACGATATTTGGACCGGAACTCATTTTAAAATCAGCCGGAATTTGAATTGCCCCATAAAAAGTGGATTACATTCATAAGGGATAAAAACAACAATCAACAAATTTAAACAAACTTTTGGGTTGGTTATCAAGTTTTCAAGACTTTGGTATATTCTAAATTTTAAGCAGGTTCATTAAGCTGGGAATATGCTATCGGTACTCAGAAGCGGTGTGAGAAGAGGGCCTATACTATCTCGTGGCTTCTCACAATCAGTTCTTCGTAGGGCAGATGTGGAGGTGACTGTTGACAATGTTAAAGTGAAAATTGAAAATGGTTCTTCAATTATACAGGCTTGTGATAAAGCTGGTGTTACTGTTCCTCGTTATTGTTATCATGATAAATTAGCCATTGCTGGTAATTGTCGTATGTGTTTGGTTGAAGTGGAAAAAGCACCAAAATTGATTGCATCTTGTGCTTTCCCCGTTAGAGAAGGTATGGTTGTTAATACAGATACGGTAAAAGTTAAGAATGCTAGGGAAGGTATTACTGAATTTTTACTTCAAAATCATCCTTTAGACTGTCCAATTTGTGATCAAGGTGGTGAATGTGATTTACAAGATCAATCAATGAGATATGGTGCTGATCGTGGTAGATTTAAAGAAGTTTCTGGTAAAAGAGCTGTGGAAAATAAAGCTATTGGACCTTTAATCAAAACATCCATGAATCGTTGTATTCACTGTACTCGTTGTGTTAGATTCTTAAATGATGTTGCAGGTGCACCTGAATTAGGTACTACAGGTCGTGGTAATGATATGCAAATTGGTACTTATGTTGAAAGAAATGTTAATTCTGAATTATCTGGTAATATTGTTGATCTTTGTCCAGTTGGTGCCTTAACTTCTAAACCTTATGCATTTAGAGCTAGACCATGGGAATTGAAAAGAACTGAAAGTATTGATGTTTTGGATGCTGTTGGTTCAAACATTAGAGTTGATTGTAGAGGTATTGAAGTGATGAGAGTTTTACCAAGATTAAATGATTTTGTTAATGAAGAATGGATTTCTGATAAGACAAGATATGCAGTTGATGGTTTAAGAACTCAAAGATTAACTACACCATTGATTAGAACAGGTAATAAATTCGAACCTGCAACTTGGGAAGAAGCATTATCAACAATTTCGAATGCATATAATAGATTACAACCAAAAGGAAGTGAAATTAAAGCTGTTGCTGGTGCTTTATCAGATGTTGAATCCATGGTTGTATTGAAAGATATTATAAATAAATTAGGATCTGAAAATTTAACAACTGATGATATTGATAGAATTCAAGAACCATCACCATATGGAGCTGACATTAAATCAAATTTCCTTTTCAACACCTCAATAGTTGGTATTGAGGAAGCTGATCAAATCTTACTAGTGGGAACTAATCCACGTCATGAAGCAAGTGTTTTAAATGCTAGAATTAGAGGTACATGGTTAGATAACGAATTGGAAGTACATCATGTTGGACAAGAATTTGAATCAACTTTTGAATTAAACCATTTAGGTGAAGACTCAAATGCCTTAAAAGCTGCCTTAGATGGTGAAGTTGGTAAAAAATTAGCAAATGCTAAAAATCCATTAATCATTGTTGGTTCTGGTGTTGTTAATTCACCAGATGCTAAAGGTATTTATTCAATGGTTGGTAAATTTATTCAAAGAAATAAGAATTTCTTAACACCAGAATGGAATGGATTTAACTTATTACAACGTGAAGCATCTCGTGCAGGTGCATTAGAAGTTGGATTCCATAATAATTCAAAAGAAGCTGCTGGTACAAAACCAAAATTCATTTATCTATTAGGTGCAGATGAAGTTAAAAATAGAGATATTCCACGTGATGCATTTGTTGTGTATCAAGGTCATCATGGTGATTTAGGTGCATCATTTGCGGATGTTATCTTACCAGGCTCTGCATATACCGAAAAGAATGGAACTTATGTTAATACAGAAGGCAGAGTTCAAGCAACAAGAGCTGCAACTTCACCACCAGGTTCAGCAAGAGAAGATTGGATGATTTTAAGAGCATTAGGTGAATTTTTAAACGTCGATTTGAATTATGATGATGTTTATTCACTAAGATCAAGAATTGGTGAAATTTCACCATCACTATTATATCAAGATGTTATTGAACCTGTTAGTTCTTCAATTGCACAATTAGGTATCAATGCATTAGCTTCACTAGATGGTAAAATAACTGGTGCTCCTTTAACTAATCCAATTGAAAACTTTTGGATGACTGATGTTATTTCAAGAAGTTCAGTCACTATGGCTAAATGTATTCAAAGCTTTGGTGAAAAGGGTGATAAAGTCTTTGATGAACGTCCAGAATATGCTATGGCTTGAGCTTAAAGTCTTATCACATCGTTTTTGCGTAGAACATACAACTTATTTATTATTTATTTATTTATTCATATATTATTTATTAAACTATTTATTAAACTATTTATTCTTATTTATTGAATACATGATTACAGAAAATACATCATTAATGTCACTACTGATTTATCGGTTTAATTAATAATTATATATTAGCTAGGATATATGTTCTAAATAGCAAATTATATATATAAAGCAACTTCGTTAAACACCATTATAATCATCAAAGACCAAATCTTGAACGATGTGCAATAATTTGCTCCTCGACAGGCGTTGTGATCTTTGGAGGCACCGGTTTACCCTTTTCTTTAACTTCAACTCTAAGATCTTTATATTTTTCCACTTTAGCCTTATTATTATTCAAAGCATCATAAGCAGCCATTTGACCACCAAGTTTAATACTTCTTGATTCAGAAACACCTAATAACTCACCATTAACAAGACATGCAACTGTGAATAAAGGATTATGATCTCCATTTTCCTTTTTAACGACCTCATATTGTGGAACAAAGATTGGATTCAATAAAACGTATAATTCTTGTTTTGAAGATTTGGAGTTTTCATCATTAGCTGTATGATAATTTGGTTTTGGTTCTGATTGTGATGGATATGATCCTTCTGGTTGATCTAAAGGCTTGTAACTTGATGTGTTCTCCGCTTTGGCAATTATAGGTTCACATAAAAGACTTAACCAAGGTAAAATAGCATTTATATCACCTCTTGAATCTTGATACAGACCTCCAACATAAGCTTCAAAAACATTTGCATAAAGTTTCTTGTGATTTTGTTCTAATTGCTGTGAGTTGAAATTGGAAACAAGTTGTTTATCAAATCCATATAATGTTGACCAATTAGTCAAATTTTTATTACAGACAATATCTGATCTCAGCAAAGTCAGATCACCTTCATTATATTGCGGGAACTTAGCAAATATTAGAACACTGATGATATGATTTAAAACTGAATCACCTAAGAATTCCAATCTTTCATTACTTTCGTAGACATCAAAAGAAGGATCATTAGCAGCTGAACTATGTGTAAAGATAACTTTCAAGATATTATCATCATTAATTGGTGGTAAAGATGGAGGAAAATTGACAGGTGTGGTATTATTTAAAGGTGGTAATTGTGTTCCAAAGATGCTTTTTCTAATTTCATCAACTCTGAATTTTTTTATTGGTCTTGGAGCTGGTGATGATTCTTTCGATTCTGGAGCAGGACGAGCTTTAGTCTTTATTAGTTGGAAACTACCAGCATCTTGTTCTGTTTTAATTTTAGCAGCAGCTTCAATTGAGGGATGACCAGCAACATCTTTGATTTCTTCTGGAATGTCTTCAGAGTTTAATAAAAAATATAAGTCACTATTGTTGATACCGAATCTTGATATATTTTCAAGTGTATCTTGTAAATTGTTATAATCTCTTTTGATTTGGAATAAACGATCATAGGTAAATTTCTTCAGTAGACCAGAGACCTTGGCCTCCGCTGCACCCTTGATCCCAATTGATCCTCTCGTATCCCTAGACATGGTGAGCTGTTTGAACTGGGTGGACTGGTTATAGATTATTAGATTTCCACTAACAATCCTCTTCCTTCAAGATTACTTTTCTATGGACTTCTTCGCGGAAAGTGGCATAAAGAAAATCGCTTATGTAAATCAATCGGTAATTAAAATATTATAATTTAATTAACTACAATTTGTTTTTCAAATCCAAAAGTTTCAATGCAGAAACATAGAAATGCAATCAGTTCATTAGTTATATATTACACACATGAAATCCTAAAATCTATCACCGTAGTTTCTTTCTCTCCCTCTTCCTCTAGAATTATTGTTGAAATGACCACCACGTTGGAATCTACCACCACGATTATTATTACCAAAGGTTCCTCGAGTATCTCTTCTAGGATTTCCTCGTTTTTCAGATGATGGACCTGATGGACCTGAAGGTTTACTGAACTTTGATGGATATTGTCTGTTCCCAGTATTTTGATTAGAACCAATTCCAGGACTTGTTCCATTCGATGACACACTTGAGTCTCTAGATGAAATTGATGCAGTTTCTCTTGATTTCAATCTATTCAATTCTGTTGACGGTAGTTTAGATGTATCTCTTGGTGTATTTGCTCGTATTAATGAATATTTTTCAATTAATTCCTTATCGTCTAATGCTTGCATAGCAGCTTTTGTACCTGCGATTTTAATATTTTCACCTTCACCTTTACCTAATACATCTTTAGCACCTGTACGTAATTCAACAACGAATTTAGTTGGTTGAACAGTTTGATCTCTTTCAACACATTCATAATGTAAACCTAAACTGGCACTACCGATTAATGAATATAATTCCATTTTAGCATTTGCTCTAAATTCTGATCTTGTTTCCTTTTTAGGTTCATTCAGTGATAAAATTGGTTCTGCTAATTGTTTTAACCATTCATAAACAACTGGATAATTTGATGGATCTTCGGTCATTAAACCACCAATATAAGCTTCAAAAACATCAGCATACAGCTTCATTTTACCATGGCCCAGAGTTTCCTCTGATGTATTTTTTTTCAATTCTTTATCTAACCCATAAGCAGAAGACCATTTCATTAAGGTAGCATTGCTGATTAATTTAGTTCTTAAAATTGAAAGGTAACCTTCAGCAGCATCTGGAAATCTATGGTATGCAATTTGGGTCATCATATTATTTAGGACTGAATCTCCCAAAAATTCAAGTCTTTCATTATGTGAATGTAATTGTTCTTTTTTGGAAAGGTATAATTTATCTTTAATTAATGATTTGTGAATGAAAACTCTGGCACGAATAGCTGGATCTTTAATTTCTGGGATTGGGGGAAGATCTTTATTTTGATTTGCTACAAATGAGCTTGTTGTTGATGACGAAGCAGATGATGTAACCGAGCTACCAGAATCATCTGGTGTGAATTGTGCAGTAAATTTTAAAGGTTTTGGAGCTTCCAAAGCGTCTGTAATCTCTTCAAATTGCAAAATTTGATCAAATATTTTTAGTTCACCTTCGTTATACATAGTTTTCAACTGTGCTCCTAATCTCATCTTGTATCGTTGTAAAGCAGCAGTTAGTTGAGGGTTAGTTTCATCAGTGATCGAATTTTGCATTCTTTTCAGACCATTATTATCTGGGGAACTTTGTAAGATTGAATCTATTGATGTTTGTAAATTCTTAACAGCATGCTCAATGAGTAAAACATCAGTCAACCTTGGCTGATCAACATCAATTACAGGATGTGCACTTTCACTTTTGGCTTCTTCAGAAACTTTTTCTTCCACTTTCTTATCTTCAGTAACTTTGTTCTCTTCTTTATTTGAACTATCACTTTCTTCTTTTGAATTTGCCGCTGGTGCATCTGTTTTAATATCACCTTCGGTTGAGGTTTCTTTACCTGCTTGTGACTCTTCAAGTTTTTTGTGAATGTTGCTGAGCACAGAATCAATCTTACCTTTTAAATCTGAAGAGTCTTCTTCCTTAGTTAATGCTTCTTTACCCTGGTTGATGGGCACCTCTTCTTCTTCTTCACTAGCGCGTGACGTAACAATATGAGCCTTCTTGCGGTTGCTGCCCTCAAGCATCTCCTGATCGCCTTTATCTTCTAATTTTCGTTTACCCATAGTATCAGAGCTTCCTTTCGAGCCCGTGTATCGTTGAACTCAGCGACGTTGATGCTTCTGGTCCTGCCTGTTTCTAATTGTTTTTGGTTCAAGTCAGAAATCTCTACGGTTAATTTTCGTTTAAGAGATTTTTAAAAAAAATTGGTGCTGGATGCTGGGTATACCGAATCTGGAATCTGAACCGTAATCGCGTCTTTCCTTTTGCGGAGCTAAATTAACTACACAACAGTTATTACGATTAAATATTTGTAGCATTAGAATCTAAACTTGCCACCTTCCTCATCGTCTTCATCATCCTCGTCGTCGTTATCATCTTGTTTTGAAGGCTCTTGCGGCTTTGCTTGTTCAATTTTCTGCTTCTTTACAGGTACATCAGCGCCATCATTATTTGAATTATTTGAAACCTCAGATAAATCATAAGCTCTTTTCCCTGATAAGAATCCTGATTCCTCTTGTTTATTTTCCTTGATGACACGATACAATTGTTTAGGTTTTGAACTTTCTTCTGTATTTTCAGTAGTTGTTGATGTTTGTATCTCTGCTAAAGGAACATCTTCTTCATCACTATCATTATCATTATCATTTTCATATTGAGGAACCTCATCATTTTCTTCAACTGCGTTAGCTTCTTTCAACTCTGATTCGGATAAATAAGCTCCTGCTTCCTCTTCGTCAACTTCATCCTCTTCTTCGTCTTCATCTTCCTCTTCTTCAGATTCTTCTTCCTCTTCAGATTCTTCGTATGATAACAATTGACCAAATGGCTCCTTCACAACATCATCAAAGACATCAACAGTTTCATCTTCAGCATAAACATTCCCTTCTTCTGATAAATCTGCATTGTAACCTGGTATTCTCATATCAGCATAACTCGGTGGAGGACCGAAATTTTGCATTTTTTGAACCCAAGGTAATGTAATACCTTTCGGTACACCTAAAGCTTCTCTTAACTCATCTGAAACAATACCTGGTTTATATTTACTTGTATCCAATTCTTCATTTTCTCTACCTTCAAAATAAACATCACCAACTCCAAATAATCTTGGTTTTGTTTGAAATTTGAAAAAAGCATCATGTAATTTTTGATAATCTAAATCTAATCTATTCATCTTTGGTTGCACTTTTTCTCTCATTCTTTGCTTCATATTCGACTCATCATCTTTTGTTGTATCTCTCATTTCAGTTATACCTGTCTCGGTAATATATTTCGGTAATGTAAATGGCTTTTTTTCAACACCTCTTCTTCCCGATAAATATTCTCTTTTAAATTGCCAATGAGGTGGCACTGGAACATAATTCTTCTTACTCTTAATTTCAACAACTAGTACAGGGTCAGCTGCATCAACATCATACCATTGGACTAATTCAGGATGTGAAGAACGAGCTTTCAATTCAGCTAATGGCATCTTATTAGCCTTTCTCAACTTCTTCTTACTTATCTTTGATTGATTTTCTTCTTCTCCTTCTGCATCTGAGTTTTTGATAATTGCATCTTCATCATCACTCTCTATTATATCACCTTTTTTATCATCTTGAGGTTCTTCAATATCTGGCATATGAAATTTATCAAAGACATGTTTAAATTGTGCAAATTCAGGTTTCTCTAGTAAAACATCAAGTTCACTTTCAAATAGTTTACCAGTTTTAGTCTCCTTATTGATTTCATTTGAAACACCAATGTCAACAGTTTTATTATTCTCATTTATAGGTTTGTTACTGGGTATTTGTTTTGGTTCTTCTTCTTTAATAACATCTTGCTTAACTTCTTCCTTTGGATCAGGGGCAACTCCTTGTTTTTGTAATTTTTTTCTTTCACGGCGTAATTGATTCTTGGTTTTCTTATTAGCAGCCATGATCAATATGCTTAATCTTTCTGAAGTTCGTTGTAATTGTACTTGATTTTGATCTATATATAATTTACCTCTGGTTGAAATTTTGTTTGGTAAATACTTAATTACCATATGGTGTTCGGGTGTATATATAAGTAATAAAATACAAACACTACAACAATGTGAATTCTAAATTGATTTAATTTCGTATGGTCATTAACATCGTAGCTAGTTTGATTGTGGCTTGGAAGTCGTTCTCTATTAAAACCTCCATCTTTGAGTTAGGCAAAATCAGTTAGGTTTGACTTTTGATTCGAGCTTATCCAATCTTTTATAGATATTTTCAACTAGAGTTTAATTCATTAGTATCATGACAATATATATATACTTTTCTCCAAATAGACTTACTTTTTTCCTGTACCACTTTGTCATTTTCATCAATCTTTAAGTTCTAAATACATCTGGTTAGTCCCACTTTTTCTTCCCCTTGAATTTCCTTCGTAATACATACAATATCATTCAACATAGTTTCAATCTCGGTAGCAACATCAAAAATAGTTACCACGTTCTTCTTCTGTTCTTCATCATCGTCTAGGTCGTGTTTTATTGTCTGATCAGCATCACTTGATTGAATTTGACTAACGTTTGGAGTGGATAATGGCTCTTCTCTTAAAGTATCTCTATCATCTGTGACTTCCACCGTGTTGAGTGTGTCAGAGGCATCTGGGGCATCAACAAATGAACTTGTCGAGCTGTTGCTTGTGGATTGTCCTTGGGAATTCATTGTCTGTAGTTGATGCTGCGTTTGATGAGATCTATATTGGCTAAACTAGTCGTTGTTTAGTAAAGAGTTTATGTTTTGACGTGAATTTAATGCTGCACCATCGGTGCTTAACCCTCGAGACATAAACATAACTGAAAATATTGATCTATCATATTTTCAATTTGTCATTGGGAGGCAAAAAAAAAACATATACAACCGACCTCATGTCCTGCTAATCATAGGTAATGCTACTCACAAACTCAGCCCATCTCCCTTTAAGACATATCATACCCAAAGCCTTCCATATCACCAATTTCATACGGTACAAAAGTGTTAAGCCAACTTATGATGATTTATCCTCATATTTAGAATATGCTGATTTTGTTCAAGTGAATAAAGATACTACTGTTTTCCAAGGTACTATATTTGAAATGAGGGCAAAGGAAAAACTTGAGAAGGCTCTTAAAATTAAGAATCTTAGACATGCTGGTGGTGCTTTTGATAATGGTATTGATTTGATCGGAAGTCTTGATATACTTCAGTACAAAACTGATAAAGAACCAAGAAAAGCTGTACCCTTGAAAGGGAAAAGAGTCAAACCTTTAATCCTCAGGAAAAGAACAGATCTAGATGTTATTATTCAATGTAAAAGTTTTTCATCAAAGGTCACAGCTAAGGAAATTAGAGAACAATCAGGAATTTTCAATTTTAATATTAGAAGAACAGATCGGAATAATTCTTTAATGATTATGGCTGCATCTAGTGTTTTAACTTCTCAAGGATTAACCCAACTAGATACTGTTGATATACCTATGATCTACTGTCAAATTTCTAGACTAAGGCAAATTGCTGAGAATCCTTATGATTTAAGTTCATATGAAGGCGGTGATTTGTTAGGATTTTATTTCAACCCATACGCTTTAGCCTTATTTGAAGGTACATCGTTTTATGAGCATACCCAATCCTCATGTATATAGTTTTACAATTTTTGCATCGCTAATGAAACAGCATTAAACGAGTCAAATTTTTTGATATGTAAATCTCTCTATTTGAACTTCTATTATATATCAACTATTGAGGTCTCTGAACAACCTATTGATACTTATTGAAACAATACAGAAAAATATTGATTACCTATATAAATAAAATCTATCTTTTTGAACCTTCTAAAATTTTTTTCTTAAACCAAATCCAACGCAGATAAATTTACCAATAGCATAAAACGAAGCACCAGCTAACGCACATAAAGCAGTAAATAGCATGAAGTAGTTGAAACTGGTTACTGAACGATCACCAATGATAGCACCACCAATTGGAACTGAAGCCATTGTACCAAATGCAACGATAAAGTACATCGTACTATATCTTTTACCAAAATCTTCAGTTCTGGAGACTTGACCACAACAAACGGATAATAATGGAAAAATAGAACCTGTTGAAAACCCCCAAATTATTGAAAATGCATATAGCGCACCTTCGTGATGCCCAAAAGGTATTAAAATAATCAATTGCACAGCACACGTAAATATTAATGTAGAGATCATAACGTTGAATCTACCAATTTTATCAGAATAAAATCCTGTTATCCAACGACCTGGAATACCACCAACATTGACTAATGTGGTTAATAAATAAGCTGTTGATAATGAAGTTCCCTGAGATCTTGCATATGACGTAAAATAAGTATTGGTCGTTGTAACTGATATTTCAGCAAATGTACATCCAAGTACAACAAAAATGTATCTCCATTCTTTAAAAGCTCTGAAATCAAATGCAGATGCATAACTCAAAACGTTTTGTAATTTGGTTCTATCTGACTTTTGATGTGGTAACCTTTCACGAGCAAATGCAATACCAAATGCATGACATCCCAAACAAACAAAACCATAGACTCTCATACCCCAAGCAAAACCAACAGAGTCAAATAACTTTCTTAACATGATAGGAAAGATAATACCACCAACAGAACCACCAGTGGTTGCAATACTAATGAAAAAACCACGTCTTTTATTGAAATAATGAGGAACAACACTGACTAAAGGAGATAAAGTTATACCATTACCAAATCCACAAAGAACTCCAAATGCTAAGATAAATTGCCAAACTGTTTTACAATTTGCAGAAGCGAAAAGACCTCCACAGCATAATAAAGTACCAACAATTAATGGGATTCTTGCACCATTTCTATCGAAATAAGTACCTGAAAAGATGCAACTTGTAAAATTAACAAAAACGAAAACTGAGAAAATCCAGGAGGTTGTTGATGATGGAATATCTTTTAATTGATTTTCTGAAATATAAGTTTCAATAGCACCTGTAGTATTCAAGATACCAAAACATGGTGTTAAACCCATAAAAGCACCAAATACAACAAGGTATGCTTTAAGACCACCTTCAGGATAATCTATATCATCATTGGCAAACATTGCCTCTTTAGAATCATTATATCCATCATCATCTGTAGTTTGTGCTTGGTTTCTTACGGTTTCATTTGATGAAACTGATTGTAATTCAATATCTTGTTCATTTGTATCACTATGTTTTCTTGATTTACGTGATTGAATCCTAGAGATCAAATCATCATTTCCAACGATTATCGAATTATTTCTATCATTTGATGAACCCACATTTGATCTATCAATTGAACCATCCATCGGTTCAAAGTAATCATTTCGGGTATCAAAAACTGTTTTTGAAGTTTCTAGTGGTGATTGTGTAGAAGTGATATCATTTTGTGTCATAACTTTGCGAAAAGTCTATGTGTGTATGTTGTGTAGTCAATTAATGCCCTTTGAAAAAAATGGGACCTGAAATAGTGGAAAGTTGAATAGTTTTATACCTGTATTAATAGTCAAAAAATTTAACTTTTTGAGTTGATGTCCTTTGCAGCTGACAGCATAACTAAGCGATATACGCCATGATTTTAAAGTCGATGTTTTTCAAGGCAATATAATCAAATATCTACAATTGGAGCTATAATTATACGAACGTCATATAAGAGATTCAATTTATCTGAAAGCTTAATCGATAACTGCTCATTTATATCTCTTATAAGTCAGTATCTAGATTCTTCACGTTCTATTACTATACCATCAGGAAAAAGATTTTAACTATAGGCGCGACGGTGATGGGATTCCGACGCTATGATAACTGTGTAATGAGTCAAAATCTCAGACTTCAGGAACCAGTATGTATTGCAAACTTCAAAGAAGATGGAATCTGGATCATGGAAATTGGTCCTAGGATTATGGATTAATCATTAGCCGGTGTGTGACTCAGAAAACCATGATTTGAAACTGGATTCTACGTACTTTTCTGGTAATTATTTGTCAAGGTGGCACATTTTCGCTCCGGATTTATTTCCAGTTTTGGTGTTTGAGATGCACTTTGAGTAATTGGTGGTTATGTCCGAACTGGCCCATCTGACGTTGATTTTTCAGGGTCTCTGGGTCCTTTTAAACAGTGTTTAAGCTTTAAAATGTGCCGCTCGTTTTTCTATCCTTTATGTTGAGCTTCTTGGTGAAAATCCAAGGTCATGGGACATGTAGTAATTTTGTGTCAAGATGTCAACAATCAAGATGACTGAAGCTTCCATATATTATCCGCGATTCGTTACATATTAATTAGGTGCAGGTCGTGTACTGCCCAATATGAATATCCGAAATTCGAATTAATATAATCCTATATATTCCAACTGAAATTAAACCCACCAAAGCTTAATGTTTAGAAAAATAAATTATGAAGAAATAATTAAGGCTTGATTCTCTATAGAACTATCTGATCAGAAAAGTGAAAAACTCAAGTTGAAATTTTTAGAAATTTTGAAGTTTTGCTAAGTCGATTTGCATTTATATAAGTTAACGTCACTAAACTTTATGAGTTAAAATTTTTGATGAAAATATTCGCTTTAAAACCGGTTACTAGTAAAACAGGCAGCATGGTTTTAGCCAATGCTTTATTTTACAATATTATTGGGCGCACTTTAACTACTTAAAATTCAAAATCAAGTAACATTTTACTTATTGTACAAATTTTCGCGCCGGGGTAAGTACTCTCGGCCGAGATGTATACAATATCAATGATCAAGCTGAGCTATAGAAGTCATGATCAACGTGAATGTTACGAAAGGAGGATCTAGTGGGAGTTAATAGATACAAATTGAGATCAAATTCTATTCAGGTTTTATATAATATTGTTAAAATCACAGTTTAAATGGCGGAGGATAAAATGGCCATTCATATTGTTTTGAATGCTTAATTCTAACACCTAAATCATCTGCCCATTTCCATACAAGACCTGGATTCTTCAAGAATGCTCTTCCACTTAATACAATATCAGCATGTCCAGCTTCCAAGGTGTCATTAGCAAATTCACCTTGATCAATCTTACCAACAGTAGCAATCAAAAGTTTATTACCAACATGTTCTTTAACAGCTTTTGCCAATGGAACTTGAAAACCTTGATAAGTTTTCCTTCTTTCTGCTTTAGCATTATTACCACCTGATGAAATATCTAGGACATCAACACCATGCTCAATTAAATGATCAGATAATTTAACAGTATCTTCTATGGTCCATGAACCTTCAATATGTGGTGCTAATTCGGATCCTGAAACACGAACAAATAATGGTGTAGTATCATCTTTAACAGCATCAACAACCTCTAATAAGAATCTAATTCTATTTTCAAATGAGCCACCATATTGATCAGTTCTCTTGTTGGAAGTCCCAGATAAGAATGAACTCAATAGATAACCATGTGCAGCATGGATTTCAACAAAATCAAACCCAGAAATTTCTCTAGCTCTTTTAGCAGCATCACCAAATTTTTGAACAAGGTCTTGTATTTGATCTATAGTCAATTCAGACGGTGTTACATATGATCTTGTGCTGAATGATATTGGACTTGGACCAACAATAGCACCTGGGATATCACTCCAACCAAATTCTGCTTTTCCGATACCTTTTTGTAAATGATTGTAAATTGCAGTACCCGAAGCTTTTCTACCACCATGACCTAATTGTATACCAATCTTCACACCTTGTGCATGTGCAAATTGAACAAACTTTTTCAAACTTAGTGCTTGATCATCATTCCAAATTCCTAAATCCTCTGGTGATAATCTTCCATTTGGATCAATAGCAGTTGCTTCAACAATGATCATCCCTGGGCCTTGTAAAGCAAACGAGCCATAATGTGTTTGATGGAAAGCTGTAGCACATCCTATATCAGGACCAGCATGTGCAGATGAATAGGTACACATTGGTGAAACACCTATTCTATTAACAAATTGGGTATTCTTGATCTTGAATGGTTGAAATAATTTTGGAATTGGAACTTCACCATTTTCAACTTGTGTCCCAAGAGGGATCTCAACTTTTGGATGAAAATATGGGACTTGATCACTTGGCTTTGTTAGAAATCTATTATTTTCACCACTTGTCATATCTTGTTCTTTCTGAAGATTAAGGGAAAATTGGTCGTCTATAATGGTTTAAATAAGAAGATTCGAGTAAAAATTTCAACCCCATACTTTGTGAAATTCCCGAACTCGAGATCTCGGTATAACCACAGCTTAGTAACAATTACTTACTGATTGCGTTAACTACGCCAAAATATATCTATAAAATTACCTGTTCATGTATAATCTAGAACTATATAATGCGAATATTAAGTTAAAGCAAAAATGCATATAAAAAATAAATAAAAATCAAGTCATAACAAAATAAACCATTGAAACCAAAATAAAACAACCTATATACCAAAATGAATGTGTAATTCTTATCTATAATAATAACTAATAACCCATGATATTAATCTATTGATCCTTCCCCTTCTATTTGTAATCTAGAAAACAATACGAATCTTTTTACCAACACATAAAGTTCTTGAAATAACATAACAAACAGCACTAATAACTGAACATGCTGCAGTATAAAGAATAAAATAATTATAGCGTTCAACTGATTTATCACCAATGATAGCACCACCAATTGGAACACCAACTAAAACACCAAATGCAACAATGAAATACATTGTACTATATCTTTTACCAAAATCTTCAGTTTTACAAACTTGTCCAACACAAACTGCTAACAATGAGAAAACTGCACCAGAGACAACACCATATGCAACTGAATAAACGTATAGAACAGTTTTACTTGAACCAAATGGTAACCAGATTGCCAAATTAATAATTGCAGTTAATAAGATTGTAAAAATGAAAACATTGTATCTACCCAAAATATCAGCCAAATAACCAGTAATAACACGTCCTGGTAAAGTACCAGCATTAACTAAAGTAACTAAAATAAATGATTCACCAACTGAAAATCCTCTCATTTTAGCATATGATGCAAAATAAGTAATTGAAGAGAGGACTGAAATTTCTGCAAAAAATGCACCAGCAACACAAAAGAAGAATTTCATATCTTTCAAAGCTTTAAAATCAAATGATTGAACGAAATAACCAATTTTTTCCAAAAGACTAGCATTAGCTTCTTTTTCAGTCTTTTCAGGTAAAAAGATCTTTCTTTCACGAGCAAACGCAATTGAAATGGATAAACAAACTGCAGAGATTAAAGCAAAGATTCTCATTGCCCATTCAAATCCAACTTTTGGGAATAATCCACGAAACATTAATGGTAAAACAGTACCACCAATTGAACCACCAACAGTAGCAACAGAAACCATCAAAGCTCTATTAGCATAAAAATAGTGTGAAATGACAGCAACTAAAGGTGCCATTAACATACCATTCCCAGTTGAAGTGAGTAAACTAAATGCTAAGATAAATTGATACATTTTTGTACAATTTGCAGTGGCAATAGTACCACAAACAAACAAAATACTACCAAGAATTAATGGAGCTCTTGCACCTGATTTATCAAAATAAGTACCTGAAAAGATACACATTGTATAAGTCATAAATGTGCATAATGAAAAAATCCAACCAACAGTTGATGAATCAACATTTGATAATTGATTTTCATTAACATATGATTCCAAAACACCTAAAATGTTCATTAAACCAAAACATGGGAAAAGACCCAAGCATGAACCCATAACGACTAAATAAGATTTTATTGAATGTTCTGGGAATGTTAAAATTTCATCATCATCTGAAGCTGATTCAGTAACTTTAGTATTGGAATCATTACTAAAACTTTTGTAAGGTTCTTCATCTTCATTATCAGAATTATAAGCGGTTTGTAAATCTTGAGTTAATTCATTTGTTGTTTCATCAAATTCATTAATTTTATCAGGTTTACCACCAGTTTTAGATAAATTTTGTAATCTTGAATCTAAATCATTGTTGAAAGCATCTTCAAATTTGTTATATTCTTGATCTTGTACAACAATAGTAGCTGAAGAATCAGCAGTATAAATATTTGGTCTTTTTTGGTTGGAAGATTCTGGAACTTGAAGGTTTTGTGGCATAGAGTGCACTGAAATGTATGCTATAATCAAAGAATAAAATTAAACTATGCTTATGATGTTTATATAATCAATATCAACATCTTTATATTTTAACCTTTTTTACAAAGAGATCTTGCCTCTTTATATATTCATAAAAACTTTAATAACGGTGCAGCGAAACATAAAGAAACATAAGAAACTCAAGGGTTAACGGGCATGACTAGTGTATTTGAAATGCAAATAGATGCAGGATATCGCGTTAGTAAACTGGGATTTAAACCGTTAAACCAAGTAAATCCCTAACAATCCCAGCTAAATCCCAAATTCTTGCGTGCTTGATCTGAAAAAGAAACAACTTTATACCACTGTTATTAAGCCGTAGCATTTTGACATATAAACCTTACCCACTCAATAACTCAGCTTGTGCCTGGGCTAGAAGGCTCAAACAACCTGGAAATACAACGCTAGAAACACCGTAAGAACCCTGAAACAAACCATAAGCTCTCAAATACACAACAGGTATACCTATACCAAATAACACCTTAAGATGTGGCCACCCGGACAAGTTTTTTCTTTTTGAGCTGTGGTTTGAATATGTGAAATTTTTTTTTCCGGCAGATGTTTCGCGTTCTTTGGACAGTATTGAAAAGCGAATAAAGATATCCATGAGGAACTACACTGCGAAAGCACAAAGCCTTCAAAGGAGTGGAACTATATGGATTAATCTGAATTCAAGCTGTTGCTGATATTGTAGCATATGTTATGTGAGATTCATGGGTTTACTTCTGACACTTTTGCTGGGCTCATGGGAGCTAGACTGAACATGGGCACAACTTGAGCCAAATATCACCTATTAATAATTAATACTACTTATATGTGGTACCGGGTTAATGAAGATGATTCATCTTGCTACACCTAGTACTAAAACCAAATGACTTGTACTAAAAGGAACACACACACACACTCTGCCCCTTGGTGGGGTTCTGTGTCTATCTTTAGAATTTACACAATTTAAACCCAACACAAGCGTATCTTGATATCAAATAGCACATGATCCCACCAACATTTAACATGGCTGAATAAATAATAAAATTATTATACCTACCAATGGACCCATCTCCAATAATAACACCTGCTATAGGAATTGCTGTCAACATTGCCAATGCCACAATCAAATACATGGTACTATATCTTTTACCAAACTGATCAGTTCTTGATATTTGACCACAACAAACTGGTGATAAAGATAAGATTGAACCTGAACAAAACCCATATAATCCTGAATACGCATATAATACTTTTAGACTATAACCAAATGGTAACCATAATAAGAAACTTACCAAGACACAACCTGTTAATGTTAAAATAACAACATTAAATCTACCAAGAAACTTATCTGCAACGTAACCTGGAATATAACGACCCAATATACCTGTAGTATTAATCACTGTTAATAATAAATATGAAGTATTTTCATCAAACCCTCTTTTAATTGCATATGAAGGGAAATAAATCGAACAAACAATCAATGATGACTCAGCTAATGCAACTGCTAAAGCACAAGAAATAAATTTCACTTCAATTAATGATTTGTAATCGAAAACATCAATAATATAAGTTTTAATAAATCCTGCTGGTTTATGAGTATTGACGTCTTCATTACCTCTTTTGTTTGAAATTCTTTCTTTTGAGAATAAAATTGAAAAAACAAAGCAAAACATACAAATAAATGCTAAAATTCTTAAAGCCCATGCAAATCCAACTTTTGGGAATAATGATCTTAATAGTAATGGCATAATTATACCACCAATAGATCCACCTGTAGTAGCAACACTTGTAGCAATAGCTCTATTTTTCTTAAAATAATGTGAAACGACACCAACTAATGGAGACATCAACATTCCTAAGCCAAAACCAGTAACCAATCCAAATGATAAAATAAATTGCCAAACTGTTGTTGCATTACCTGTGGCAAATAAACCACCAGAAAAGAAAACTGCACCAATAATCATTGGTGGCCTAGCACCATTTCTATCGAAAAATGCACCACTGAAAATACCTGAACCAAATGCAAAGAATACGTTCATTGAAAAAATCCATGATACAGTACTTGTACTAAACTCTGCTAATTGATGTGAAGAAACATAAGCTTCAATAGCACCCGGTGAATTAATCAATCCAAACACTGGGATTAATCCCATAAATGATCCAAAAACAACCAAATTAGCTTTTAATCCACCTTCTGGGAAATCTAAATCTTCATCAATTAATGAAATTGTTTCATCTTCATTAGTCAATTCTCTAATACTTGATTGTTTTCCTCCAGCTCCTGATACTGAATTATTATCAGGTGTATTTCTACCATTATCATGCCATGTAAAACCTGACCCTTGTGCAATATTCTTTGAAGATCCAACTCCAGGACCATTAGATTCAATTGGGGATAATGGTCCAAGATCTTGTAGTTCTAAAGTTATTTCTTGATTTTCATTCTTTTTCGTTGGTTGTGGATAAGCAATTGTTGGTGGTTCAAGCATCACAATTCTTTATAAAGGCAACACACTATAATATTTTTGATCAAATAATTTATGGTAATCTAGCGTTGAAATGTAGCAGTCAACGTTGTATTTATATAGTATGTACAAATCATCAATTTGCTTTTCAGATTGCAACGTCGACGCAATCAATCTGGACCTATGGATTCTGGAGATGCTTGTAATGGTAATTAATTTTTAATCAAGTTGGCGTGTTACCTATTCAGGAACTTATAGCGATAGAAATATATACTTGAATACAAGGAAAACTATTATATTGAGACAGAAAATGACAACTGTTGCCACCAGAATCAGTTCATTCGATTCAGTAGAGTCTCAGATTCATAATGAACTAATTTTGAATCTTGTTGATCATAAGATTGTCGAGTTATCACCATTTCTTCATGATGGAAAGCGAGCTCCGAACTTTTGAGAATATTCTTTTATATATCCGCCCACCATTTATATAACCGTTATATATCGGAAATTGTAGATCAACCGTTGTAATCTAGACAGAAAACACAGATGTATTAACATGGCAGATGTTGGATACATGAAAGATAATTCAGATATCGACAATTTTAATAAGCACTGACATGGAAAATGAATATATTGTTGATTCAAACGAGTAACAGTACAACTATTATTCAATACTAGTGAAATTTGTTATTTGTTTCTCATTTGAAGTGTAGAGAATAATAGCTTCAACATTATGGTCCATGAGAAGTTTAAAGCTGTGTTTACATAAATTATGTATATATATAGATCAAGATAGCTCCTAATTCTTCCTTCGTTCTTACTATATCGATATACATACATCGCAGAATCAAATTAACAAAAATGAGCGCCATCAATATTAAACTTATCAAATCTTATATACAATTACCTTTCAAAGGGATCCATAGGCTTAATGATCCAATGGACCAAGAAACTCTTATTGAAGAAGACAGAGTTAGAAAGGGCTGGCACATGAAACAAAATCCATTTCATCACAGAGTTAAAATCGTTGATGGTAAAGCTATGGAAGATCCATTTGATGATTCTGCTGCTGTTGAAGAATCACCATTGCTCAGTGAATCTAATGATGCTTAAGAACACAAATATATCAGACTCTCAATATAATTACCAAATAAAATAACATAACTTTTCATTAAAATTTACAGAGTTTGAAACCAACAACTGAATATCTTGATACACCATAACAACAAATTGCACCAACGGTTAACATGGATAAATAAACGATAAAGTTATTATAGTGTCTAACTGTACCATCACCGATAATTGCACCTCCTAATGGTAACAATCCCAACATTGCTAATGCTGCCATCAAAAACATTGTACTATATCTTTTACCGAATTCATCTGTTCTTGAAATCTGACCACAACATGATGGTGAAATTGATAAGATTGATCCTGAACATAACCCGTAAAATGCAGCGTAAGTATATAATACTTTTAAACTATACCCAAATGGTAACCATAATGCCAATGATAAGATAACACAACCTGATAATGTAATCATGGCAACATTGAAACTACCTAAAAATTTGTCTGCAATATATCCTGGTAAATAACGACCCAAAATACCTGCAGAGTTAATAACAGTAAGTAATAAATATGATGTATTTTCACCATAACCTCTCATTATGGTGTATGATGGGAAATAAATGGAACAAATAATCAATGATGATTCTGCTAATGCAACAGCTAATGCACAAAAGATAAATTTAACTTCAAATAATAATTTATAATCAAAGACATCTTTAATATAAGAGTGGAAAATTCTTTTATGTAATGGTAAGTGTGAAACGTTTCTAACTTTTGCAACATTTCTAATTCTTTCTTTAGCAAAAATTAATGGGAAAATCAAAGAAAACATACAGATAAATGCTAAACATCTCATAGCCCATGCAAAACCAACTTTTGGATATAATGCTCTTAACATTAATGGCATAACAATACCACCAACAGAACCACCGATAGATGCAATACTAACATATGTAGCTCTCTTCTTTTTAAAATAATGTGAAACAACACTAACTAATGGTGACATCATCAAACCTGATCCAAATCCATTAACAACACCATAAGCTAAAACAAATTGATAAACAGTTTTACAATTACCAGTTGCGAATAACCCACCACAGAAGAATACAGATCCAATACTCAATAGAATTCTTGATCCATGTTTATCAAAAATCGAGCCTGAAAAAACACCAATACAACATTGAATGAAAATATTTAATGAAAAAATCCATGAAACTGAAGAAGGTGATAATGCAGATAATTGATGTGACGCAACATAATTTTCAATAGCACCAGCAGAATTAATCAATCCAAAAACTGGAACAAGACCCATAAATGAACCAAAAACTACTAGATAAGCTTGAAGACCGCCTTCAGGGAATTCTAAATCTTCATTAACTAATGGTATTTCATCTTCATTTAATTCATGAGTTTCAGGTTGATGATCAGATCCTTCACCTTCACCACCTGTGGATGGATTTTTAGTGAAACCTGAACCTGTAACTATCCCAGTACTTTTAGATCCAATACCTGTTAAAGAGTTATTGGTATCTATGGTATTTAATTCTATAGTCTTTTCAGCTTCATAACGATCAACTTTCTTCAAACTTGGTTGGGGTAATGGTAACGACATATCTTTAATACCCGAGATCTAATTTTTTTTCTCCTTTAAATATTCGAGTGCGTTTGTGTATTAGCAAACGGTGATCTATTTAGCAAAATGGCTTCAACTAGGTATGATATCAAGAAAGTAGCTTATTGTGAACCAAATATGGTGTTTTTTATGATATATTAAAAGGATTTTGACTTTAATGAAAAGTTTTTCTCGTCGAAACAATTATAAAAGGTGTTTAACTAGCTCCTTCCAAAACCGTGGCATTCCACGATTTCCGGTGATACCCTTGTCTTACCTGCCGAAACCGTTACCGGTATATACTAAATCGATTTTCTACAAAGAACAAAAAACAAATGTGATCTTGAAAGTTCATATTATTTACCCAAAATTATTAAATTAACTTCTTTATTATATTCATAAAAAAAACTCCTTGTATCATATGCCTTTAATATGCTCAAATGCCTATATTATAGTTCCCGACTATTTAATTATTATGTTTGTTTAACCTTTTCATTACTAAACTTATCTCTTTTATTATTATTATTATTATCATCAAATTTTTTTAATTCACTCTCTTTCTCTTTTTGATCTTTGGAAAATTCTTGATTAACAACTTCTTGTTCTGGACTTATGAACCATCCACGAATCCAATTAGCATAACCAAAACTAGGATCAATTTTCATCCAAAGACTTTGTAATCTTTCAATATCAAACCTTGAGGTGAGATTATACCAGCAGTATTCAACCTTAGAATTATTGTTTTGTTTGTTATCATTTTGTAAATGTTTTGCTCTCATTGCAATACAAGGACGTGATTGATTAACAGATTTTTCTAAAGCTTCAACTTTTGAAACAAAATTATCAACACTTTCTTCAGTATCACGGATTCTTGTTGATAAAACTCTAATTTCATATTCTAATCTTGCACTCAGTACTTGAATATCTTCCATTTTCAGTCTTGATCTTAAATCTGATTGCCATTGTAATTCATATGATCTATTGATTGGTTTGATTAATTGTGCACATCTATTTGCCTCATTACGTGCCTTATCAATTGTAACTGAATAACCTTCTTTACTTTTGTTGAAAAGATCCGTTGATGATTCATGTAAATATAATTTTTTCTTTAATGTTTTCATTTTTTGTCCCATATTATTTGCAGATGGTAAAGTTTCCCATTGATTTATTGAATTCTCAACAAATGAAAAACTCTTTGTTCTTTTCAAAGTATTTTCATTATCAACTTTTAAGTTTCTATCAATTGGTAAGTTTCCATATTCAATTTGATCAATGTTTATATCATTACAGATCATTGGCAAAGAAGCTCTTCTTTTTAATTCACATTGAAAAATTTGATTTTCTGTTAAATTTCTCTTTTTATTTAATGTTTTGGTAATTCTAGTACATGATTCTCTTGAGTTTGAATCTATTATCGAACATTGTAAATCTTGTGAAGATTCTCTGTACCGATCCTTAGATTTCCTTTCTGGTGTATTTTCATCTTGTAATCTTCTTGGTAAATTCCGTATTTTATCAACACCAGTTCTTAAGCTTGATGTTTGTAAGGCAGATGAAGCGGCAGTAACAGATGAGTATAATTGACGCTCATGATGATCTAAAACTTTAAGATCTCTTACATCACCTTTCCCGTTCCATAAATAGTTTAATCTGGCACTGCAATTGAAATATTTTAATAATTTATCTAAATCTAACGTTAAGACTTCTGGTGCATATTGAATTGAACTACCTTTACCAGAAATATCTTGAACAGTAGATTTAACAACTTTTTTCAATTTTGAAATATCAGAATTTGAAATCTTTGTTGTAACTCTAAATAATTTCTCCACAGTTATTGGATCTAAATACCATGTTCTTTTCAAATTATACTGTTTTTGAAATTTCCCCACATTAACTCTAAATCCAAAGTAATTAAAAGGTTCTTTAGGAAAGTCTGATCCAGCTATATCTAATCTAAAATGACAACTTAAAACAAACCCTAAGATTGCCGATACAGTACTAGGACCTAATAAACCATCCTTTGGCGTGGTACCATAATAAGCAGAACCAAACATTTTCCACCAATCATCAATTTTTTCAATAGTTTTATCACATAATAATCCATCAACAAAATTAGGATCTAATAATTTGAAATCAACAAGACATATTTGAACTAATGAGACTAATTCCTTAACGGCATACATTATATCAACTTTTGGATGTGTCTTGTAAATTTGTCTAAATTTGGCACCAGAAGCATCTGAAGGTTCTGCAAGTAGCAGAGCAGATCTACCACCACATGTCATTCTTCTTAAATCAACATTAACTTTGAAAAACTCCCAAGCATCTAATATACATCCACATGAAATTGGTAATAAATTCAAATTTGAAGGGAATGATGATAAATTTGTTATGAAAAGGAACCCCTTTTCAGTTAATTTAGGTTTTGCACCATAATCAGCGATTTCTTGGAAGAAATGATTGACTTTAATAGACCATTTGGAAGTATCTAAAGGTAATTTTATCTTAGCGACTTTGATCTCATGTTCATTATCACCAGTGAATGATGTTAAAACAGTTCCATATTTTCTTTCACAAGCCCATTGTTCCACAATATAGATTTCAAATCCACGAATAGTATCCAAGTCATATTGTAATTTTTCTCCTTGACAAATAGAATCTAACGCAATTATATCTGGAAATAAATATGTCACTTCTTGTTTATCGGATGCACCATGTATTTGTAATTCTTGTAAATTCAGTGTTGAGCCACCAGCTAGCGGCAGCTTCACCGACGACGTAGGCTGGAGCTCCTCCGTCTGAGTCATTGGAATGAATGTGATATACTACCTAATCTCCAAAACCAATGAGTATTATGACCTGTAATTATACAATAATCTAATTAATCTTCTTAATATTTCTAATTATAATTTGAGAATGAACGCCTCTAAGAGTGTCCCCACCACCCGCGAATTGCACACCGCGAAAACCCACACACCGCGCTTTCTTTTGATTTGCAAAGGAAACTTGGTCTTTATGATTTCAATCTGGTGGAGTGAATAAGTCAAAACAACACAGTCGGTAAATTCAAGAAGCTCAGTCTACAAAGAAGAAATCAGACAGAGATTAGGAGAATTGACTGAAGAGAGCCTGCTAAGATGTCTACAGAAGAGGCTATATTTCGTAAGTAAGAATGGGAATAACTGTGGATGTTTATGGGCTCCGTTTGTTAGGGGTATATTTCGCTATAATATGGTGAACATAATGAATACCTTTTAAAATAGGCTTGAAACTAACATTGATACTCCAGGCTCGGCGGTTATGTCGTTCATCCAGCTATATATCCCTACTGAAGTATCAAGGGATGTAATCACCACACTAGGGGAGATTGGGAACGTACAGTTCAATGATTTAAACCAAAATGTTAGTGCTTTCCAAAGAACTTTTGTTCAAGAAATTAGAAAATTTGACGAAGTTGAACGTCAATTGAGGTATTTAACAAGTGTTATAGAGAAAGAACATGGTTTACTAATAGCTCATAATCCAACTTTAACAATAGCTCAAAATTCAATATCGAGTATTGAAAATCTGATTACCGATGTTGCAAATTTGGAAAATAGAGTTCAACAATTAGATTCATCATATGAAGAACTAAAACATAGAGAACATAAATTATTAGAATATAGACATGTTTTGAATAGCTCACGTACATTTTTTGATAATAATATTGAAGGGCAAGCAAGAATAAGTATAGATCGAGTTGATGATGCACCTTTATTATTGGAACAAGAAAGTTTAGAAGCTGGTTATCAATTATCAAATCTAAATGAACTTGCATTAAATTATGTTGTTGGTTCAATCCCAAGATCTAAAGTGGAAATATTAAATAAGATATTATGGAGAACTCTTAGAGGTAACTTATACTTTAATCATGTTGAACTTGAAGAAAAAATCTTGGATATTCGTTCAGGTAATGAAGTGGAAAAAGATGTTTTCATAGTATTCACACATGGTGAATTATTACTACAAAAAGTTGAAAGAATTATTGATTCATTGGATGGTAACGTGTATGATGTTTCATCAGATCTTGATATTCATGAACAATCAATCCAACAAGTTAATGCTCAACTAACAGATGTTTCTCATGTCTTGACTAATACCCATCAAACATTACATACAGAACTCTATGTTATTGCAGATCAATTACAAATATGGCAGGCCATTATAAGAAGAGAAAAATTAGTTTATGTTACATTAAATAAATTCAAAAGTGCAAATCGTGGGTTAATTTCAGAAGGTTGGGTTCCATCTACCGAAATTGATCAGGTTAAAAACGCATTAAGAGATGTTGAAGGTGCAGAATCTGCAGTTTTAACCATTGTTCATACAAATAAGACACCACCAACTTATCACCGTACAAATAAATTTACTCAAGCATTCCAATCCATCGTGGATGCTTATGGTATTGCTTCATATCAAGAAGTTAACCCAGGGTTAGCTACTATTGTTACGTTCCCATTCATGTTTGCTATTATGTTTGGTGATTTAGGTCATGGTTTTATTGTTTTATTAGCTGCATTAACTCTTGTATTAAATGAAAAAAAGTTAGCATTAAAGAAGAAAGATGAAATTTTCGATATGGCTTATAATGGTCGTTATATTATTTTGTTAATGGGTCTTTTTTCAATTTATACAGGGTTATTATACAATGATGTTTTTTCCAAATCAATGACATTATTCCGTTCTGGTTGGAAATATCCTGAAGACTTTAAATTACATGACACAGTCGAAGGTACCAAAACAGGAGTTTATCCATTTGGTTTAGATTGGGCATGGCATGGGGCTGAAAATAATTTAATTTTCACAAATTCCTACAAGATGAAATTATCTATTTTAATGGGGTTCATTCATATGTCTTATTCATTCTTTTTTTCATTAGTAAATTATCGTCATAGACATTCAAAAGTCGATATCATTGGTAATTTCATCCCAGGTTTAATATTTATGCAATCAATTTTCGGTTATTTATCTTTAGCTATCGTCTATAAATGGTCTCGTGATTGGATTAAACTAGAGAAACCAGCACCGGGTTTATTAAATATGTTGATTAATATGTTTTTAGCACCTGGTGTTATTGACGCTGAATTATATCCAGGTCAAAGTTTTGTTCAAGTTATATTGGTGTTAGCAGCTGCTGTATGTGTACCCTGGTTACTGTTATATAAGCCAATGACTTTACGCCGTCAAAATAATAGTGCTATTGAAGCTGGTTATCATAATTTACATGATTTATCACATAATGATACTTTAGCCGACACTGAAGAACATGCTGGTGATGATTTCTTGGTTGAAGATTTTGAAGAACCCGAAGAATTTAACTTTGGTGATATCATGATTCATCAAGTCATTCACACTATTGAATTTTGTTTGAATTGTGTTTCCCATACAGCTTCATACTTAAGATTATGGGCTCTGTCATTAGCTCATGCTCAATTATCTTCAGTCTTATGGTCAATGACCATCGCAAATGCATTCTCAAGTGAAGCACCAGGATCACCTTCATCAGTTGCAAAAGTTGTTTTATTATTTGGAATGTGGTTTGTTTTAACTGTTTGTATCTTAGTTTTAATGGAAGGTACTTCTGCAATGTTACATTCTTTACGTTTACATTGGGTTGAAGCTATGTCCAAATTCTTTGAAGGTGAAGGATACGCTTATGAGCCTTTCACCTTGAAAGATATAGGTGAAGAACCTGCTACTGCAACTTGAATTATACATAGATTAGACTATCAATAAATTTTTTGAAAAGTATGTGTTTTATATTATCATTTACAAAAGTACTACTACTCTAGTTTATACCGTAGTATGCATTCGCGGATATTGTTAAGGGCAGATTTTTGACGCGTTTCCGCGAATTAGTTTTTCTTTAGATATACGCGTTTTAGATATATTTTAGAGCTTTACTATGATGAAAGATACCTTAATACATTGAATAACCGTCTAAGGGACTAGTGATTAAACCACAACGATGACTGAAGTTGCAGAAAGGCCTCATGTGCCATTGGGGTTCGAAATAGACTCTGAAAACTCAACTTTGGCAGTTCAGATCAAGTCATTTATCGCTGTTTTAGCTTCAGCTTTAGGTGGTTTAGATTATTCTTCAGAATCAGCAACTCCTCCATATAAACTTGGTGATGAAGCATTTGCATGTTTAAAAGATATTTTGAAATGGATCAGAAATTATGATAAGGATAATCATACTTTAGAAGTCTCAATAGCTTGTGCAGAATCTGGGTTAGTGATCAATGATCTTATAGTTATATTATGTGAATGGGAAGCTGGAACTTTGAATAAAGATGCACCTTCATTTGTGAGGTCTTTAAATGATAAGATTGCATTAGCATGTCTAGAGATTCTGGTTCCTCTCACTTGGGAACTTGAATTGAAAGAAGGGATGTATAAAGATGAACTTGAACATTATACATCATTAAAGAAACATCAAGTTAATTACAAAAAGCATATTTTATCATATAGAAATGGGAGAACCTTGAAAGCTATTGTTAAAATTGCATTACCAATCATTGCTAAAGATAAAAGAGATAGATCAACAAGAGATACAGGTATTTTGAAGCTATGTGTTTTATTTTTCAGAAATGTCTTAGCAATAGAACCAGCACCAGTTACCAAAGAGACATCAAAAGCTTTGAAGCCAGGACAAATTGCTCAAAATTTACCATTAGGTGTGAACTATGAAGATATTGGATTGGATGCTGTCCTTACTGCATTTGAAGATAACTTAGTTTTTCAATTTTTATTGACGATTTGTGGGTCTATTACTGGTGAATATGACGCATCTATTTTGTCTTTTGCATTACTAGAAATGGTGTATGGTCTTACTAGGGGTGTTCAAGCTTCACATATGATTGATCCCACAACAGCATTATCAGAAAGAAATAGAGTTGGATTATCAGGCCCGGCTCCATCATCAGCATCAACTGCAACAAATGAATCAACAACTTCTTTGGGTTTATCAGAATTGTTATCAGAGGAAAAAAATATGAATTCCAAAAGAGTTTTACAAAATGGAAGCACAAGACATGGAAGATTCGGAACATTAGTTTCTTTACAAACTCCAGATCAAGGGAGATTAACGATATCAGGTCAAAAGGGTCTTTCAGAAAATCAAAATACAATTGCAGCTTTTGATTCTCGTAAACAATGGCATAAATCAAAACAATTCAAATATGACTCAGATGACTATGTTATATTTGCACCTGTCAGTCTTTCAAAACAACCAAGAAATATTCTGAACAAATTCGCAAATGACTTTTTAGATGGTGCATTCAACCCATTGATTAACGCAACAGCTAGAGAATTATCAAGTGAATCTACTCCACAATCAAGAGCTAATACGTCCAAGATTCACTTTTTATTAGTAGTTGCTTGGTTTTTAGAAGCTGAACGTGCAAGAAATGGATTGAAAACAGATGATATAGATTATGGTCTTGTTACTGCTGGGCTTAATGAAAGAACATTTATTTTATTACTTAAATATCTTGCAGAATCTGAACTAGAGAAGAACTGGCCTTTATCACATGCTGGTATGATTACATTTAAAGAAGTGTTGAAAACTGTTAATCGTATGGGTACCTCTGAAAATGAAGATGATAAAGATGTTTCATTAAATATTAAAGAAAGACTTTTCCATAAGAATGAAGTTTTAGCGGAACTAACAAAACTTCCAAAAATTGCCCATAAACATTCTCCAAATTATGTTAATAATTGTGTTGAATTGGTTCACGTGGTGATATCTACTCTAGAGGAATTTTCAAATGAAAATATGCCTCTTTTTATCCAACATAATAGAAAGAGTAGAAAGAAGAAAAATGTTACTGAAGAACAAAGAGATATAGATGATATTAATTCGGGAGATGAAGAAGAGATTAACAGCAGAGGTAAACAGATGTCAAAAGAAAGAAAGTTCAATTTTGATAGTTACCAAAGACAATTTGTGAGTACAGAAAGTATTGATACATATATCTCATATTTGAACAGATATGAAGATTTAAAAGAATCAGAAATCAAAAGAGCAATCCAGTTTCTTCACAGAGTGTTTGTCACGCAAAAAAATACCACTATGCTTTTTCGTATGGATTTTATGCTTCTACTTCATACATTACTATCTAAAGATGGTTTACCAAGAAAGTCGCATATCAGAAAGCATGTCTCTCAATTTTTAAGTTATTTTATGAAAAAGTTGAAAAAATCTTTAGAATCAACACCAAGTTTGTACATTGAATTATTATTTAAACCTTTAGCTTCAAAAGAGACTAGACATTTCATGCTACACGGTGAATTATACGCAGAGAAGAAGAGTATTAAGAAATCCAATAAATATGCTATTATTAAAGGACAAAATGAAATGGAATTGGAAAAGAAGGTTTCAATTCTTGTTGCTGCATTAATTGATGATGACATGAAAGCTCATGTTGAATGGATTGGTGAAGAATTAGAAAGAATTGTCATTGATAGATTAGAAACTGCTGAAAGTGATGTTCAACAACATAAAGATTCTGTTGATATTGATGGTATCGAAAATTTTTCTAGTGAGCCAGTTCAACACAAAGATTACAAAATCACTTCACAAAACACCACATTTGCTAATTCGCTAGTTACCAATCCTAAAATAAGATATTTATTAGATCTTGCTGATGTTGATTTACCTTCTCAAACTGATGAAGATTGTATTTTTAAGTCAACATCAAATCAAATGAGACTTTCAGAAACTTTAACTTACATCAAGATGTATTTGATGCAAGCAGTTGATTTTGGTGAAAATAAAAGTGCTAATGATTTCATTAAGATCAAAAAAATTGGTGGCTTATATCAAGATGATTTCAGTGATATTGATAACGATTATGGCAACGATGATTATGACTCTGATGAAGAAGTTGCATTTGAAGTCGCTGGTACTAGAAAAAATGAAGGTTATAACGATGATATCTTGGATCAACTTGAAGATAAAATTGGTCAAGCTGATGGATCATCTGCAAAAGGTGTTGCCAAGTCAAAGAATAAACCAGGTAGATCTGTATCATCCAGAAGAAAGAGAGTTAGTGATGATTCAGATTCAGAATCAGAAGATGACAGACCAAGAAGAACAAAGAAAAAGAGAAGAAACCGTGGTGCTGCATTGCCATATCATGATGTCTCTGGTGATGAAGAAGAAGGTGCTAGACGCAAAGCTCCACCTAAGGTACAAGAACATGTTTCAGATAAATATGTTAATGATTCTGCTGATGAAAGTGAAGATGAAGAGTTCTTCGCCAGAGAGGAAAGATTAAGAAAGATTTTATTGAAGAATAATGGTACATTGGGTCCTGAACAATTGAAAGAGTTTTTATCAAGTAAAACAGATGGTGCTGATACCGGTGATGAAAACGAACAAGATACTTCTAAACCAAAATCAAAAGAAACTATTAGTGACTCAGAAGATGATGAGTTATCAGAGACTGAAGAACCGAAAAAGAAAAATATTACTTCTGATAGATTTGATTCAGACTCAGAGAATGAAGGAGAAAAAGAAGCTTCGAAAGAAGATGATATATCAAAATCAAACTTAGCTGACGATAGTGACCAGGAAAATGATTTTGATCCATTCGATCTTGGTATCAATGAAAAACCGTCAGAATTCACCAATAATACAAGTCTTTCGCAAAAATCCAATAATGATGAAAGCTCAAGATCTTCTGATACTGAAAAACACATTGAAACTATAATTATTGAAGAAGATAACGATTCAGATGATATGGATATGTTACTAGGAGATGAGGATGATGAAATTGATATAAAATCAGAAGATGAACAACAAGATAAAGTTGATATTGATGAAGTTCCTGCACCAAGAAGAAAAGGGAAAGTAATATTTAGTGATGACGATGACGAATAATTAGGCCAAGTTACTTAATGATATATAATTTACAAATTTGTTAATAAAAAAACCAAAATGCATTTGTATATTACAAAATGTAGTACTATTTATAAGATAATTATACAGCGCAATGTGATGAATCTTTCTGTTTCACAGCAGCGATGATAGTTTGTGTTGAGGATATGAACATAACTGCAAAACCAAAAGCAATAGTACCTATATATGGTGATTTTTGTAACCAAGTTTTTGATGATCCAGTCATTTTCAAGTGACACATTGGCGGGATAATATAAGCCATTGCAGAAGCAGTTGAAGCACCTATTAGTTCAAATAACGCACCCAAGTTACATGTCATTAATGAAATACCCATTGTGAAAATCACAAGAACCAATGTATACAGGAAATGACTTTTGTAAGTCATTGGTGGAGCTGATTCTTGATTAATATACCATAAGTCTCTCAGAACGTCTCTTAGAACGAAAATTTCCAATGGGTATGTGGTTAACATATTGAATCCAAAACAAAATCTGGCAATATTAACAACTAGATCATTACCAGGGAAATTATTCAATACGTTACCTTTTGTGGCACTTTTGAAAGCTCCAAATCCACCAAATCCAATTAAGGCTAATGCAACAAGTGAAACTAAGCAACTTAGATGTGTTAATAGACTGAATCTATTCAAACTTGGTTTTTTCAATGAATGGAAAATATATGCTGTATTATGATGACAAACAAGAGCGAATGAAATAACACTAACCCCTTGAAAGAAACTTGGCCTTATTAGGAAATACTCTGTAGTTAATGTGCCTTTAGATTCAGCTGGAAGCATTGGACCTCTAACTAAAACAACAGTAATAATGACAAGCATACTCACCAATGCTAATGCACTAGCTTTAGCTAATTTTGAAATATCTTTACTCAATGATAATGGGAAAGAAATGAATGCTGTGACTAATATAATTATGGTATTTCTTGCAAATAAAAATCTTAAAAACCCATTATCAGCATAATTTGGGAAAAATGATCTTAATATATGTGGTATCGTGTCACCAATGATTATACAAAATCCAATACTACCACCATAAGCAAAAAGCCCTTGGGCTGCAATGATCAGTACTTTACCCCATTTCCCAAAACAGTGATCCACAGTTTCTTGATAACCATTTTTACCAGCGAGTTTCATATTAATAATAATTAATCTTAATGTGAAATCCACCAGTATTGTTAATATTATCAACGCGATAATTCCACCTAGTATACCAGTATTTGATATGGCAAAAGGGACACCTATAGCACCAGCACCCAAAATGGAGTTTGCCATGTTCATGAATGCCATTTTCAAGTTTGATCCATTTAGGTTTGGTAATTGAAATGTTTCCAAATCTTCTAAAGTATCTTCATGATCTATTGTAATATCTTGTGTTTCATAATCAAATGAATCTAATCTTGCAATCTCGAGAGAGTCATTGTCTTGTAGGTTCTCATCATCATCATGTTGATTTTGAGGTACATTTGTGTATGCCACTTTTGACATTTCTTATTAAAATTTCAAACTTTTGTACTAGAAAAAAGAAGTTTTGATAATGTTGATCGTTATCTTTTCAGTGCGTGTTCGATTTCGATTGTTTAAAAAATGAGGGTTATCGGATATCTGCTAGTTTCTATTTTGTATATTTCCGATAACGGATAAACTACAACGAAAGTTAACATTACAAAATAAATAAAGTCGTCATATTCCAATTAAATAAGTTTGTGATCTTTAAATAACACGATCAAGAACCCTTTCATACACTTTGGTTAATTCATAACGATATCCTTCAATTTTTTTCTTTTCAAATGCTTCAATAATGGCCAATCTAGCTCTTTCAGCAATACCTTGAATCCTTACAATATCAGTACCCGTGAGACCTTTACCACCAGGTATTCTACCATCGATAAGTCTTGATATTTTTTGATCCACTTCATCAATCAACTTTAGTATTTTCACACCAGAGTCTTCCTCAAAAGCTAATTTATCAATATATTCTAATAAATCACCAGCTATTCTTATTAAATAATCAGTTTGTCCAAAGTTTGTAGATGGTAATTCTTTGAACTGGTCTTTTGTTAGATGTGTATTTGAATCATTATCAATTGAAAACCATATAAATGATATTAGTTGTTTAAGATCTGCAATCAATTCATTAATAGATTTATATCCTAATTCACTCAATCCTAAAGCTTGTACAAATCTTCTTTGTATAGCCAGTAATCTCTCATCAACATAATTGATAAATTTTGATTGTTGTGATAATGATAATCTTCTTTTAGGTGTTGTATCATTTGATTGTTCATTAGCATTTAAAGGAGATGGCACAATTACAGGTTGGAAATCTTCAATTCTATCTCCCAATTCTTCTACAGCTGCAACATTTGCATCATTCTCTAGCTTTACTCTACCAGCTGATTGAGAATTGGGTATTTCACTAGTTGGTCCATTTCCAGCTTCCAAGTCTGGGTTCAAATCCAATAGATCTAATTCACTTTGTGATATGCTTTCTTCTGGAAGACCATTGACCTCTTGGTCTGCATCCGGATGACGTGGACTGGTTGGTGCATTGCTATAATCTGCTTCTTGTGACATGATTGATCTCAACTATTTGAATCAATGATTTAGTTGGTTTAATTGAGCTTCTTGAATTGATTATATATGGATTTCATTGTCCTTATAAATATTTCAAATTGCCTCCTGGTTTTCACACTCGATCAAGTAAAAATTCGAGAAAGATCAAAACAATTCAAATCTTCAAGCAAAAATTGGTACATTTGAAAGTGCTTAGGAATCAGGGTAAAAGTGAGGTGGAAATTATGGTGTCGTTATTGAAGGTACCAGCTCCTGTGAAAGAATTATTTGACAAATTCCCAGTAGAACAATATCCTGCTGTTAAGCAGTTGACTCCAGATACAAAGAAGGAAATTGTCAATAGAAATTATAGTTTTTCAGTATCTTCAGATGATAAAACCAATGGATTGGTCACATTTAAACTTGGGACATATAATGTTTACCATCTAGATGATAATACTGTGCTTGCCACAGATCCATTATGTCTTATAGCAGAATTGGCTTTATCTATAAAGAATAATATCAAATTACCAAAATTAAACAATGATAAATCGGATTCAAATAGAAATTCATTATTTTTACTTTCACATCATGCAAATTCTCAAGGTTTTTTACCAATTTATGTCGAAGAGGAGAATCACAAAAAATCAAATAGATTAATAAAAGATAGTCAAAGTATAGATGAAATTTTACTTTCTCGTGTTCAATCAAGTTCAGAATTAATGTTAATAACACTTGTTGATAATGTTGTTTATGATTTTTGGATAACGAGTGTTCTTTTTGAATTCTCTAAAGAAGTTCAACAAGAAATTTTCACATTCAGTACATCATCTCAACAACATTATGTTAATTCATGGGGAATTGATACATTATTATCTCAATTATTGACTAGAAATGCATTTGATTTGAGAAATCCTGCAATTACAAAGCAATATCAAAATGATCCATATTCTATATTAACTAAAAGATTACCAAAATACGGTAAAGCTGTTGATTTTGAAAAAGAAAGAAATGGTAAAGAATTCGCACATGCAATGGAGAACTTAAATAGTATATTAGTGAAGAGAGGTACGACTTTTTTCAATGGTGATTCTAAACCTGGGTTATTAGATGTTAAGATTGCAAGTTATATCACTCTAGTACAAAAGTATGGACCTGGAACTGTTATATATGATGTTGTTCAAAGATATGAAAGTCTGGTTAAACACGCTGATTCTGTTATTCAATTTTGTTCATGATAGGTGATGTATATATAATATGTGTATATAGACAATCGAATGATTAAAGTTTAGTTTATGTCTATGTAAATCACACCATATACCCCTTACGTGGACAGGCTTCGACACAATCCATGTGGATAGCTATATTAACGGAAAAAAAAGCTTTAAAGGTTGTCAGATCTCGTAATTAACACTCTTTAGTACACTTTAGTACACTTTAGTACTGATTACGGTGCATACCAGCCTGCAAAGAGCTCTAGAATCCTCCCAAAACAGCTCTTTCCTGGTAGCAACATGAAACAGACTCTTCCCAGCATCAGCAAAGAGTCCTAAAGAGCACCAAAGTCCCTGCTGTTCCTTGCGTTTCAGATTCTCAGCTTGTGAATTTGTTAATTGTATGCGTCTCAGATTCTCGCTTTGTTTTGATTTCCCGTCGCCCCAAAAAAAAACCGGTAAATTCAGATTTGTTTCAAAAAAGTGTTATGAAACATACTTAAAACAACAAACATCCATCCAAATTCCAATCACAACAACTTGAACAATTTTACACTGTGTGCAATCAAAAGAGTGGTGAATAAGTGTACCAACACGCGTTCAGGAAAGATTTTAACCAGTTCGAACAGTTTCAGAGTTGAAATATTACTAAATATCCTGTTTTTCTGAAATTCAAATCTTACATACCCAGTAAAAGGAGAACAAAAGTATAGATTTTTACACCAACATTCGTTTTAGTTTCAACAACACCAAAGAGATATCATTTGGAAGAAGAGTCAAGTGTAGTGATACATACCAGTTTCACTCTCAGATACATCAAGAAGAAACCAGCTTCATACCATCAGTTTTTAAAGCACAATTCACATTCGTTTTATCATAGGTTTCAACTTAGTTTTGTTTTATAACATCAAGGAAAAAGGACAATAATATAACAATACAATCAGCAAATACAACATAATGAGTAATTCAAAAGCTACTGGAAGTACAGAAGCTATTTTAGCAGACCATTCAAGTATTGATGTTTCTCCAGCTCAAGTTGAAGAAAATTTAAGACTTATTGAAGATTTAAAATTCTTTTTAGCAACAGCTCCAGCTAATTGGCAAAAAAATCAAATCATTAGAAGATATTATTTAAATCACGATGAAGGTTTTGTATCATGTGTTCTTTGGAATAATTTATATTTCATTACAGGTACTGATATTGTCCGTTGTATTGTTTACAGATTTGAACAATTTGGTAGAGAAATTACTGATAGAAAGAAATTTGAAGAAGGTATATTTTCAGATTTAAGAAGTTTAAAATGTGGTTCAGATGCTGTATTAGAAGCTTCAAAATCACCATTCTTGGAATTTTTATACAAAAATTCATGTCTTAGAACTCAAAAAAAGCAAAAAGTTTTCTTTTGGTTTAGTGTTCCTCATGATAAATTATTTGCTGATGCATTAGAAAGAGATTTGAAAAAGGAAATCATGTCACAAAATGGTACTACAAGATCTAAAAATGAACCTTCATTATCATTTCAATATGATGATTCTAAACCTTTATATGAACAATTGGTTGATCATTTAGAAAATAAGAAGAAATTATATGCATCTTCAGATGTTTCATCAATAAGTGGAGATTTAATAAGTGATCAACAATTACCACAATCTTCACAAACAACAGAAATTGAACCTTCACAAATTGAACCACAAACTTTTTATATTAAAGAAGAAGAAGATAATCAATTTAATGTGATACGAGAAGATAATGATTTCCCATTAGATTATTTCCCTATACATGAAAGTAACGAACCAGTTATGATTGATCCATCTGTTTTCATAAATCCACCAGATGTTTATAATGATCAATATTTAATTGATCAAACATATGCTAAAACACCTTATAATGAAGTTACTTTTGATACAGATGATACAGATGATCAATTTATTCCTGTGTCAGCTTATCGTCCAGGATTATTCCCACCTCCTTCACATTATTATAATACAGGTGTTGGTGCTCCAAATATACCAAATTTACCAAATACAAATCCTTATGGTCCACCACCAGCTCAACCACAATTTATAACAAATGGTCAATTTTATGATCAACAAGAAGAAGATGGAAGCTTTAATGATTTATCAGGTATTCCAGATTATCCTGTACAAGGAATGATTCCACCAAGTACAACAACAAATCCATATTATGCTGGTTATTCAGCTCCACCACCACCACCATCAGTTACAGCAGCAGCATTTGCAGCAGCTAGTGCAGCAGCAGCAGCTCAACATCAACAATATTATTATGATCAACAACAACAATTTGCACCTCAATTCCCACCACAAGCTCATTATTATCCAAGATTTGTTGATGAAATGAATGAAGATGGTGATGATGAATTATATACAGGATTTAATGGACCTCCACCACCAGGACAAATTAGATCACCATTTAGTAGAGGATTCCCATCATTCCAAGCAGCTGCTCCACCTACATCAGCTTCAAGACTAAGGCACCAACAATTCCCACCTGTGAACAATAATAATAATCATAGTAATAGAAATAAAACAAGTGGGAAAGTTTCTAAACCTGGAAGAAATTCAAATAGTAATCCATTAAGTCAAAGTGGATTGAAAAAAGTTGAACAAGATTTACAACAAAAGGGTAAGAATTCTAATGGGAAAGAAAGAGAGAGAGAAAGTATAGGTTCAAGTTCAAGAGATTTAGATAATGGGGCAACTGAAGATGATGTTGAATATAATTCATTACCAACACCAGAATCTACAGCACCAGATCCATGGCATAATTTTAATAGTACAGCAAGTATAAATCATGAACAAGTTGAAAAAATTAAATTAGAAACTACAGAACAACGTGATACTTCTGAATTGAATGATTTTTTGGAGGATAAAATATATGATGAAGGTGATGACAAGGAATAATATACTCTTTATAGAATTAGTTAATTAATGATTTTTGATTTGATTTGAATTATAACATTATGTAGTAGAAGAATGTAATAGAAGCCTCGGCAATACTCGGTTAAACAATCCCGCAATCCAGGGAGCCAGACCACCCGCGAAGTTCTAGAAGCGTCTTTGCAATTTTACAAAATGTGTCATTCATTCACATGTAATTACCGGATTGGGTAATCAAGAATCATTCCAACATTTTTGAAACTTGTAAATAAAGAGGCCAAATTTCTTAATGTCAAACGATATAAACAACAATTTTGAATTCCCACCAAAACACAGATCCAACAAACTCATCAAAACAGATTGAAAAGTGACCAAACATAAGCAAACAGGGTATAAATAAACAGCTCATCAGACACACTCACCCCCCCAATTACACGCTCAATTTAGTGCACTCAAGAAGGTCTGAGCTCTGAACGGTTTCCGGTTTTGTTTCTTTTTGAACTGAGAAATAGGAGGTGTGATTCTGATTCTACAAGTTTAAATACAACGGTTTTTGAGGTCTTTTGACAAATTACCAACAACAATTTCAATCATTATCGTTTATAACTGATCCACTTGTCTACTACTCTACCACTGTCTCTTATCATATTTGCTGTCGTGCTGAAGGAAATTGGTTTTAATCGCTAGATATTGCATCATTTTTGTATTTTCTGATTTCAGATCTGAGTGTGAGTACAAATCATCAGCAACAAGATTACAATCCTTACAGCTTATTTAAAACATATCAATTCTTTCACATCCATTATATTAGATTTTTATATTTCAATCAAGTTATTACATTTACAAAAAAAAAAGTCATACAATATTACCCCTTAGTTTTACTTCGTTCCTATTATTACTCATTTTATATTAAAACAAAAAATTAGAAAACAAAAAAATTAGAAAATTACATACTATACAAAACAACCAAACAAGCATTAGATGATTTAAAGTGATTTCAAACTGTTCAATTTATTATTTTCAACATAACAATTTTTTCTTGGTTTTAGTTTTAAAGCATTGAAAAAGAAAGGTTTTAGGTGTCCTTTTTTTTTTCACCCCAGGTTTTTACAAAGAACAATTGTGTTTCTCGTCTTACATTTGAATTAGATTCTCTATCCTAAAAAAGGAAAAGTATCAACTGCATACATTAATTCAAAGGTTTATTATATTTCATATACAACATATTTAAGTTTATCTTCAATACTTTAAGATGTCTGAGGCTTATGAGATTTACAAAGAAGGTGGTCTATTAGGAGATCGTTATCAAAAATTAGAAGATATCAGTGAAGGTGCCTTCGGTTTAGTTTCATTGGCAAAGGATATCAAAAAATCTAAATTAGTCGCTGTTAAATATATTTTCAAAGAGGAAGATGTCAATAACAAGGAAGAAAATCCTTCAAGAAGATCCACATTTACCAACCGTAATGGTCAATCATTAAAGTCTAAAATGGTTTCTAAGAAATTAACTCAAGGTATTTGTGAGGAAGCTATTTATGAGATTTCAATTCAAGAGAAAATTGGATTTCATCCTTATATTATCTCATTATTAGATTACTTTGATTCTTTTATTATCTTGGAATATTGTGCAAGAGGTGATCTTTATGAAGCTATCAAAGCTGATGCTGGTCCAACTTCAACACCAGATATTGTAAATGTTGTCTTACAATTGATTGAAGCTGTTCAATTTGTTCATTCAAAAGGTGTTTATCATCGTGATATCAAACCTGAAAATATCTTGATTTCTGATGATTGGTCAATTAGATTGACTGATTTTGGTTTAGCTTCAACAACAAGATATTGTAATGATTTTGGTGTTGGTAGTGAACGTTATATGGCACCTGAATTATTTGATCAAAAAAACATTGAGGTATATGATGCTTTAAAAGTTGATATTTGGTCAATTGGTATTTGTTTTTTGAACATTGTTTTCCATAAAAATCCTTTTGGCTCAGCAACTCATAATGATAAATCTTTCAGTCATTTTGCTAGAAATCGTGAAGCTTTATTTGATGTTTTCTCAACTATGTCAATTGATTTCTTTACCGCTTTACGTTACTCATTAACTTTAGATCCAGAGAATCGTGATTTAGATCAATTAAAATCAGAAGTTGAAGGTATTCGTTCATTAACAATTGATGATGATTTGATGTCGTTCTCTGAAGAAGTCAGTAATAATAAGAATTTCTTGGGAACAGAACCAATCAAAATCAAAAACAATGCAGTCGGAAGAAAAGCACTTGGAATTCCAACTCCAAGCACTTATATCAACAATCATTTCCAAAATTATAAAACTGAACGTTTCAATCGTAAAGATTTCTTCACTCCACCAACTGTTTCTGCTCATTATTTAGAAAAATATGAAAAATATAGGAAAACAGGAAATGGTTATAATCATAATCATAAATATGATGGTTTGAAAAATAGAGCTCATGATAATTATCATTTGATTCCACCACCATCTACACCTGGTCAACAAAGAAGATCAAGAAAAAGTTCATCATCTTCAACTGGTAAATACGTTCCACCAAGTTTAAGATCTCCAAAAATTTTCAAATCACCTTTGCAAAGTTCAGCTGTTATTGATAATAATGATATTGATGATGATTTGTTTGTTTTAGAAGAAGCTGATTCACCAGATACTAGTTTCCAAGAAGATGATCAATTTGGTGGTATTGATGATGCAATCGCTTCAATGGATTTGAATGATAAGAACTATTCTAGTGATAGTTCATCTGCTCCTTCATTATTATCCCCAATGCCTATTTACAACGATCGGAATAAAGGTTCTTCTTCAACAATCCATAATAGAAGAAGCTCTATTGAACATCGTGGTGGTTCTGGTTCTGGTTCTGATATTAGAAAGCATCAATTCACAAAGAGTGCTGATTCAGCTCTTGTTTCTGAAGACAAAGAGAATCAAGGTCCAGGTTATGTTAATGGACCAAAGAAATATGTTCCTCCTCATCATCGTGCTGATTATCCTCAATGGAGATCAACTCATAAAAAAGCTGATAGTTTCCATCACCATAACAATAATGGTAGACGTTTCAATTTCAATAATATGAAAAATGGTATAATGTCATCATCTGTTCCTACAAATAGCAAAAATGATTGGTTTGCTCAAGCCTCTAAGATGGAGTTATACGATGAAGATGTTATTGATGATGATTTTGAGAAATCTGAAGCTTATACCAGATATGCTGGTCGTGTTGCTGAGAGAACTTATAATGTTTCTTCATCTTCATCATCCTCATCTTCCCATTATTATTCTAAATTGGAAAAGAATAAGAATGTTAGAGAATCTACCCGTGAGATTCCAGCTACCGTTGTTGCTGAATGATTCGTTTTAGTTGGTGATTACTATATAATTTATTGAGGTTTTATATATTTTTTATTATGAATGTTTATGAATTTATGCCCTGATGTTGATCATTATCGTTATTGTAGATTACAAATATTTTAATTGAATGGAAATCGTCAATTTAATTATAAATAAATGTTTTCTAAATCTATTGTACATTATATGCTTGGTTTGCATTACTTGAGAATTGTCTTCAAGAAAATGGCACCTAATGAGGCCAAAACAATGTATTTGGCATAATTATTTTCAGTTGGTGTATCCTTTATATTGATAACATTTGCACCATATTGATTGATTGTGGAACTGTCAACATTCTTAACGCGTGTAACATTGTCTGATGAAGTTGTTGTATTTGATGCTGTATTTGAAGTTTCTTCTTCTTCTTCTTTATGATTCAGCAGATATAGAATATCATCTTCAATTTCGTCTGCAACGGCACTTTGAACATTACCAAAAAAATCGGTAATCAGAACTTTTGATGGATCTCTATTGTATAGATCTGTTCTGACACCAGCGTGTGAATGGATTTTATCAAATGTATAGAAATCGAATAAATCTTGTAATGTTAAAGTTGAATTTCTTTCAATCTTTTCAGAGAATTCCAAATTATAATAAGTGAATCTATCGATGACAGCCACACCGATTTCCACATCACTATGATGCGAATATGAACTTTCTTCAAATTCTGATGAACCACATGCAAGAATGTTTGGTGAATAAAATTTGGTATACATTGTGTTTGCTTGACATGTATCAATCATGAAGAAGATCTCGTTATATCTTTTCTTTTCGTGCATTTGTTCAAAAGCATCAGCAATATCCCAAGCACTAATTTCTTCAGCATCTTGAAATTTTAAAAACTCATTACCACCATGACCTGTCATGTAAATAAATATATTTGAATTTTCATCGGTGAGTAATCTCTTTGAACGTGGATGATCTGGTCCCCATCTATCTGTTAATAGTCTGATAAAATTTTCCACTGTAACTTCATTACCTCTATAATCAACTTCTATACTTTCACCATATAAATCAATAGCTCTATCTTGGTTGTTGAACACAGAACCAGGGAATAAATTTCTGGAGTTACAAGCAACATCATCACTTAACATTAAAATAATTTGTGAATCTGGAATACCTAATCTCTTCACAGTTCTGTACATACTCAAAACATTTGCCATATGTCTATAGTTGAACCAAAATCTTGATGTTGAGACCAAAACAGCCCAGTTATTTGTATGACGAGGATCTGAATCACCAGACTCATTTTCGAGCGCTAAAGCTGGAGATAAAAACAGAAAGGCGCATAAAAGCCTTATGATAGAACTGAAAGACACCAACATGATGATGGAATATGTTTGGTGAGTTATGGGACCCTGTGTGGAGTTGCGTGTGGAATTGTTTATGTCTGGTGAACCAAATTTAATTTACGTTACAAATCATCAACAAAAATCGCGAATATTTCGTTTTTTTTATAACAGCGAAAAGTTTAATATATCCAAAAGATGGAAGACCACCATGGATTTGGTGAGGGTATTTTCGGTTTTTGAGATTATAAAGTAATATTATAAGCATGAATTTTCTAATTTATGCTGTTGATGTTCTATAAAACGAGGTAACTTTTAGTTTCAATATGGCGCAACTAGGTTATTTGTAGCACGCATACCGGGTCAGGGTTGCTTAACCATAATGTAGAACATTTTATGATATTGATCTGAAATAAATTGCATTTTGAAAACAAAGACTTTAAACAAACTCTGAGGTCCAGTTGAAACTGATTATGCAGATATAGTACATGGTTAATCTGATGAAAGAACTTCCCAAAATATCAACGTTGCTTTACAACGGTTTAAAGGCACACTATGTCAAACCACAACAACAATGTCTATTTCATTTATTTTCCAGAAGGCAATATTCAACAGAATCAAACCAAATACGGCTTAGGGATTATCAACAGAAATGTATTGATTCATGCTTAGATGCATTGAACAACAAGAGAAGAAGAATTGGTGTTAGTTTGCCCACAGGTGGTGGTAAAACTGTCGTATTTTCAAGTTTAATAGATCAAGTGAAGCCTAGAGAAGGGTATGGTAATAAGACATTAATATTAGCTCATAGAACTGAACTTATTCAACAAGCTGCTAAAACCGTGAAAAGCATTCTTCCATCAAAATTGATTGAAGTTGAAATGGCCAAATATCACTCGTCTGGTGATTGTGACGTTGTTGTTGCCTCAGTTCAAACGTTAATGAGAGGAAGATTAGAAAAATTTAATCCTAAAGACTTCAAATTGTTAATTATAGATGAAGCACACCATGCTGCTGCTGACAGTTATCGGAAAATAATAGATTATTTTGGAGGTACTCACTCTAATTCAGATGTTGCAATTACCGGGTTTTCAGCTACTTTACAAAGAGATGACGATAAGAACTTATCTGATGCTTTTGATGAAGTTGTTTTTCATATGACCACAGATGAAATGGTTAAAAGTAAACATTTAAGTGAAGCTAAATTCACAACAGTCAGGCTTTCAAATGCTGATTTGAGTAAAGTTGGTGTTTCTAAAGGTGAATTTGTGATATCTAAACTTTCAAAAGCAGTTAATAATGATATCAACAATGAATTAGTTTTAAGAACATACTTGCATTTCGTTAGTACATTGAAAGTGAAGTCTACGATGCTATTTGGTGTTGATATTAAACATGTCAAAGACTTGACAGAGCTTTTCAGAAATCGAGGCATAAATGCAGATTATGTTACTGCAAATACCCATGCAAAAGTAAGAGTTGAGGTTGTCGATGATTTTAGAAAAGGTAAGATCCAGGTATTAATGAACTGTGGTATCTTTACGGAAGGTACTGATATCCCAAATATTGACTGTTTATTGTTGGTGCGTCCTACGGCTTCAAAAAATCTTTTGATCCAAATGATCGGGAGAGGTTTAAGACTTCACAAATCTAAAGAATTTTGTCACATTGTGGATTTTGTTGGTATTAATAACAACAATATTGTTTCAGTTCCAACGTTACATGGGCTACCAGGCGATGCAGAAATTAGAGACCTAACACCAGAACAAATTGAAGAAAGGAGAATTAAACATGAAAAGTACCTAGAGAGGAAGGAACAAGAATTGGAAAAGCAGAAACAGCTGGAGCTAAAGATGGAAATTCTGAAAGCAGAAGAATATTTGAAAACCGGTGTTAGAGATGACGCACCAGTTGTTGAGGTTGATGAATCCCAGTTTATGAATACAAATATAGATTTACGAACCTTCGAGTCGTTTGAGGAGTTTTTGAAGAATGGTGACCTTGGAAAAGAGACTGATTTATATTATATTGCATCATCACAATATCCCTTGTGCCGTATAGATAACAATACGTGGGTTCTTCCATATCCGAGCGGTAAAGGTGATATTCATTTACGACTCCAAAGGCATCAAAGGTTAGTCACAAAGGAATTTTTTAAAGCAGTTTCAGTTACGGGAATTTATAAAACTAAAAGTCAAGCAGAAGCGTTGAGGGATGCCAAAGGACCAATTTACACACTTGCATCATACACTTTGAACCCACGCTTTGGAGAGAAAATGTGGGACAAGATGTATAAAAGTAAATTATTACTGCCATTTTCTAAAGATGTTAGGATACCATTGAGTTATATTACAAAGCTGCTAAGAGAAGTTGCCGGTGCTAGAAATTTGACCAAAACGGCTTTTTGGAGATCTGAACCACCTACAATCAAACAATTGCGTTCTGTGGTTGCAATGATGAAACGTTCTTCAAAGAAACTTGAAATCACACATATAAATCAATTACCCAACTTAACTAAAGGTGAAGTGGCTGATTTTATGACTTCAGTTAACATTTCAAATACCCAGTATCCTAGATCAATATTATACAACAAGCTACAGAAGAAGGCCAAGGAACAAGAAGAGCTATATCCTGAAAAGACGTTAAAATCTGAGTATGAAATTCTTCATCCATCAGCTCCGGAGAAAAGTACTCGTTCATTTGAGGACTCTTCTGCAGTTTTTGAAGATACATCAATAGATAAGCCAATGTCGTACCAGAATTTCAAAGAATCAGAAAAGCAGCGTCAGAAAAAGCTTCAAAATGTTAGAAGGAAATACCTTTACTCAAAAGGGGGATCATCTCCTGGCTCTAGAAGTCTTGAAGGTTTTCATGAACCAAAGTTTTAATGATCAATTGAAAAGATATAGATAGATCTAATAAACACATGTAAATATCCAGAAATGGAATATTTCCGTATCGAGATCACACGCTTACCGCGAAATCATAACCAAGTTTTCAAACTAGCGAAGCTGACAGCTTTCAACGAAAACACAAATTATAGGTGAACAACAACTATATTTCAACTACCAACCTGATCTTGTTCAGAGGCAAAACTTTGTGTGTACAATTAAATTCCTCCATTGGTGTTGGAACCG